TTCTTAGTAGAGAGTACCTCTATAAACGTATTAGTAGCAGTAATTTTTACAGCACTGCTAGCTAATCTCTAGGCAGCTAGAACTAATAACTTACCTAATAATTACTCTATAGCTAAGAGGCTAATTTACTTCTTACTTAGAAAAGCCCTTGTATAGGCTGTATAATTCTTCTTCTTTTAAGTCTTAAGCTCTTCTTACTTCTATAATAACGCGTTAGCTGCTATATTAGCTAAACCTAGTTAGTAGGTAAGCTTAAGGTTATAGTTAGTAATATCGTTTACCTAGTAGACCTACCTAGTAGTAAGTTTCTACTTAGTAGCAAAGTACTCTAAGGCTTAGTAGTTAGTTAATACTATAAAAGGCTCTAGATCTTGCAAGCTAATTAACTAGCTTCTCTACTTCTATACGCTAAGAATAACTACTAGCATTTCTTTATTGTAAATACTATAGTTTATCTAGACAGTATTTATTATCTTACTAAAGAAAGCTACTAGTCTCTAGATACTATCTTCTTAAAGTTATAAAAGAACTCTAGTAACTATACTATCTAATACGTCTATTTCTACTCTTATATAGTAATAGAGAGAGTAATAAGCTAGCATAGTATTAAATAGCATAAGATTCTTAACCTACTAAAATACTACAAGCTTAATTTCTCTAAAAGCATACTATACTCTCTATTTTAGTAGCTTAGTAAGAGGGCGGACAATCTAGCCGTAATTCTTTAAGAAGGCTTAGTAGAAATTGCAGAAACCTAGAAATAATTAAAGGCTCTTAGAAGTTATAGGTATAGGCTAATTCTAGATAGTAGTAACCTTCTTAGAGTTCTTCTAGATTCTATTAGTACTTATAATTAATTCTAGAAACTTAGTGCTTTTAATAGTAAATTTAGATTTCTTAATATCTACTTGCAACCTAACTTTATATAATTAATTAAGTATCTAGGCAATATAGGCTTTATACTTAAGTAGATTCTCTAAGTAAATAAGAATATTGTTAATATATACTATATAGAAATCGTCTAGCAAGCTATATAACACCTTATTAATATATTACTAAAAGGTAGTAGAGCTGTTATAGAGGCTAAAGAGTAGAACTTAATACCTATAGTTACTATACCGCGTATAGAAAGACGTTAGGTTCTCTACTAACTTATTAAGCTAGATCTAGTAGAAAGCTTACCTTACGTCTAACTTAGTAAAGACCTTAGCGTGTAATAGGCGTATAAGCGTTTTCTAGATAAGAGAGATAGAATAGGCGTCTTTTTTTATAATAGCGTTAAGCTTTTAATAGTCTACGTAGAACCTCTATTCTCTACCTAACTTTTTAGTAAATAGAACTAGTAACGCGTACAACGTATTACTATAAATAATAAAGCTATAACAAAGGTAGTTCTCTAGGTAATTCTATACTAACTATAGGTGCTCTAGTAACATGCTATAAAGAGAACTATTTATTAAGGTATTTTCTACTATAAGCTTAATGTCGTAATCTACGCCTTCTCTATATAGTAGTAGAGTATTAGAATTCTTTTTTAAAAAATAGGCTATAGTTACGCTAGTATATTCTAGAGATAGAAGCTTTTAGGTAACTAGTTAGCAGAGTTTCTTCTCTAGATTAGTAGTAGGGGTTTTCTTTCTATTAGTAATAAGCTAATTAACCTTATAGACACTAAGGTGCCTAATTATAGTATCTTTTTAACGCGCGTTAATTATAAAGGTAGCTACGCTAATTATATTAACGTTAAGTCTAGCCTTTAAGTATGTTTTCTACGAAATAGGTAGCTTTTTTAGCTTGCAAGGCAACCTAGCAGGCGAGTTAAGATTCTTAAGCTACCTGTCTATCTTGCGCAGGTTTTCTTAAAGCTTCTATTATTACGATTCTCTCTTCTCTTATTATATTACTCTTAGCTTTTCTACTACTAATATTAGAGCGTTGCGGCGATTAGTATTAGCTTAGTAAGCTACTTAAGCTTTAGTAGTAGATTAAAGGGATTAGGTAGAGACAAACGCGTCGCGTTTACAATTAATTAATTAATTAGTGTCTAGCTACATTAGTGCGCGCTACTTGTAGTTAACCTAAACGTTAACTTCTTTAAGTAGCTTATAACTAATTATTGTATTATAGTAGCTAGTATTATAATATATAAAGTAGGTACGTATTTAGTAGCTTTCTAGTACTAAATTAGCTTTAAAGTATTTATCTACCTAGCTGTTAGGTCGTCTATTATATTTAGCAAGAGGGATAGGTTCTATACGCGATAGCTTAACATAAAGGTTTTTTCTAAGAGTTTAAAGGTGCTTTAGGTATACTAAGACGTAGCTACCTGCTCCTATATTAATTAAGCCTCTAAGCTTAATTACAAGACTATTTACAAATATTTAGTAGAGTAGAGTAAACGTAGAACTACTAAATAGCTTTTTACGCAGGTTTATTACTCTAGTAAGTAGCTCTAGAGAGGAGACTTCTTCTAGAGCTAGGCTTTTTCTAAATTATTAGATTTACATTCTAACGTGTTATTCTTAGGTGCTTGCGGCTCTGCGGGCTCTAAGAGCTCTAAGAGCTTCTCTAGAGCAGCGTTCTTAATAGCTTTCTACGCGATAGAAGCTCTAGAGTAATTACGGCTTAGGTAGCTAGGTTAGTAGTATTAAAAACAGGTAACTAGCTTCTAGATTGCTAGAGCTTTATTAGGTGCTAAAAAACCTAGAAGAGCTAGAGGCGCGCGTTATAGTATTAACGTAATCGCGTTACACTTTTTAGCCTTTCTAGTAGTAACGCGTGCTTCTTCTAGAGCAAGCTCTTAAGTAAGATCTTAAGTAAGGTCTATATAGTAATTATAGTTATTAATGTATTAACGTTAGTATATACCTAACTACGTGCGTATAGTCTCTAGTAGCTTCTTATAAAATTTCTCTACCTATTAATCTACTAGAAGCTAACGCTCCTATACAAGGTAGAAGAAATTATTCTAGAAGCAGGCGAAATTAGTAGCGCTTTAGTAATAAAGCTTTTAAAAATTATAGTAAGTATTTAGCCTCTTATATAGGTCTCTATAGCTTCTCTCTAGCTAATTAAGAATATAATTATAGAAAACCGCTATACTACTATTCTTAATTATTTATAGTATTACTAATAGAGTCTAGTACGCGTCTTCTTTAGTTTACGTGCAAATATAGGTAATAACAGTTTTCTTAGTATTCTCTAGCGTATCTCTAGTATACTAATTCTAGTTTACTTAAAGTTTATTATATAAGCTATCTCTCTACTACTTAAAGGTAATACTCTTACTATCTAATAATAATAGTAGATCTAGAAACTTAGTAGAGCGTGTTAATTAGCTCTTCCACGCTTATAACGCTAGAGGCGTAGCTAGCTAGTATACAGAGAGATAAGAACCTAGAATTAAATTCTCTAGCAGTAACGCGCTTAAATCGCGTATAATTAGTGTTGTAGAGAAACGCGTCGCGCGTTAAACTAGTATAGTAGACTAGTCTCTAGAGTAGGTTAATTACGCTTATAGTTACTAGATTTTAGCGTTCTTTTTAGCTAGAATAGTAGCCTATATTAGATTTTTCGCGTATATATTATCTCTTTTAGCAAGAGCGTTAGCGGCAATCTAGTAATATATATAAATTTATTATTTATATACTCGTTATATATATAATTAGCTAACTAATTTATTAATAATTTTAGCTAGCGTTTCTAGAAAGAGCTCTTAAAGCTCTTTAGTAAAAATAGAGAGTATAAATAAACCTAAGGCTAATAATAACTCTAGTATTACTAAGCTCTAGTAAAGCCTTATAAGCTTCTAGTTAAAGTTATTATTCTAATTCTTATTAGTTATTACGTCGTGTTACTAAATAGAGTTTTTATAATAGAAATATTAATTAGTATATTCTACTAGTAGGTTCGCTACTCTAGATTTAAGAACTGTTAGAGTAAAGAGGTATTATAGGGCTAAGGTTCTCTTTCTAGATTAGCTTCGCGAGAGTTCTTCTATAGTATTTAGATTTGTTTAGCTTTTTAATTAAGAAAGAAGTAAAGAGGGGAGGTATTTAGCTACTAGCAGAGTAGCAGGTTATTAGTTCTACTAGCGGGGTAGAGAATTATTAATTTTTTGTAATTTGTAAAAAAGAGGGGGGAGTTTTCGCACGTAGAAGTTCTATAGAAGTTCTTCTATATATAGAGCTCTTAATAGCTCTCTTTAGCTTAGTACTAGTATCTTTTCTACCGCTAACTAGATCTACTAGTAGGTCTTATATAGCGCTAAGAGGTAAGCAATTAATTAGTAACGTTAATAGATTCTTAGAGTAAGCAACTAGGCTCTTATAGCTCTAATCCTTAATATAGCTATTAGTAAACGCTTCTTAATAAAGCTACTTAGTTTAGCTAGATATTATGCTGCCGTCTCTAGCTAAAGAGGTATTAACCTTTAGATAATGTAAGAGCTAAGTCTATAGTCTCTACTACTATAAGCGCCTCTAGAACACCTAGCTAGGTAAGTTAGCTACAGGTAGTACTATCTCTATAAGCTATAAGAATAAGAAGTACTAGCAGAGTAGGTTAGGTTAAATTTAGCTATCTAAAGGTTAGAAGTAGAAGAATGCTCTAAGAGCTCTCTATATATAGAGGTGCCGAGCGCCAAGGCGCTAGGCTAGGTCACGTAACAGAATCACGTGACTCGAGGTTATGTAACCTAAGGTAAATCCTAAACTAGACTATTACACGTTATAGAGAATATATATATAAATTTTTATAGAAAAGTATTAAGGTTTCGCTTAGTTATTTAAGAAAAACAGGTTAATTTTCGTTAATTTTCCTTGCCAAGAAATCGTGGGGCGTTCGATGATAAAGTACGTTAGAGGGTATCTCACCACGTAGGGAGGCATGTTACGAGGTTAGTCAGCAATGACGATGCAGCTCTCCGCCGAGCTCCTTCCGCAAGAGTCCCGAATGATGGAACGTCTTCACAACACTACAATGATCGCACCGCAATAAAGCCTAATGGAAAGAATCCGTATTTGTCGCGGCGCCTCAACATGCTCTCAGCTTTCACGGCTCGACCCATCATCGAGCTCAAGCAGCGCGACAAGTCCAAGATCGAGTCCATCCTCGCCTACGGTATGCATTTGGCCCAGACTTCGGACCGGGAAGCTAACGATGCAAAGGCGATAGAGTGCTTGTAGGCTTGAACACCGGTTCCCTACGCATATACCGCGTCAACGAGTTCACCGAAGACGACGAGCCCGTGCAGAATGGCGACCAGGACGGCGATCAGCCCGAACCGACAACCCCCAAGGTCAAGCCGGCGGATCTCCTTCGCGAGGAGGAGAAGTTCTCGCGTCGACCAATACAGCAACTAGCGATCATTAAGGAAGCCAATATCCTCGTGTCGCTCTCGGACAATCATGTCTCGATCCACGATCTGCAGACGTATGCGCTGCAGGAGAAGTTGGAGAAGACAAGAGGCGCTGCAACGTTCGCCGCTGCAAGCAATATCGTGAAGGATCCGAGTACGGGCATACCATCTATAGTGAGCAGGCTGGCTGTTGCCGTGAAGAGGAAGATTATACTGTGGACATGGCAGGACATGGAGCTGAGCGGAGATGCCACCGAAATCACACTAGTCGCGTCGGTTAAGAGCCTGACATGGGCAACGGGGACAAAGATCGTTGCTGGTATGGACCCCGGCTTCGTCATAGTCGATGTCGAGAGCCAGAACGTCCAGGATATTGTAAAGCCCGGCGCGTTGGGCGAAGCTGGGGGCCAGGGTGGCACACGGTTCGGCGCAGTCTCGTCCTCGGGCATGGGATACATGGGAATGGGCAGCTGGGTGCCGAAACCATTGGCGACACGACTGGGCGAGGGCGAAATGCTGCTGGCGAAGGACGTCAACAGCTTGTTCATCGACACGGACGGGAATGCGCTCGATAAGCGACAGGTTCCGTGGCCATCTGCTCCGGAGACTCTCGCATATTCCTATCCATACATGCTCTCTCTGCAACCACCATCGAAGGGAGGCCTTGAAGTCAGGAATCCAGACACGCTCAGCCTCTTGCAGACGATCGCGCTTCCAAACGCAAATTTTGTCCATGTTCCACAACCCAACATCAGCCTTGCCCATGCAGGCAAGGGATTCTTGGTTGCAAGCGACCGGTGCATTTGGCGAATGGGAGCGCAGAACTACGAGTCGCAGACCGACGAGCTGGTTCTGAATGGGCGGTATGACGAGGCGCTCAGCCTTCTCAATATGTTAGAGGACACTCTTCTCCACGACAAGGAAGGCAGGATGCGAGAAATCAAGATGCTCAAAGCCCAAGCGCTCTTTGACCTCCGCAAGTTTCGCGACGCAATGGACTTGTTCACGGATGCCAAAGCTCCGCCGGAGCGCGTCATCGCTCTCTATCCCAAGTCGATTGCGGGGAGTTTCTTGTCAACGGAGAGCGTGAAGGACGGAGAGAGTGTTGCAGATGAGGCAGAAGCAAACGGGGACAAGAGCGCTGCAGACAGCAAAGAAGTCCCCTCAACACCAGCCTCGACTATTGGCCGGTCGGTGATGGGTCGGTTCGTGGGACACAGGAAGGCTGAGTCTGACGCTGCATCAGTAAGGTCCGCGCCCAAGGACGATGCGACCGATACTGCAAGCATCAAGGGGAAAACCTCGGAAACTATCTTGCCGGATAGGAACCTTGAGGGCAAGGAGCTCAAGATCGCCGTACATGCACTCCAGTCCTTCTTAGCACAATGCCGCGTTCAAATCAAACGATATATCGACACCGACGGCATACTCAAGGAGCCTTTGCCCCAGCCGAGTGCAAGTCAGGCGGATGAGTACAAGCCTCCGTTCCACTACTTCATACAAACAACTGCGCCACCTGGGAAGGTCGACTGGGCTGCTGAGCTTCTCAAGGTCGCACAGCTGGTGGACACCACTCTCTTCCGAGCATATATGCTTGCTAGCCCAAGTCTCGCAGGCCCACTCTTCCGACTGCCAAATTTCTGTGAACCGGATGTGGTTAATGAGAAGCTGTACGAAACCGGGCGTTATGCGGATCTGATAGACTTTTTGCATGGGAAGAAGCTACACCGCCATGCACTTGAGCTGCTGGAGAAGTTTGGCAAAAATGAGGCTGATGAGGAAGTCGCACCAGCGCTCCAGGGACCACAGCGTACGGTCGGTTACTTGCAGCAACTTCCGCCTGAGATGATCGACCTGATACTTGAGTTCGCCGAATGGCCATTGCGAACCGATCCAGCACTAGGGATGGAAGTCTTCCTCGCAGACACTGAGAACGCCGAGACGCTTCCCCGAAATCGGGTAGTAGATTTCCTTCAGCAAATCGATCACAAGCTCGCCGTCCAGTACCTCGAGCACATCGTCGAAGAGCTCAACGACCTGACTCCGGACTTCCACCAACAACTTGTGGATCTTTTCCTTGAGCGGCTCAGGAGTGGTGATTTTGAGAACGAAGAACAGAAGGAACAGTGGAGGCAGCGCCTACAGGCGTTCCTGAAGACGAGCGCGGAGTATAACAAGTACCGCGTGTTGAAGCAACTGCCTCCTGATGACCCTGATTACTATGAGTCGCGAGCGATTGTGCTGAGCAAGATGGGCCAGCACAAGCAGGCACTGCGGATCTATGTGTTTCAGTTGAAGGACTATGAGAAAGCTGAGGAGTAAGTTCCACCATGGCTCGCCATATGACGTGAACTGATTATCCTAGATATTGCAACCAAACGTATCTTGCCGCACCTCAGCCGCAGTCTCCTACCAGAGCCTTCCAGCCGTCTTCAACAGGCCCGACTCTGGCGAGCTATGATGACGCCGAACCTTCGATATATCACACCCTCCTCTCACTCTACCTCACACCTCCACCTCCACACCAACCGAATTGGCCGCCGGCTCTCGAGCTCTTGAGCAAGCACGGTGCACGTCTCCCTGCAAACGTGACATTGGATCTCGTTCCTGCTACCCTCCCTGTCAAAGAACTCGAATCATACTTTCGCGGACGGATACGCAACGCAAACTCCGTTATGAACGAAGAGCGCATCGTCGCTCGACTCCGCGGCGTGGAAAAGGTAGAGATTGAGGCTGCGGTACTGCTCGGTGAGGGCAAGGTCGATGCGCACGGCAGGAGGATACCGGGCGGATTGAACAGGAGGGTCGTCATTGATGAGGATCGGCATTGTGCGGTTTGTCATAAGAGGTTCGGCGGTAGTGCGATTCGCGTGTATCCGGATAATAGTGTGGTGCACTCGGGATGCTTAAGGGGCAGCATTGGGAAGAAGAATAATGCCACTTCTTGGAGGTAGGTTGTGTATAGGACTTGTTGCGTAGCTGGGCGGTATGTCGAGTATAGAGTGCGTTTGATACCCGGTGTAGAATGCAATCCGTCTATTCTTAATGGCATCGCGTCTTGTCTTGTGCATTCACGCCATCTGCTCTCAGTCCCTGAAGCAGAGCCTCTTCCCGTGCGGTCGCGTTCCTCCCTGCGTCTGCCACTTCTCCAGACTCCAACAGTCTCCTCTACCCGCGCCCATGGTCATCCCTTTGTCGTGCGCTTTTCCCCAGCACGCGCCCTTCCTCCTCATATGTTCGTAAGACTACAGCGCACGACCCGTTTAGAACATCTTCCCATCTTCAATCCCCTTCCACAAGCTCCTCCCCGTAATTCTCCTCCTCCGCCGCGTCGTCCATCTTGCCCGCCTTGTCCTCCTCCATCTTCTGCGTCAGGAAGGAGTTGATGTCGCTCTGCAGGCTTCTGATTGAGGATTGGAGCGCGGCGAGGAAGGCGACGCGGTCGTGCGTTGAGGGAGAGGCGGGGATGGCGGGGAGCGGGTGCGTGAAGGTGGGCGGGGTGTCTGAGGGCGCGTTGGTGGCGGAGGAGGATGTGTAGGTCGCTGTGAGGGGGGGCATGCTGGCGGTGTTGGATGTTTGTTGGGCTGTTGGCGGAGTGTTGGATGGGGAGTTTTGCTGGTCGAAAGCGAAGGTGTGCTGGTTGTAGATTTGCGCAGCGAGTGATGGTGCTCGGTGGACGCCAAGCCACGGCGGCCCTGGGCGATCAGATCAACGCATGGTTCATGTCAAAGCCGAGCCTAAGTGAACCTCAGCCGTCGACTGCAACATCGCTCATGTTTATATACCCCCTTCTATATTCACTACCCGCGTCGTGCTGGTCATGATCGAGCCGTTTCAGCCGCCATCTACCCCGATCCCTTAACAGCCAGCCCTGCACAATAGTACCGTTGCAGCGCCCTCGCACTACTCCAGCCCCGTCGCACAGCGCGCACGCCATGCAGTCGTCTTCCCCGCCGCCGCAGACGCCAACGGTCCAGCGGCCCAACCCCTACGATGACTCCGACTCAGAAGACTCGCAAGTAACACTGCAGAGCCGTTCTCCCTTGCCTCCGCCTGCGCGCGCCGTCAAGTCCCCTGGCACTATCGAACCCCCTCCGCAGAACTATTCGCGCCCTGCACCACCCCGCGACGACTATGCAACCCAGAGTCACATTGGCGCGCAGCTAGGACACCGTCCGCGCCAGCGCTCACAGGGCTATTTTGAGCCGAGCCTCCCGTCAAACCAGGCCAGCATGTCGAACCTGGATGCCTCGCGCATCGCAGCCCAGACAGCCATGCACGCGAACCCGCAGCACACGCGCAAGCGCTCGACAACGATACCGGAGCCGGGCACGACAGGACCGGCGGGGAGACAGCCGTCCAGTCCGCCGCCCATGCCGGGACAACATACCGTGACTTTCAGGACGAACGGGATGACGTATCAGAATGGGCTCGTGGGTGGAAATAGGATGGCGGCGACGACGGCAGCGAATGTCGCGTTTCCGAGGAGTCCGCTGCATTCACCGGGCTTTCAGCAGCAACAGCCGGAGCATGGGTCGCCGAAGCCGGCATCGACGCCTGAGCCTATGCAGCCGCCTAAGACGAAAGAGAAAAGCAAGATGAAGCTATTCTCGAAGCCGAAGAACATCAAGATTGATAAGAGCAAGGAAGCCGATGGCAAGAATCAGGCGCTGCCATCACCGGGTAAGATGGGGATCGGTATTCATAGCTCACAGGCCCTCAATCGCATGATGATGAATCAGTCGACCACTAGCTTGGTGGAGCCCAGCATCAGTAGCAATGCCTCGATATACTCGTCTGCGAATGGATCAACGTCGACGCTGGTACCAAGGAATGATTCGTACCTGCCGCCGGAGAAAGAGAAGGATAAGCACAAGCATCATTTCTTGTCCCGGCAGAAGCACAAGCTCAAGGATAAAGACGACCACGCGCTTCCGTTATCCTCGGCAAGCAGCACTTCCAGGCCAGTGGACCCGAGCGCGCCGCAGCCATTGTATTCTTTCGCCGCCCCGGCATCGCCTGGGCATTCGAGCACATTTGCCAGTTCTGTAACGGGACTTGATTTAAGACATGGTGGCCGTCACCTGAGGCGGCAGAAAAAAGAGGAGAAAGCTGCTGCGTATCTCGATGCCCAGCTTGAACCTGCTTTCCGGGACCGCAAACAGTCGTTTAGCACTGAGCGGTCGGAATGGCCATCCATGGGAGGTAGCATAGGCGCTACTCCGATGGGAAGTCTCGGGCCGTCCCCGGGAACAACACTCTCGCATTCGAACGACACCATGTTGAATCTGGGTAACTCATTTGGTATCTCCGGCATGTCACCCGACGATGCCTGGCCACTCTTGAAAGCGAGGGTGCTGTTGATATTCGAGGGAGAGGATCCGCGACCGCCTGTCGAAGACTTCAACGCCTTGGTTACCGTTCACGTCAAGCGCTGTATACAGAAACGGTCTCCCATCATTCTTATCGAAGACCTCAATGAGCTGCTTATGACTGGCTTTGGTTCGCTGGATCAGACGCTCCGGCATGTTCCAGATGACCGTTTGATACCACATCTCGTCGAGATGTGGATCGTAGTTTTCACCACCATTCTTCCCTTCTTACAGGCCGTCTTCTTACCATTGGACCTGGAGTTCCGCGGCTCGGGCATTATGTCCTCTACCGCAGCCGCCGACTTCTGGGGCGTTCTACTGCCCGACGAAATGAACACCAAGTCACCCGAGAATAAGAACATTCCTATCCTTGGCGAGCTCGACGTCCGCCGCATCACGCTCCTCATGTTCCGCGACATAGTTATCCTCCCGCGCTACGACACCCTCATGGCCATCTTCTCCCGCCTCTCCCTCGACAACCTAAACGCCGGCCTTGAATCCCCCTCTCCCATTCCCGAAGCGCGCCCCAGCACGGCCGGAAGCTCGCAAGACATGATGCCCATGGGCAGCCTCCAATCCACCAGCCAAGGCAGCTCAGGCGGCTACCTCGAAAGCACCACCAGCATGACATCCAGCACCTTCGCCTCGTCCTCCCGCTCCCGCGCCACCTCCAACACCTCCGCCGGCTCCTTCTCTGCGCACTCGACGCTCTCGAACCCCAGTTACCTCAACCCTAACGCTGCGCTCCCGCCGACCCTCCGCGCGCAGCCCATGGATAGCGCAAAAGTCACCGAGACGGTGGGCCGCATGCTGCAGTGCGTGAGTGTGCTGGTTAGTCTGCAGAGTGGGGATGAGGCGCAGGAGAAGATGGGCAGGCTGAATAAGGAACTGAAGTATAATTGGCTAGGCAGAGGTAGGACAGGGAGACAGAGGCAGGGTTTCGTGGGCGCGAGGAGGGGTGGAGCGGGGTTGAATTTGGCACAGGGAGGGATTAGTGTGCCGGGCGTTGGGGCGTAGGAGAGAGGTTGTGGGATGGCGCATGTGGTTGATATGTACTGGTCAAGATGAATGGGCTATATGGGATGCTTTGCACACGGTACGGCGTCACTTGTTGTTGCTTCCAAAAAGACGGTGTTGGTGGTTTTTCCAAACCCCTTTCTTGTTACTGGATATGCGAACTGGATGGTGTGTGGGTGGGACCCTGTCTGGCGGAGTTGCATGGGGCTGGGGCGTCACTTGGTCTTCGCATACTTCGGGCGGTTGGTCCGCACCGGTAGGTTGTGCGGAAAAGTGACGCCTTTTGAATCGAATAGGTATGCGTTCCTTCCAAGTCCCTTATGTTTCATTATTCATAGCGCTAAACAAACAGACAGCCAATTCCAATTCTAGTGTTCTCCAGAATGGTACCCGAGTTCGAGTTCGAGTCCTCTCGCCGCGCTAGCGAGCTCCTTACACCGACCACTCCATTCCGTTACGGAACTATTGGCGAAGCCGGTGTTTTTAAAATGTTCTGATGCGCTTTTCTTTGGGTTGGGGGGTCAGATGTTGAGGTTGGAAGAGGGGGAGGCGGAGGCGGAGGAGGGAGGGGCGTACCGCGGTGCACATAACCGGCGTCGGGTCGCCTTGCGGGCATGTCTTGGAGTGGGAGTGGTATATCTGTGTTGGTGTTTTGGGTGCGTGGGTGCACTGGGAGATATGTTTTAGCAGCGACGGACATAGGATGGAGGCGATTTGAGAGCTATTTCCGCGATTTTGCTTGGGGGATTGGATGTCGATGTGCTCAGTGGGCCTCTTTGGGCGTATGGTGCACTAAGGAAAGGGACGAGATGACAGCGCAAGGGAAGGGAACGAGACGAGACGAGCGATCCCATCCAGGAAATAACAGATCCGAAGACCGGATATGAAATCGTACATTCGCTTATCCAACAAAGCTAATTGTAAACGTCGAAGAAAACATTGGCTCACTTCGTTCGCTAACGAGATGCCAGATGCCGCTGGCAATGGAGACGATTACCATGGTGAGGAGTTGGAGAAGCGCTAGGATGTCCTGGCGCGACCATTTGTCTGGACGAGCTTGCGAGGGTTCCATGATGGAGGAGCTTTGGAAAATGAGGGGGTGTGACAGAGTAGGTCGGCTGAAGGGACAGGAAGTGTAGCTCACATACATAAGATGCCTTGAATCGTTGTTGGGGCTTCGCGTCCAAGATGAACACCGTGGGCGCTGGACAGCCAATCGCGATGGCCGCCCACACTCGTATGGGACGCCCGGCCTGCCCGAGTCCGACCTGTGATTATGCAGTGCGAAAAAAAAGATTACCTTGTTCGGCTAGTAAAACGGGGCTGTACCTTGGGACGGCTTGATTCGATCATGCTCACGTGACATCGTGAAATGGACGAAGGTGCCATTTTTCCTATCTTAGAAGAAGGCCTATATATGTGGCGCTTCGGAATCGCATGACAGAGTGATGGTGGTCTTCGGAATGTAACTATAGGCGCTGCCTGTAAGTTCTAACCTTGTACAGTACCGAGGGCCTTTCTAACCTACCTACGTCTCTTCGAACTATATTCACTATTACAATATTAATTCTAGATCAACAGCCCTGAAGCCTCAATGAAGCATTCTGCCTACGATCATTCTTTGCAGGTGCGCTTAATAATCCTGCGCTGGGAGGCAGAGAACCATGGTAGGCTCGGCGGCCCTAGCCGGATAGCGTAAGCACGAATCGACACTCCTACGGCTTCCCGAGGCCCCGTCAGCCCGTCTCGTCCTCACGCTTATCCCACCAACATAGTTGCTTCGCAAAAACAGTCTTTCAACTAACTACCATGCTAATGGAACTCATTCGAACGACCTCGGCGACGCAGACGATCGTGATAGGCCCATATTACTTTACGCTCTAGCTAACCCCGACTCTCTGCGCACCACCACGACGTCTTAAGTCTCGATATCATCATCGGCGGAATATCTAACCGTCCCTCACGATAGATTGAATCCTTCATCCATGGATATGTACCGCGTAGTATGATGTAGCGTTGGTGGAAAACTGTACGGTATGGGCGACATTGCTGTAGTACCTCCCTGAAGAGCGAACAGTTTGAGGTAAGAGCAACTCAGTTGCGAAGTCGGAAAGATCAGCACTCTCACATCGTGGTCCCCATCTGTGCTCCTGAGACGAACAAGCTCCAGCTGATCTCTGCAATCCATTTGGCCTTAAGGATTCAGCCTTGTTGCTCTGTCAACGCCAGGCAGACATGCGCCTAACCGAGCTGCATGGCTTGCGTCGCTGGCATCGTCGAGCCCAATGACGCCCACACTTCCGAGCCGGAGGACCTTGAACTCTTTGTATATCATCTGCCCATACCTCCTCCTAGGTTTTCGCCTAGTCAGTTTCTTTTCTGCCTCCTTCACGCATCAGGCTGAGATACCAGACATCACGTGAGCGTGGATAAGCCGACTCTCCTCGCACCAATGGAAGGCTGGTGGCGCAGCGATGGCGCAGGCTACGGCGCGGGGGATATCACCGGAACTTTCCTTGGGACCCCAGGCTCACCGGCGATAGATGGGAATAGTGTAGCTGTGCCAGACCGTACCGGTTACGCACACGGTCCAACCCATCATCAACAAGGACTGGCTCAATGGGTCTCAGAAAACTATGCGGCTGAACCAAATATTTCATCCAGGCGCTTATCCAACAATGCCACTCCGTCTCGGGGAAGTACTGCTACTGCTTTTCCTAAAGCTTCGGTGTCGGATCCGCACAATCAAGACACAAAAGGCGGTAGAAGGAATTCGCGAGGTCCAACGCACAAACAGAAGGGGCAACCCCAACCGACCGTGGAGACATATGTGCCCGAATCTAAAGTCGGAACCCCAACGCCTGGGGATTACACGCAACATACAATATACTCACAACATCACCAACCAAGCTTGCAACCTCATACGCTGTACACCACGACATCAGCGCTGAATGCTGGATTCGATACCCAGCATCAGCTGGCAGAGCAAGGCTACCTGTCGAGCGCGAACGGACCAGCGCGTCATAATACCTATTCACATCAGCATCAATATGAACCTGTGCTTAAAGCCACCGATTCGGACGCCACAATCAAAATCAAACATCAGAGTGACGGAGTCGTTGAGTCGACCTTGCCAATCTTGCCGTCAGCGGCTCATCACCAGTCCACGGACTTCAACCAATATTCGCCTGGCATTTCCAGCTACAGCACTTCGGTATCTCGTCCTCGAGGAAAACTGCAGGATGCCTACCCGACCTACAGCACGAAGCGCACCTCAAACGTTGCGACTGAAGCTGCTGAACGTTTGCTGACGACGCCTCACTCTGATGCGATTACCGTTACATCGCTTGACGCCTCCGCTAGCCAGGATCCTCGCAATAGCACCCCATACTCTTCTCATAGCTCGACACAATATGATTCATCCGTACACATTGGTCCTGCTGGTCTAGAAATGTCGGATGCTAGAGCCGGCCCCGCTCGTCAGCCTAAGGACACCAGACATGCGGACACTTCCGCGGTAAAGTCCAGTGCTCTGCAGACAAATACAGGCTCAAACGTCATTCCGCACACAGCACAAGACCTCTGGCCACAACACATCATGGCTGTTGATCTATCCCCTTCCTCTAATTTGGTCGACACTGTTATAAACAAGGCGCACATTCAGCAGACAGATCCAGTCTCAAACATACCCACCCAGCCGCATTCGGAAGTAACATCCGTAACCCCGAGTCGATTCGAACCATCGCAACCTTTGGCCTCCCGGTCTACGGGTATCGTCATGCCACAGGTGCATGCCCAGCAGCCAGGACATGCCTCCGATGGCTCTTTTCAGCATATTCCGTCTACGTCAACTGCCGCTACAGTAGTCACCAGCGCACTCCAGGAAGCTCATTCGAAATCTCACCATTCAGCGACTCCCGGCTCGCAAAACTCACATGAGCTTCTCGCCATCCTAGACACATTAGGGCCGGCACAATATGCGTCGGCACAATCAGGGGAACCTCGAGCAGACTTATATGTGCCGACAGCATCCATGCCAGAACCGCAACTGACAATGTTCCATGAAAGCAGACCACACTCAACGCCAACCGGCTCCGTGGAGGATCAGCCATTCCAACCTTCTCCCGTTGGAGCTCCCCTAGACGTAAAAATATTGAACTCTGCGACTCCGAAAAAGGACGCTTCAGACGCTTCGATATCTAGTACTCTTACCCCCGCGGAAGCGGCTCCTGTGATCAACAGTGGCTGGATCTGGGACAACGATCGGAAGGACTACTATTATTACAACTACACGGATCGGTGCCATGTATACTCAAAGGGAACGAAGATCTATGCAGAGGCACAACAACCCCAGCCGCTTAGCACTGTGCCTGAGTCAACCACGAAATCCCCAACCAACGAACAACAGCGCTACTCAGATAGTACTGATACTCAGAGGAACTTCAAATCATCTTCTTCGATGGAAGGGAACCTACCAATCCCTCTCACGATTGATGGAGCTACTGTTGGGAAAGAACATCAGACGCCTCCACACAAAGAGAGTCATATGCCGAACATAACACAGCCACGTCAGGTCGTAACGCAATCGCATCAGGTGCCGGAACTGGTAAGGCAAGACGAACACCCAATCACGACCGTGCATAACGTCACCCAATCCTATGAAATACCGACACGGACGAACTCCACCGAGGTCCCGATGGCCGCTGCACAGAATCCCACAGTTGCACCTCGCTATCAAAGGGTACCAAGATCTTATGGAGCTCCCAGCACGCATCCAAGTAACCCGATGCCTGTGGCCCCTACTACGATGGTGTCACCACCATTCATCACACCTCCATCACACATGCGTCAAGCGGACACTTCTAGGAGTGGTGCCGTTATGCAAGTGGAACAAACGACTATCTCGTTGCATACAGCTCCAGGTACCCGTGCCATAGTGCCGCCAAGTCCCACTGTACAAGGAAACCATGCATCTAGCTCCGAACCTAGTAGAGATGCGGGCAAAGTTACATGTGTCTTAGATCTGTCCAGTGATGACGTCCAAGTAGCAGTTAACGCGACAATCTCGGGAGCTGCTGTTGTTAAGAAGGTTAAGTCTTCCGTGCCAGAGCCTTCTTACAGAGACCACCGACGCTCTCATACACCTCGAACTATAAACCGGCCCTCTTCCTCCGCAATCTCGCATAAGGTTACCGAACAGCTTATTAACATCATTGATTCCAGCATCTACGAAGCTCTTCAAGGCCGGGCATCATCACAGACTGTGCTCAAGATCATCCATGCAGGCGACACTCCCGATAGGGAAAAGGCTGCGGTGGCGGATGCTATCGCCAGCGCACAAGTGTGCGACGACCTTAAGCTGGAATCGAGTACGGAAGCAGCTGCTGTGGACGCTCTGAAGTGTTCGGAGAACCAAACCGCCCCTGAAGCAGTAAAGCCTGGAGACAAGGTGGTTGTTTGCCATACTACCGCGACCGTCATTGACGCCACAACATACGCCATTGGGTCCGCAGATGCGTCTTTACAGGAGGTTGTTGCTGGCGAAGGAAAAAATAATGGAGCTCGCAGCATTGACGACGAGCTACGGGAGTGGGTGAAGCGGACCTTCAGCAACGGCTCTTATCCCTACTTTGACCTAGACCACATCGAGCCAGGGACTCCTTTCGCATCCACCTTTCAGAAGATTAAAGAAACATTCGGCTCTGAGGACCAGGAAGACGACGAATTCTTCTTACCCTTGCGCATGCGAAGTGTCCCAAGCTCTCGATATTACTCTAGCAGTCGCAGAATGGTCAAAGTTCCTAGCAACAGAGTGGAGCTCTTCTTTCAGCCTACGCTGAGAGCAGTGAAGGAAGTTTTGGATCATCAAGTCTCTCGAGCGCAGGCAGCCTCCGTTCAGGTCGAAAAAGTGCTCTTCCTAGGAGAGCTTGCCAGGTTCCCGTACATGAAAAAGCATGTACAGCAGTGGTGTTACACGGCCACCACTTCGTATGCGGCATATCTACGTTTTGTTTGCTACGATCGGCCGTAAGTGGAATTTTCGCATACTGCAGTCTAAACGACATGAGTAACCACAGTCACAGGCAATATGCGCTAGTCCAAGGAGCGATCCACCAAGAACGCGATCAAGTCCGGGTGCAACGGAAGAGTCGTAGACACTATGGCTATGAACTGATGCTACCATTCAAAGCTGGAGACCGGCGAGACTACCGCACACTTGATCTTTATACTCGTCGATATTTCTGCTGTCACAGAGCGAGTTGGAAGATAGCCAAGGTTAGTGATGACGAGGTACATAGTCCGCTATTCCGTGAATCTGACCAAAGAAATCTTGTAAGGGTACAACCATCGATCCAGGTACTTGCGTGTCCGAAGACGTGCGTCTAACCGTCTACGAGCGCGACCGGAAATACGGAACGACTGCGAAACTTCTGTCTAGCACCGAAGATACTCCGCCACAGTATGCGACTAGCTCTCGGGTCGATATCATAGGATGCGTCAAGATTGATTTCACCCTTGATGAGGTCAAGAGTGCGACCCCTGCTGGTCCTGTCTGGAATAAGAGTTGTGGATGGGTTTGGCAACCAAACTATCGTATCGATGTTGAGCTTGGGCATAAAGACAAGTTGCATGTAAGAGCTGTTCTTGCCAGTGGTCGCGTAGTTGGGCGTTCTTCAATCAATTATGAAGGCGGTTAGGTGGATGCGACGGAGGGTGTGCGGCCTGTCTTTGCAATCTTTAGTGGTCATATCTGCTGTAAGTTTTTCTTCGTTTCATCACGGCCACCCTTATGTCTGGAACGCCATATATTCCTCTTATACTTTCTACCTTGATGCCGATTAGAATGTCTTTCAGGTATATTCTCTTAACACTTTGCTCCTCAATAGCAACTATCGGCACCTGCTCTACACTGTCGCTCAATTTTCCTCGTAGATGAAGAAGGTCTTCGAACTCTGCTCAGACTTGGTTGCGTGATGAAGTGTTAGAGCGTCGCTAATGAACTAAGCTGGCGACTTTTATAACCCTAGCGCACGGAACTGGAATCTTTCCCGAAATCTGAGTGAACCATATCCAGGTGGTTCAGTTTATCCACCGTTGCAGGTACGACACACCCATGATAATGGCCACTGAATCGACAATTCCAGAAAACTTCTAATTCACTGTTCATGCCCTCAAAACCCCTGTGCCTCATTCGAAACAACGGGTACCTCGAACTGCCTTCGTCCCCAAACAAAGTAATACACTGCTCCAATTATCACCCATCCTACCATAACTACCGAAGAGTAGTTCATGTTTTGCGACGTGACCGGCATAAGCGTAGGAAACGTACTAAACACCATCGCTAGCACTAACCACGCACAAGCGAGAAGGTTCAGTGCTACCCCTAACATCTTCGGCAGCCGAAAGGGTCCGAACTCATGCTTCGTCAATTTCGGTCGCCCAAAGAGCATGAAGTACACTATCGGGATCATGTAAGATGCGTACAGGCCGAGGATGGCCATGGAGAGGATGGCGTTGAATGCTGTGCTGTTACCGAGGTATATGAACCCGAGAAGCATTTGCAGAATCGTGACCACGACGACAGAGCGAACTGGAATCTGCGACGAGTGGTTTACGTGCGAAAAGTACGTGGAGAACGGTGTGGCCTTGTCGCGAGCAAAAGCCCAAAATGTGCGTGACGTGGAAGTGATGCCAGCCGCTGTTGCCGCAATAGCGATGAGAGTGATTACTATGGAGAGGATCGTGGCTCCGGCGTGAGACTTCGTGGCGTTGAGAAAGATCTGCATGAAGGGAAAGCCGGTTGGAGTCGAGAGCAGCTCTTCCAGGGGTCCCGTGCAGAATAGAAGCATGATGCAATATGCCAGTCCCAGGATGCCGTTGACGACCACGGAACCAACCATCGCCAGAGGCACATTACGGGATGCGTGAGGCATCTCTTCTGCAAGGTGGCAGGCTGCGTCATATCCAAGCAGCGGGTAGACGGCGGAGAGGAGACCAACAAGCCAGGAGACACCGTCGTTGGACCAGCCACTACTGTTGGTCACTTCGAGAAAGACGAAATGAGGCGTGTTCTTCTCGCTCATTGCTCCCAGGACTACTATGATGGTCAGGAATCCTGCAATGTGGAGAATGCCTGAGAGAAGGTTGGTGGTGGGAAGCATCCGCGATCCCCATATATTCACGGCGGCACCGTATATAAGAACAGCCCAGTATAGAAGCAGCGCTTGCCAGCGTTGAGGCGGATATCCGTCATCATTGAGGATGATCAGGGCTTGGGTCTGCAGAGCGGCTGCGAAAGCAGCGGATGCAGTTAAGACGATCTGCCCGCCAACGTTGATCCAGCCTGAGAACCAGGCTGCGACGGAGCGAGTTGAGGGAGGCGAGAGTGCAGCGACCCAGTGATATTGTCCTGTTCTGTGGTCAGCTCTAAAGTCCTCTAGTATGATATGCGTTGACGAACCTCCCGCTGTTGGATAAATGGACGCGATCTCTCCCAGCGATACTGTGATGGCGATGGTGCAAACAATGGATATGAAACTATAGAATATTAGCACACCTCCGTCTCCGAGCTAATAGCACCAAACCTACAAGTTCCAAAACAGACATGGCGCCCCTCCAGTCATCAAAGCCGTCGCGACAACGGTACTGAGAGCCTCCCAGGTGGCCATTAAGCACAGACACAGACTTCCAAGACTCCATATTGAGAAGTCCCTCTTCAGCTCCTGTATATGACCAAGCTGAGCTAACCGTTCGTCGTCGCTGTGCGTCTTCGTGGGCTCAATCTTTTCCATCATGGGGTCTGCCATTTCCAGATGTTGACGGTCGCGTTTTCTTTCGATGGGATCAGGAAGCCGCATTTTAACGTACGAGATACCTTATTTAAAAATTTCCGTAAGAAACTTGGATCAATTCATAGATATCTTATCTTCTTCGAGGGTAACGTCAAAAGCGAAAGTCATGGAATTAGACATGTTGGATGTGCTTCCTAGAGCTAGAAGGGCGGCATAATTCCGCAACTGCGGAACCGAGCTTAGCTCGCTCGACTGGAGTGTCTTGGATCGGCGACTACCCCAGAAAGGCAGGTACATCCATCGGCGAATCAGATCAAACCGAAAGCAGACACACTTTACGTCGCAATTTGTCGCGGAGACGATCGAGACCACTCGTAGGGACAAGGCAGTCCTTAGGCCGTTCTAGCCTTCCAAGGTTGTCATGGGAGGTTTGTTGAAGCGAGCAACTACCCTCTTACTACTTCGTGCTCTTGTAACGGACTTCGCAGGATCTTATCAGCATTGACTACACCGCTTACTGAAGTACTGTTTGAGACCCATAAATTGAACTGGTCAAGACTCCCACGACTGATAGATCAAGAGCAGCAGAGACGAGGCTGTAGGAATGGCTTATATTCCCTACACTAGCACTTCAATGGCTACAAAGCCATTAGCGAGAAAAGCAGAAGAGATTTTCACCCAATACTACACAGTATGTGAATTAGGAAAGTGAGTGGTCGGGATCATGGGGGGGGCGTTTCAGACGAAGTTGCTAATTCCGCCTTGGTTTCCGCAGGCAAAATAGCATTGATGCAGACCATAAAGGAGCCGCTTTCCCAATCCAGGAATTACCCCAAACCACCTCCAGAGAAGACTGTTCTAGTCCCAAGAAATTAACTGCATTTGCAAAGTGCGGAACGCCGGGTCGTACTGAATTATGCGCACGCGTTTTCAGAACTACGCTTGTTACACTTAAGGCTCCTTAGCTCATTCTACACAATGCACGAGCATACTTGGGAAAGTTCAATCTATCACGCAACTTGCACAATGCTCAAATATTCTAGTCTTGTCTTTGCACAGTGCCGCCGTTTCACTCCTCTTGAAAACCCGGCGACCACATTTTTAACCTAGTTTAACCAACCTACCTCCGACTTCCGACTCTGAAATTTGGATTGAAACATGCCCCTCCGTGGTAGGCTTTTCAGTAAGACGAGTCATACCCGTAGTGCGTCCACACCAGCTAGGCCACTAGATCCAGGAGACTACGCCTTTCATGAGGAAGTTCGACGACGGCAAATTGCCGAATGGGAAGAGCGCTTGATTGGATATCGGCGCGAAGGAGGGCAAATCGAGCCGACCGGTCCTGATCCATGCCTCACTGGTGAGAGCCGCCTTCTCGAAGCACCCCCAGCCCAGCCTGGTCCGCCGCCTTCGACTCCACTGCCGCCGCTCCTTTATCCATCTGCAGCAAACCGACCAGCAGTGGAATCGCTCTCGATGTATCCCCAGAATACACATGTGCAGCGAGCAACTCGCTCACAGACTCGCCTTACACAACTTAATGCTTCGTATGCACAAACCAACCTAGTGAATCCTTTGCCTAAGCAGTCCATGATACCACGCAAGCCTGTTCCACCTCCAAAGGATCGACCAGCAACAGCAGCTCCGCGAATTAGACCTTCCACTGGAGTACCAGAGCATAGCGAACTGTGGTTCGATGACCAACTCGCACACTTCCGGCGAAATCCTTCATCGCCACCAGTGACCCCGGGTCCGTCAAACTGGCTGGGTGAACGCGTGCCACCTCGTTCAGCTCCCTTCCAAACACATCAAGGTTCCTCAGGTAATGTTCTAGTGCGGCCGTCCTCAGTTCAGCCAATTCGACCAGCCAGGCCACCGCGTCTCAATACGGCACTCTTAGGATTCCGCTCAAATGTTGCAGACTTCCGTCAGATGTTGCCCCCAGAGATGCAACCGCCAGACAAGCCACTTCCAGCATTGCCTTCGCCGGTGCCCCAACTTCCGAGCTTGGAATTTGACACGGATGGCTCATTACATGAAGATAAAGACCTATCAAAGTACCTGACGGCTGATAAGTCGGGTCTCGAGCCATTCAAGCGAAGGATGCCGACCTCGACGGCAATTGTGAAGGGCGACATCAAAAAGATCGTTGGAACTGAATAGGTTCCTTCTAATCTGTGAGACAGCTCAAGGTAATTACGTGTTAATTTGTGGTCCTGAAAAGCCTTGAAGCAAGTACAAGTCGAAGGGTTACCTTCATGGATGCAGTAACTATCGATAAATGACGCATATAAGAAGGCAGATGTGCCTCAAACCGCATGGACAAAGGAATTGCTCTTAAATAAGGAGTAATATCCATCGCTCATATAAAGAGAACAGTCGCACTTGTCTCCTAAACCCTAGATTCTCTTCACTAGATTCCGTTCACTAGATTCTTCACCTTTCCCTAGCGTTGACCTACCAAGGTTACCCCTAAAACGGCCCAACCGAATCTAGTAGTATGCCAACTTTGCAACCTCACCTACTCACCTCCCTTCTCAAGGCCTAGAAGATTCGGGAAATCTTAAAGGAAGAGATTAATGAAAGACCCTGACCATTCATTCTGGGTTTTGGAGACTTTCGCTCTCGAGGATAGCAAGGTGAAATATTGCATCGCAGGATTACGATTCGCTCGCATTCTCGCAACAACCCAGATGCTCCCGAGGTGAATCCGGAGCTTTCACGCCTGCTCGGGCTCGATGCCTTAGGCTATAAAACGATTCCCCTGACCTTCCGGTGAAACCTCATCTACACACTTTCTATCTCTACCCAACTAGTTGGTCCCAGTTCCTCAACAACCTCGTTCAACCATGGCTAACGACTCCGATTCGGACTCTGATACTTATATCTACCCACCCGCACGTGTCAAACCCGTCGTCATCGTCCTAAAACAATGCCCTGCTCCTAGGGCCGTCGAGGTTGAGGAGCTTCTCGTCGAGGGCGAAGTCCGATGGCGACTTACGAATCGAAATGGCTGCAACGCTACCCAAACATTGGAACCAGTACGTTGCGGACCACCAAATTCAACAATGTCCTCTCTGAAATGACTACATCTAAGCCTTTAGAGCTTGGTACATGGCACACTTCTGCGAGAAGCACTGAGCGAATGAAGAGGTCCGATCGCGGGGGATCCACATGGGGCCTGATTGTCACGTTGAACTTGAACAGCGACCGGCTCAAAGACGTTACGAGACCTATGCAAGACCCTATAGATTCCTTTTGTGACCGATCGAAGCGGACGCTGATCGTCAAACTTAAGGTACCTAGATAAACCAGGACCGCTTCACACTCGGCGGGAACTTCACAAGCAGCTGCTGCATCTTCCAGCACAGGAACGAAGCGAAGGGTGGCCATCGGGCTAGCCGTCCCGACCAGCTCAAACGCCTGAAATTCGGGGACTAACTGCCTTGAGTCCACAAGATGATATACATCATATGGATATCGCGGGCAAAGGGGTTGCGTGGTGAACAGTCGCTGCAATCGATGATCTGATGTTGGAGGGTGGACGTTCGTCATGGGTTTAGGTTCCGGTAGTGCTGCGAATACCCCAGCAAACCCGCGCAGCTTCATGAGAGTTGCGAGAGGAGAACCTGAAAAATTAATACATACCGGCCTGGATTCCACGACATTGATGTAATAATTCTTCATTTGGCTTCATTAGGATAAAAGAACCATCTGCAGAGACGCTTCATGATGGCTATTGGGCTGTGGTGAATGATTCTGTCACGTGATATTGCCCCAACCTTTCATCGAGATACGAATGAAAACTCGGATACCAAAGGTCTCTGAAGTCACCTCGTGAGAACCGTCCTTGTAATCTAATCTGGAGGATAACATGCAGAACTTTTCGACAGGGTGACCCGTTTTAACCGTCGATGGATGACTTGAATCCCTCAATACCGGCCGGTACAGCTTACAACCCAGAGGGAAAAGTGGGCAATGGCGCCCCACCAGTTGATGAATTCCTGCGGATCGAGCATAAATTAACGATGGCGGGAGGGAAGGATCTTTCCGCTGTACGTCATGGGGGTCGGTTCGGCTCGCTAGCGCTGCTCCACTTTTCGCGTGTCGTACACCTTCCCCTTCTCGTCGCGGAATCTGACGAGAGCACCCCAGACCACACTTGTCCCTCCGTTTGTGCGTCTGTATACGCTGCCACTGTCCCAATCCGTCGATGTACAGGTTCGTTTCCTTTCGGTGACCGACCGGCCGACACCATGCGCCCTCCCGTAACAGCGCGACATTAGTGGTTATCCCATGCTTGCGCCGTTTCCTTGATTCAGCCCCTCTCGCGCAGCCTTTGAGGTTGGCAGCTGTGTCTTCGTTCCACATCTGCAGTCAGCATGCAAGTTATGAAAGCGATGCTGTACCCCGGTCCCGATCGACGACCGCAGAGCGAACTCAACGGCTCAGGCGTCCCATTATTCCAGTGGTTTGGTATTCTCCGGGGCACTCTGTGTCGGGTACTGGGATGTCATCATGTGTTGCACGGTACTTCTAGGTGGCTTTGGTGTCTGGATGTCGCGAGGTCTGCGGTTTCATCTCCGATCTCACCTCAAGTCCCGTATCATGTACCTGCAGCCACACCCCATCCCGTCATTAGTCCTGTTCAGGAATCGTTTTCAAGGTATTGGATATCCGCAGCAAGTGGCTTTCCCGTGCCGTGAGAGTGGTTTGCCACGAGATGCAGCTTCCTGAAGGATTCCTACCTGTTTAGGCAAATTATCTGCCCAGCCGTTTGGGGTCTGCAAAGCACCATGCCTGGTACCCCCCAGTGTCTGTCACACTGCAGCGCCGGTCATACTGCCTCCAGTCACAGAACCTTGGAAGCCTTGCTCGCCTTGCTACCCCTGAACTCTGGAGATATGAATATGGAGTCAGTTCACTCCTTCCCGCTCCATCCCGGCCCCACCTAAGCACTGGTCTACCGATCCCACCACACGGTGTCATTACGAACGCAATGGCCGGCCAAGGTCCACCCCAAGGTGCAACGACAGACATGAACGCTGCCTTCGTCGACTCCTCCTTGCTTGGGGTAGCTATCTCCTTACCTCTAATTGCGTCAATTTGCGTGGTCCTGCGATTCTGTGCAAGAAGACGGCGAAGTAGTGGAAGAAACACGGGCGATGACTGGACCATTCTGCTTACTCTAGTGAGTACCGCTAAAGGGTGGCTTGAGTGACAGAGTCGGCTGATAGTACCTGTTCAAGCTCCTCTGTTGGGGACACTCTATCAACACTATCGTAGCCGGTGGCCTCGGCGGTATCAACATCATCAAGATACCGCCGCGAGAGTACGCCAACATGGCTTTGCGAGTAAGAATTTGGCTCGAATCTCTAGGGCTGCAAGATCAAAAGCTGATCGCCTTCTAGACATTATGGATCTCGAGCTTCTTCCTCATATCGGCCCTTTTCACCGTCAAAGTTTCGATCCTGCTTTTCTACTGGCATATCTTCTCTATCAACCATCGCTTCCGAAAAGCATGTCTTGTTACGATTGTCATTCTTACTCTGTGGTGGATATCTTCCTTGATCGTGCGTACTCGTTCCTAGCTAAACCCCGTAAAACGCTGATGGCTTATAGCTCGTCTTTCTATCCACCGATCCTATCCAATCAGCCTGGGAGAATGCTGCCGAAGCCAAGCATCGATTCGATTTCAACACCTGGTATGTTTCGTACTCAGGCTTGTCCATATTCTTCGACGTGGTCATACTCTGCTTCCCGATTCCGGTCATAAAGTCATTGCGTATCAACATAAAGCGGAAGGTCTCAATCATCGGCATCTTCTGGCTGGGAGGCTTCGTCTGCGTCTCCGCCACCATACGCTTCGTCCTCCTCTACAATTCCATCTATCGGCTCACCGATTACGGGGAGAACCAGTACAGCTCCATCACCACAGCCTTCATCTGGGCAGAGATCGAGCCGAATACATCTGTTATCGCGGCTTGCTTGCCGACGTATGGTCCGCTGTTCAGAGAAGGGGGCATCTTCCCTAAACTTTTCCAGTCATTGCTAACGGCTTTGGGCAAGTCGAAGGGAAGCGCGCACGGGTCTACCCCATCCGGCGTGAGCAACGCGACTACTGTTGGGTATTACGAACTAGACAAGGTAATCAGCAACAGCAAGACCACAGGCGACATACACACCCAAAGAGTAACACCGAACCGGGTTCCAGCAATTGGTGGTGCAGGAGGTGACGGGCAGGACGTGAGGCGCGCTCCGAAGGCCCGACTAGCTCGTTGACGCGGATCGCTCGGGGCTTACAGGGGTTACCGCACGGAGTTCGGTGCATACAGCAGCTCTCTGCTTGTCGCACGCATCGTAGCGGCGAAAGCGGTCGTGAACTGACTGAATTTTGAGAAATGCCTTTTCTTTGGGACCAAAGGTTCCCGTGGTCTTCCACTGCCCTCTTATGCTTCCCTGCAAGCACTCGCCGTTGCCAGAAAACTTTTACGAGCCAAGCCCGACTCTGCCAAACTGGTGAAAGTCGCTTCATGCACTACGCGTAATAGGCATAGCGTTATCGCTCCTCCCCAACTCCACCCCGCTCTATCGTAGCACAGTAATAATCCACTTCAATCAGCCACTACACCTGAAGCTCAAGAGTGGGGCTGAAGACTGCTATAAAGGGCATCGGCTTCTGAATGCTTGCTAGAGCGACCGTGCGGGAATTTAGCCTGGAACATTTTCTACACGCTGACGACCATGGGACGCATAGCTTTCATCGCCGGCATATGTCTATCAGCTGCGGCCCTGGTCCAAGCCGTTCCGGTAAATTCACGCATGACTTGATATGCTCTATTCACTCTGACGCTTCCAGTTCTCCCCAAAACTGCATAAGAACACGGCTCTCGTTCTGATCGACATCCAGAATGATTTCATCACCGGTTCACTAAACAACGCACGCGCTCCCGTCATCTTACCAAAGGTCTATCAGCTTCTGGACGACCACGAATGGCCCTTTATCGTCGCGTCGCAGGACTGGCATCCTATAGGGCACGTTTCCTTCGCCTCCGCTCATGCTGGGAAGCAGCCACTTGACACCGTAAATATCACATTCCTCGATACGCCCACGAAAATGGAACAGCAGACGGTTTACGCCGACCACTGCGTGCCTGGCACATGGGGCGCAGGGATTGAAGAGGGTGTCCAGACACGCTTGTATTATCTCGAGGGTTATCGCACACCGGTTAATTACATCAAGAAAGCGCAGGACCATTCTGTCGACTCGTACTCGGCCTTCGCGGACAATCAGTATCACCGTTTTACGACACTGAATTCGGAATTGACCCTTCATCGCGTAGACACGATCCTTGTGACAGGACTTATCACCAATGCCTGTGTGCGTGGAACGTGCATCGATGGGATCAAATTGGGATATGAGGTAATCCTTATCGAAGATGCGACAGAGACACTATCAGATGAGATCAAGGCGAGCACGATTGAAGAGTTGGAGGGGTGGGGTAAGGAAGCATCTTTTCAGAGAGGGGGATGAGTGCTGACGGTCTACCTAGGTGTCCAAGTGATGAATCTTACTCAATGGGAGTCTACAAATCCCACCAGATTGCAGAGGCGAGCGCTCAAAGAGCTTTGATATCCGGAAAGATGCGATTTCTTTATAACGCAACGTCTCATATCAAACTTAATCCAGACAACTTATTCCTCGAGCATCTGTTGACAATGATAGCCCTTCGCAGCTCTTCCTTGCTGTTGGAAAGCACCAAGCCGTCAGTGGAATCACTACATATGTATCTATCAGCAGGGATGGGTAAGAAGGTCAAAAACAATATCCGGCTGACATTGGATAGCTCACGAGCAAGTGATCCCCTTCGTCAACTAGCCTTGCGAAAGCGATTTATACAAAGTCGCTGTTTTCCAACCTGGTATTTAGATATTGACTATATCAAGTATACTGCTTATACCGACTAATGCAAACCCAGATAATTTTAGCGGAACTCCCATCGGATATAAGAAAAGGATGTACCTAGCAGAAAATCACGCCCCAGTCGATCCTACCGAAAGTCTGCCTTGCTGATAGCTAGCGTAAAATCTATACGTTGGTGACTCAAAACAAGAAAAATAAATCAATCCATCCCTCCGGCATCAGTGCGGACCGGATGTCGCCATTGAACATTCTCTACCCAGTTGCCCGGCATAACATAGCTTCGTCGACCGCCAAACGAACCAAAACACGAAATAGGTAGCTCCCTGTATACACCAAAGCCAACGAGCCCTACGCTCTCCGAATCCGATCAAGATTGCCAGGGTCCTAGCTACTCCGCCCATGTTGGCTAGGGAGATCGTCCTCACGACACATACATTCCACGCAACATAGGATCCTGCAAGTGTACACGGAAAAGGCGGCACACGGGGGAATTGCCGTACCGAGGCCCTCTTGGAGCGATGAATCTTGAGCAACGGCAATGACGTACATGCATATCCCGGTCAATCCTGCAGAAGCAAGGATGTAGCTATATCGGCCAAATTAGATGACATTCGCGACATCTTCAAGATTCCTGCTCCGACTTACAGTGGGAAACGAGCGGGGCTAAGGCGGTATTTGGCGGTCCAGATGTACGTCGAGGTGGCTGTGACCCATACGGCGAAAGCCCTATGAAGATCAGCACGCTATCCCCCTTGAGGTAGTCCAACGAGTGACTCGACTCACATCCAAGACACCAATGCTGGGACGGCCGTATCATTCCTCATGATCACGAAGGCGATGCTCGAAACGGCCATTGCAGGCGCGAGCAGATTCCACACGGCAAGCCAATACCTTGCCCCCACTACCAGACACGCGCAAACGAGCCACCCGATTGCGAATATGAGAATTTCAATACTTGTGGCCCGGGAGAACGTCGTCGACCCATTCTTCGCCAGGTGTGACGCTAGAGTATTGCCATTTGGATGCGCAGCCAGAGAAGGTTCAATTGGCATGGCAGTTGCAACTGAGCACAACAGTACGAGTAACGTATTTGCGGCGACGAGCCTCGAGGGGTGTGCGACGTGGAATGGTCCACGACTGCCTTTGAAGGGACCTGTGGAGTCGAGCCAGGGATGCGCCGAACAATCCACACCATCGATTTCACCAGTCGAGCGGTAATTTCCTGGCTTCGGAAAATCTCTTCTGCCTACACTATGTAAGCCTTCCGCCGTATTTGGAAGACCAAGATTTGCAGCTCACCTTCCTCAGCACCCACGTTTCGGTCTACCGACGCCCGCGAAGCAATAGACAGCGAAGTCATAAGGTTATGCCTTCCAGATGCTAACATTCCCTTGTTTAACCCCGGTGTGGGAAAGGCGGGTTGGTGATAAACATGCAAGCCATGCTTCCGATCGTCCTTCAAGCCCACGATCCAGTCCACGTCCAGACATCTGACGGAAGAAGAGTATAGGCTCCCGTGACCGAAGTCTGGAAGGGTAACCGGATCAAACTTAATATGATCTCCAATTTCCGACATTCGAATGCGAAGGTCTTTCCCTGCCGACTCTCCAGGCCCCGAAGCCGAATGATTGGCATGCTCATCCTCAAAAACTTGTCGTTCTTCTGATGACACCGGTGTTGCCTCCTTCAGCACCAATTGGAAGATATCTTTACAGCTATCTTTGCCTTCGTGTGGAGATAGATCTTGCCCAGCAGTCGGACGGAGCTCTTTCATCTTGGAATGTCAGGAAGGGAATGTAGTAACCGGACAATAGTAGAGAAGGCTAGACAGTAACCGGCTACTTCAAAGGCACTGCGCCATCAGGTTGCGAAGGCAAGTTTGATAAAGACAGAGTTGAAGAGCTTGGAGCTATGTCAAAGCCAGAGTCGTAGAGGAAGGGAGTGGAGCGAGACAGGACATGGAGGGCAACCTTGGGTGCAACAAGCTTGACAGGCTCCAATGTTGGCAGTGGCGGTGCAAACGTTTGCAAAAGTGCGCATAACCTCCCGATTTCTCTCGTGGAATGTCAAGGCACTCTTCGTACTCCTTGTGGAATACGTAACGAAGTACGGAAGAGCCGATTCTGAGGTCTTATTCGCCAGACGATCATATCTACGTTGTGCAGGGCGGGGCGCAGCCTTATCATTAATTTGGATACTACAGACACGTCAGCCGATTTCACACTTCTCTTCACCGGCGAAGTTGCCGGTCAGGACAGAACCCGCCGTCCTTCTTCACTCCCTGTTCCCCGACTCCACTCAGCTTTATGAACTATCTCTTCTACGCACCAATGCTTCTTTAAAGAAAATGGTATATCACGCCTCTGACTGAGGGTTCCCAAGAAACTTAATCCCGACGCAGCGCGTTTCTTTATCTCTCCACTTCGAGACAATGGCCTTTTTCGGTATGGGCATATGCCGTCTCTTCTCTCAATCTTCGCTTCGCAAACCCGAACGCTACGAATCTATCCGGCAGGATTTTGAAGTGTCGTATGACGGCAAGGATCTAGGTCTGGCTCCAAGGATTGCGTACGGCACCTCTCTACTAAAACCAAGTTGCAGCCCATCCAACGCCCTCGTCCTCGACCGATGACCCTCCAAGCCCGGAGTGCCCCCAGGAGGAATTTCAGTTCACGGCCCACAGTGATATCAAGGCCGATCCGTACCCGATCCTCTCTCACAGCAACCACTACCGTAACGCAAACGAAGCAGTCCACTCGCCATTAAGGACCCTCCCCTCTCCGCTTTCCAAACAATTGGCCTTCCATCTTTCGTGCCATTGTTCGAACATCTCCAGTACTCCTTCCTCAGACACGACGCTCGGTCGCGACGCAATTAGCATGAGTGGCTTATGCAAGCGTAGCGTATCGGATACAAAGTTTGATAATGACGGAATGCGTACCTTGCGCGAGACTGTATGCGTTCTTGGAGGGATGGCTTCCGCTCTGGCCGCATCCGGAGCCCACTACGGCTTTGACCTAGCTCAAATTCGTCAGTCCGGCGGATCGAACCCTCTACTCCCTTCATTTCCGAGCATGTGCCCCTCTGAAGGGATCTGCACCAACTTGGCCTGTCTGTCCGGCTTCGCAATCTCAACGACTTGCTTCTATCGCATACATGAGCTGGATTCATATCAAGATTACTGGCTGATCTGTGGTCTCATGAGCGGGGTTATGGGCGGGCTCATCGCTGGAATGCGTCTTTTAGGGTGTCTTGTATATGTACTTCCCTGGACCATTCTGGTGTCGCTGCTCGCAAGCGCGTTGACTCATAGGGCTATACGTCACCCGGTTCCCGAGGCGGGAGTTGTTTCTGGGAAGCTGGTATGAACGGATCCGGCGCGGGATTTAGAGCGCGGTTTAATCTAAAGAGGAGCAAGTATCCGTCGTATCGGACGGTCGTTTTTTCAAAGCGCGATTTCTTCACAGCCACCGTGGCTGCTGGTCAGGGATTCTTCGAAGAAGCTCCTGCGGCCACTCTTAGAATATCTTTACCCTTTTTCAACACTGTAAGATGAACCAAATCAATATAGTCAATACTTCTCCTTGCAGAATCTTTGAATCAGAGATGTTCGATCCCAGAGTGTTGCAAGGGTGCGGTGGAGGCTGTGTCCATCACGTGATGTGCGGATCAACACACATGCGCATGTACCCATGTATTCCCCGTTCATTCGCTTAAGATTAGGAAGATATAGAAAGCTAAAGCTTTTGGAATAAGATGTGGGAAATCAGAGGCGGCTTGCGGTGTTGGCAAGTCCGTGTTCACTTTAGGATTAGCGCTATGACTCAGCCTTGAAGTTAGGCACCCGTCCGTCTCTCTTCCAAGGTTTTCTCCCACCTCATCTCACTCTGCAACTCTAGGACCTTCGAGCAGAGCACTTCTAGGAGAGGAACTCGTTGCTTTCAACGAAAAGACGCGAAAATATGCGCGTGCCTCCGGAAATCCTGCGCCTAATCTTGGAATGGGCGGAGAACGACTTCGCGCTGAAACATTTCTTCGCGCTTCGGCTGGTAAACAGTAAGCAAAAATAATCGCCTTTCCCATGCTGCAACGCTAACGATGACAGGACTGTTCGACAATGAAGTCCTCTTTCTAGCATTCAAAGCGCCACGACTGGACACCATCTTTCGCAGCATCGCGAAATCTTTCCACCACTTCCCCTCTCGTCTAAAGCGCAAATACCTCTATTACCAGATTGAGCGGCACAACCACGGGCGACCGTCCGTCTTTTCGACCTTGTTCTTTCGAGCTTATGACCTGCAGGTCCAGAGAAGAGGGATCAGCCCGGAAGCAGCAAGCTCACCTGCAAGGGAAGAGCTTCTCCGGGAAATAGTCGATAGTGTTGATCTCTATATCTTCACTACACGCTACTCCAATAACCCATGGATTTCATTTGCCCGGGGGCGAGAGATAAAGCACTGGCTGTCCATATTCCGCATCCTCTTTCCGAACGCCTATCCGGACGTCAACCTTGCCCTGCGGCTCTACCTGATGCTTCGAGGAGAATGGACCGCGGCTTCCGGCTACACAATTCAGCTTCAAGTTCTACTATATGACCCAGTAGCTACGCAGTACCGGTTCGCATTCGCACACGACGCAATGAGGTTCGCTGTATCGAGCCGCAGCTCATGGATTTCTAAGACCGTATGTTGCATGCTCGACGAGGACTTGAAGAACATGCCGTTAAGACCTTATATCGAGGAAGCTGCAAAGAACGTGGAATTCCCCCAGGACATCTACTTCACAAACATGCTCCTTCACAGGTTGATGGGAGGCGATGCCACCAGGGTATCTGTAGACAACCAGCTGTTACCATGCATAGGCAATGCGATCGCGAACGCGCTTGCTACTGGTGAGACAGAAGTCTCTGCAATTATCATAGACATGATGAGCAGATGCGGATCGATTCGCGCCCTCCACCAGGTCTTCCACGATGTTTATGGAGGGGACTGGACTACTGGGAGGACGCATATGTTGACGTCGGCTAGAATGAAGGCTATCAAAGAAGAGGCTCAACTGAGGATCATGACTCTTGAGAAGTCAAGCGATGTGCAGAAGCCAGAGCCACCAAATCGCTTCGAGACGTTCAGGCTACAGTGGCAGAGGATCAAGTCACGAATGCGAGTTATCTGAGTACTCGAGGCTCTAATCGGCCCTATCCTCCAGCCAAGCCTCCCCTCCACGCTCCGCTCACATCACCTTCCTAATCTGTAACCGCCAAGCCTTATCTCCGCCCTCCGCCACGAACCAGCCACCAGCAACACCTTCCGATCGAAGTCTGGCCAAGAGCTACGTTTCAGACGATTAAATGAAGAGACCATTCAGAATGCACAGCTCGGCTATCTGCTCCTTCAAACGTACATCTCCCGCACCTGCAGAAGGCTTGGTACCTGCCTCATCCACTAAGTACGACGATATGGACTTATGCAGCGTCGGGCACGCGCTGGGATTGGCAGGTACCCACCGCCACCTGTGCCTGCGAAGAGCATAAAGAGAACATACTTGCCTTGCTAGTTGGCGACTTCAGCGCTGCTGTTCTCCACTTGCGGGGCGCATTCTTAACCATGAGGTCATTATTCCTTTCCACACTCATCTTCTCTACAGCTCTGGGTGTTGTTGTCCCTAGAGCAGGGAAGAAGATCGACTACAATGGGTTCAAGCTCCTGCGCGTCAGTCTGTCTGAAGGAGCAGAAGATGTCGAGGCTCAGATCGAAGAGCTAGCGGCGCACGTTTTGAATCCAGGCAAGACAGCGCACCTCGACGTCGTCGTGTCGCCCTCAGATGCCGATGCAGTCACTGCATTGGCTGCCACGAGCACTGTCCTCAACGAAGATGTTGGCGCAGCGTTAGCGGAAGAGGGCGAACTTGCTGCGTACGAGGGTGGAATGAGTGCTCTCGCCGGTTCGTCGACCTAGCTTCTGATTACGTTAGGTAGCTGAGAAGTTTTAGTTCCAAGTGAGACGTGGTTCACCGCCTATCATTCCTACGCGGACCATCTTTCGTTCCTCAGCGACCTGCAAGCTGGCTTTCCAGGCCAGTCTGAGCTCTTCACCACTGGAAGCTCGGTGCAAGGACGGACATTGACCGGCATCCATATCTGGGGAAGTGGAGGAAAGGGCTCGAAGCCCGCTGTCCTTCTCCACGGAACAGTCCACGCCAGAGAATGGATCAGCACCATGGCATGTCTCTTGACCCCACTTCAGCATCGCACTTCTAATCATACCTGCAGACTACCGAATACTTCGCCTGGCAACTCCTCACAAAATATGCCTCCGATGCCACCGTGAAGTCCCTCGTCGACAAATTTGACTACTACATCATCCCCGTCGTAAACCCAGACGGTACAAATCCCCCAGCCCATCCCCTTGCATCACTAACCCCTCCTTAGGCTTCGTCTACTCGCAAACCACCGACCGCCTCTGGCGCAAGAACCGACAAACCGTCAGCGGCAACTCCTGCGTCGGCCGCGACATCAACCGCAACTGGCCGTTCAAGTGGGAAGTGCCCGGCGGCGCCTCGACCAATCCGTGCTCCGAGACGTACAAGGGGCAGGCCGCGGGCGATTCTCCAGAGAACACGGGGCTTAGAACGCAAGTCGATGCTTTGAAAGCGAGCACGGGGATCAGGCTGTATCTGGATGTGCATTCTTATGGACAGTATATTCTTTGGCGTAAGTTCCTGCTTCCCCTTTGTAGCTGACGGAGAAGGAGGTTGTGTGGCTGATCGAAGGACAGCGTATGGCTATGACTGCAACCTCGTGGTGCATAATGACGCGGAGCACCGCTCGCTTGCTACGCGGGCTGCCTCGGCTATCCAGGCTGTGTCTGGTACCGCATATACGATCGGTCCGGCTTGTGCTACGTTGTATGCTACCACGGGCGATTCCACTGATTACACCGATGGGGTTGGGAATGCTACGTATTCGTATACGTATGAGCTGCGGGATACGGGAAGGTATGGGTTTACGCTGCCCGCGAACCAGATTCAGCCTACTGTTAGAGAGACATGGGAGGGGTTCATTAGCATGTTGAAGGATGCTTGACGGATTCGGAGCTAGCAGACTGATTCCATGACCACGGTCTGGAAATGCAAATTCAATTACATGAAATCGTGCACAAGTACTACGGGGTGATAGGTTCGAAAACGACAAACAGAGTAAATTAACCCGAGCTATTGCTGGTGCTACGTAATCTTATACATACTGCAGCCTCTCCGCCGTCCATCTGGGCCTCAAATACTCCGACTCAAACCTCGAACTCCAGCTACTCTCCACCGCATACTCCTGTTCCAACCTCACATCCACCTTAGCCCCCTCCTCCGACTGTGCCCACACGCTCAACCCAACCGTATTATCACCCGCGTAATTCAGCACACCGGGCGGGACTGGGAACCGTACCTCGTTCCCGACCCACGGATTAAATCGCGCATACTGGTATCCGTTGACGAAGAGTTGCACGCGGACCTTCCGCGATGCGGGTGCGTTGAGCACGAATGCGAAGGATGCGTCGACGCCTGTAGGGATGTTCATGGCAAAGGTGGTCCGGTAGAAGGAGATGCCGGCACCGGAGAAGCCGGTGGAGGGAGAGCTGGAGTTCCAGGCGGAGTCATCGAAGCCGGGAAGGTGCCAGCCTAGACGTTCGGCGGTGAGACCTCCTTCGCTTAATGGGCCTCGGACGGGGTCGAGTTGCTGTCGTTCCCCATTGACTTCACCAGCAATCTTCCATTTCGTAAAGGAGGCTCCGCCTTCAAGGCTTGCGCGGAGAATGCCGCGAGGTTGCACAGCTGCCGCCCGCAAGTCGTGTCCTGTGTTGTCTTGCGCAACGAGCAAGATGTTCGATCTGTTGGAGTGCACCGTCGCATTCTCAAAGGACAAGGTCATGTTAGCCGTCCCAACCGATGAATTTCCCAGATATGAGCCCAGGAAGTCCCCATTGAGCCAGGCGCTCCATCCGAACGCCATGCCGCCTTGCACGGCGAGATTGACTGCTGTCGCAGGTCTTTCGAAGTACCCACGGAAGAGGTGGAAGCTGTTATGGAATCCGTAGTCATCGACGTACAAAACAGGAAGTGTGTCGGGTTTCGTGGGGTTCGGTGTGGTAGAATGGTTCGCTTCGATCCAAGCAGGTCCATCATCTTTGTAAGTTGGAAGTCTTTCAGGGAGGCTGTCGTGAACCTTCCACGAATCCAATGACGGGAGAGTGATTTTCGGTGTAGAAGAAGCCACCCCGGCTTTCAGGCTGCCGTATGGTGTTCTCTGAGTGCGCAGACCTTTGCCATTCCAACTGACAGCCCTCACCTCTTTCGACGCGAAAACTTCGATGATGGTGTTATTGGCCAAAATATCACCCTTGAGCGAGAGACTGTGTCCGTCGGGAGACGCGCTGCGTACCAGATACGGTCCCACGACGATTACTGTAGAAATCATTAGTCATAAGGTCTACGATAGCACAAGAGAAGAACCTACCAGACTTGTCAACCGGACCGAATGGATCGTTCGATAGGTTAGGCGCCCAAATGAGGTACGCAGTCGGCTTGTCGGCAACGATGACCTTGACGTTGTTGTCGAACTCGAAAATGGCCATGCCGTTCACCGCCGGTATAGAGGTGAGAATGCCATGTTCATCCGCATGGAATGTGGCATTTGTTGCTCCTACACTCTGGCTCCGCACTGCCCCTTTAGTCGCACCCTTAAGATGAAACTCAGTTGACTCTCCCGCGCCGGTCCACAGTACAAGAACTGGATGTCCGTCGATGAGTGCATATGTAAGCACCTCCGCGGTCGAATAGGTCAGTATTTGCTTTCCCATTGCGAAGTCGGTCACCACGATCTTCGATTGATGGCCGTTCAAAAAAATAGATCCGCCCCGCTGCGGAATGGTCAGGTTACCGACCGAGGTGCTCACGCGAAGCTGGAAAGACTCTTTGGTAGAAGATGGCGAATACGAATGGATAGTAACGTAAAACGCAGCGTTGGTATCAGGGTTGCGCAGTTCGCTCGTCGCGATCGCCGAATTCGTGGAATAAGAGGTACTGTTTTCCACTCGGTTGGTAATCGTGAGGTCCTTTGCGACCCTTGTGAACATGGCCAAGTTCTTTGTTTCGTAGTACTTGCTATCGATCTTACGGTTCTCGCTGATGGGACTGGAGTAATCATAGCTTGTCGCGACGACAGGTGCGGCGAACGCTCCCCAGTTGGTACCGCCATACATCATGTAAAGGCTGATGGCTGTAACGCGCTGGGAGATGAGGTTCCGATAGAACCTGGGATATTAGCGAACGGAACGGTCCTCGCTGAAGCCGGATGTCTACTCACAGATTGGCAAAGTCCGCTCCAATGTCTCCAGGGCAGCCTCCTTCCGGCCCACCCCAGGGGTTGTATGAGCCACCTTGGAACTCCGGGAAGAAACTCGGCTCAGTAGGGGTAGTGTTCTTGAAATAATCATAGTAGTTCACGACCTGGTAAGCGACATATTCCCCGTTCGTGCCAGTGCACTCGTCCAAATTGCAACTCCAGCACGATGGATAGCTGTCGACACCCGAAACATCGACATTGCCAGTGGCATTCGGGGCGAAGTCCTGCGACCAACTCTTCGAGTTCATGTTCGGGTTGTTGTGAATGAGCGGCACGTCAATGCCATTGTCTCGAGCCGATGCTTCCAGAAGGGCCATGTATCGAGCCGCCGATTCGTTGGGTACTTTCTTGCTTGCGTCGCCCACCCATTGCTCGCCATATTCGTTCTCGATTTGGTAAACGAAAGCGGTGCCTCCCTTAGTCACGAGATGCTTGCTCGTGATCTCAGAGAACTTAGCGAAGAAAGGTTCCCAGGCAGCAGTATATCGCGGGTCATCGTCTCGCAATTCACCGTATGCACGGTAGTCAGCCACAACGGGAACCCTCCAGCATTTGCTTCCGCGTTCACGTAGGGTCCCGGTCGGACGATGACATACAAGCCCACCCGTTTTGCAGTCTCGAGGAGCCTCTCAAAATTATGCGCGCCCGTCTCGAAATCCAAGGTATGGTTATTGGCGCTATGCCAACTAAAGTAGCGGTACGATTAGCATGTCTCATAATGGCATTCGTACCGCGATGTTGACTTACGCCCAATTGCCGTAAAAGGCAACTATCACTATGGTCAGACCCCAATGCAAAAATGGGAGGATCAAATCTACTTACATGCTGTGAAGCCCGCTGCCTTGATCTTCTCCAGCAGATCCTCCCAAACTTCGGGGACCGGGATCCGCCAGTAATGAAGCTCTCCAGAAAAGACGAATAGTCGCTGGCCGTTGACCTTGAAGCTGTAATGATCCCACTGAACAACATCATTCAAGCCATTGTCATGAAGCGGCCATTGGCTCGGCGAGCCGTTCTGGGCCTGCACAACTCCATTCCCAATCAGACACACCGACAGCGTCAAGGCGGAGACCCACGAAAAGCCTCCCAGGATCCTCATTTTCGGAAACCGTGAGGGAGCGAAAAAAGGACGAGCCAATGATGCCGAGAGCCATTTCGTCGGACCGTTTAGCTTTTATCACGTTGGGGGATTGAAGCGCGGAGGGCTAAGAGCCTCCGCAAATGATGACGCAGGTACGAGTACGGGCGGAGAAGATGAAGGCGGAAGGACTGCCATTGCGGGGTTGGTGAGGGTGTTCCAGAAGCTCAGAATGGTGGGTTTGCGACCAGGAAATGGCCGTGCCATGAACCGGGAAAAGTCAACGGAAGATATTTGTCGGCGGACATTGGGCCGATTTGCCGAAACCGGGACGCATGCTGTACGGAAAGCGCGCTCATGAGGTGATGGGGCAGTCGATGGATTCCAAAAGGATGCTGAGTCGAGATGGTGTGGAAGTTGGGGAATCGGTCAAGCCACAGTCACCAGCCACCTGCGCCATCCGTCCATTTAGAGAAAGAAAGGGGGCTGGGCGTCCTCAAGACTGCACCTCGGGATCGATCGACCCACGGTTGTTGACCTTTTTCGTTTACGTCGCCCTCCTTTCTTAAGCCAACCTCATGACAGTATTAGAATTCGTCGCTTTCGAATCTGCACGTGGAAGATGACCCCATGGCTTTCGACGGCAGGTATGTATTACAGGGAGCCTGATTCCTCTCCCCCTAACCCTCCACCTAATAAACAGGCATCTTAAAAGCATCCAAGTCATACTGCCAAGTATCCACACTCTCCTGATCATACACGCACTGCAGCTCCGTCCCATTCCCGCCATACAACGGCCTCAGCGGCCACATACAAATCTTCTGGTTCTGGCCCTTATTCGCGCCCAACGACACCGTCGCGTTCAGCATCTCGGGCGCCACGCCATTCTCCACCCAGTCAATCAGCTGCGTCATACTCGTCCGCGGCCATCCGCCGTTCGGCTGCCCGGAGTTCGCGCCGCAATGGCCCGCGCCGGGGACGAGGTAGAGGCGGTAGAAGTCTTGGAGCTGGGAGGCTGACTCGTTGTAGCCGAGCCCCGGGTACATGATCGAGCGGACGCTCTCCCAGTACCGCACGCTGCTCGCCGCGGGGATCGAATCGTCAGACTCGCCGTGGTAGTGGATCACTTTGCCGCCGGCACTCTGGAAGCGCTTCAGGTCCGGCCAGGTGGTCTGGAAGCTGTCTTCGTACCTCTGCCAGAGGTCGTAGATCCATTCTACGAGCGTGTCGTACGTCACTCCCTCGAGACTGGTGAGTGTCGATGTGTTGCGCAGCTCGAGATAGCGCGTTACGAACTCCCCGCCCAGACCGCTGATGCTGACCTCCCATTTCCCTGTCGCGTTGTTGTATTTTGTCTGCGCGTCGACGAAGGATGCAGCCGGCTGGTAGGAAAAGTATCCTTGTCGGCCTTGGAGGTCATGCAGTCCGCCGATGATAGTTTGCGCGACTGCTACTGCTTGCGCTGAGACGGTGCCATTTTGTGCTGGAGTTGGGGCTCCTGCGCCTGGACCGAAACCACCACCACCTGAGGAGGCTGCGCAGTTGTATGGCGTGCCAATAGTGCTGTTGATGTTGAACTGGAGTTTGCAGAGATCGGAACGTGCGACTACACCATCAGTCTTGCCGTCCAGAGGGTCGCAGAACTTGATGGTAGCGTTGACGATGGCCTGGAGTTCGCACGGCGGCGGGTAATAGCCAAGGGTATGCTCCACGACGTTCGAATACAGATGCTGGATCTGCTGGTGTGCAAAGCGGAAAGCCGGCGCGCCGACAGACGCTCCGTCCAGCTCGTCGAAACGCTGCATTTGACTCCATCCCTCGCGACCTCCTTCAGAGCATCCTTGGTAGTACGCGTAGAGCTTCGTCCCGTTCTGCATGCTGAATAGGTTCTTCGTCAACTGCTTCCCGAGTACTGTCATCTCGTGGATGGCCTGGTAGCCGAACATATACACGTTCTCCCAGTTGATGGTGCCATTGGCGAGCAGGAAGTGCGCATCCTCCTGCGTATTGAAGTTCCCGAAACCGCCATCCGTCAGTCCGCTAACTGCGCCTATGCTGACACCTCCAGAGACGGTCGAGCTGCCGGAGTTGATGGCCAACCCACCACCGCCCGTAGCGAGGAATCGGTTTTGGAACTGAGACGGATCCGGAACCCAGTAAGCGACATGCACGAGATCGTCGCGGCCGTTATGCGTATATGCGAAGGAAATGTTGCAGTAGCTGATGGTCGCGTCCGGGAAGAAGGTGTTGCTGCTGATGGAGTAGTTCGTAGTCAGCGTCGTGACTACGGACGACGCATCGATCGTAATTCCTTGATAGAAGCCTTCGGCAGGCAATGCGGACTGCGCGTAGGATGTCGTGCAGAGTTGATCCAGGGTGAGCGCCGCCGCAGAGGCCACAGAGGCCGTTAAGCAGAACAGCATACGCATAGCGACGGGTTGGTTGTAACAAATGGAAACTCCAAAGAACGTGTGGAGATAGTCCCAGCCGCTACGAATACGAACGAGCGTGGCTGAACGCACGATACAAAGGTTTTGCAGTGGGACGAAACATTATTTCAATGGACTCCACGGTCCCACAAAGCATAAACGTCTTCCCAGAGATCGTGGACGCGCGTCAATTGTGCTCGCTTGGTTGTACGAAATTTTGGGTATATCGAAGTATAAATGCTGGTAGAATGTCGGAAATGATGTCTTTAAACGGGCTTTGCGTACTACCTAGCTACGTCGGTTATTGTTCTAGCCCCGACCGCGGTTGAAACGAAACAGGGCCGGTTCTTGAGGAACGCCCGCCTCGCGCTCGGTTGAGCCGCGTCGTTCGTGCTTTTCTGGAGTGCATAGATCGGCGCTGGTGAACCCCGGATTTGCGCGTAGTTCGGTAGCTAAACCGTTCGCTACTGTAGAATAGTGTGCGCTTCTTTAGGGTTCGTACATGCGGAGCCGGCCGACCGTGCATTCTAGCCTCATGTGCGGTTCTGATGTGAAGTGAAGAAGGACAAGGAAGCAGGGTTGGCAAAATCGCGGTGATGCAAACGAGTGGACTGATGGGAAGCTATCAAAACTACATACCTAGTATAGAACCTCCTCAACATAATGCCACGAGCCGTCAATTTCTTACCGCGGCCAATCTCAATTTCTAGATTCCGCCTCGCATTTCCCTTTTCGCCACTTCTCACCTCGGGCGAAGATATCCGCTGCTGTGGGAGTGGAAATAGACCCAGGAACTCACTTGAGCTCCATCCAGGCTTGCTGCCCCTCGTCCTGAACCACGAAAGTAGGCGTCTTCTTCCCAGCCGTCGCGGGCAAGATCTCAGGTTCTAGTTTCGCCACTCCAGTGCTCCTCAAGACCTTCCCCCTAGCATCAACGGCCTCGGCGACGACGTGCATGACCTGCTTATTTGGAATCTCCAGAGCAGTCTCGAAGCTAACGCGAGGCGCCTCCCCAAGGAAGCTCTTCGCGCCGTACTTGCCGGTCACAGCATAGAAGCGCCAAGTTTTGGTCTCCGTGTCGCCATTCCAGGAGACGTAGACCGTGGTGCCTTCATCGTTCTCCAGGGCGACTATGGCGGGCTCCTCGTTAGGAAGGCCGGTCCAGTTGTAGCGAAAGCCGCGGTAGTTCTCCACACCGAGATCGAGGTAGCCACTGTCCATGTAGAAATGGAAGAGTACATTGCCTTTAGAGTCGTATTCGGTGAGAGCGCCCTCGGAACCCCAGTTCACGATGACGTTGCCGTTAGGGAGGAGCTGCGTGGAGCCTTGAGACTTGGAGCGGAGGTTATCTGGAGGGTAGAAGCCTTGCACAAGCTCAGCAGTCCACGCATCGGTGTCCAGTTTGATGATCTTGCCGCTGCTCGTAGGTGCGGTGTGGACTTCAGTGCCACGACCGTCCTCGGTACCATGAGCAGAATTATCGTACAAGGAGATGTATTCAATGTTGTCGCCTTCATTCTCGCTTTTGAGCTCGGGATGGAAGCGGGCATGGTGCTGGAAGCAGAAGGTCACGTTCTTGCCAAGCGTGAAGGAAGAGTTCTTGCCGTCCAATCGCCACATAATAGAGCCATCAGAACCGCTGATCTTATGGACTGAGCATGCATCACGCGCGGAGATGAGGTAGTCGCCGTCAGTGTTCTTGTCGACGCTGTTGATGTGGAAGTAGTCCCAAGCGTCCGAGGAGTTGTAGCCCGAGCCTGCCTGGCCTGGGTTGAGTGGGAGTACAGCCTCTGTAGTGAATTAGTTCGAGATCAGACACAACATAGGGACTGTAGATTCTGGTGGATGATCATGGACACGTACCATATGGAGTGACGTGGTCCAGACTGGCCCATTCAAAAAGCATCTCGCCAGTACTCATGTCGAGCTCTTGGAAGATAGCGTTGACGATCCATTGCTGCTCCTCGCTGGCACCCCACGCAGTCAAGTCGTATGGGACAGGTTGATAGATCTGGATCACAGCAGTGTTGTCACTGACGACGTGAAACTCATGCTTATCCGTGAGCTTATGGTTTCCGGCTCTCAGCTCGCGAATAGTCTCGTAGTGCTGGTCCATAATGGCTAACGTAAATGGTTAGATGCATTCCACTCAGACTTCATGCGGCTGACTCACTCGTATGTCCATGCCCATGCCTGTGTTGTGTGAGCAGAGAATCTAACCTAGAATTCGAAGGAAGCTCACCCATATCCAGCGTTGTGATCGCCCTCAAAACTGAAGAGCACATCCTGGCCCTTCCATCTTGCCGCTTGGAAGTTGGTCGACCAGATGGAGTAGATACCATAGCCAGACCAGACCAAGTCTCCGTTGTCGCGGAAGATGTACGGGCCGGCCTGACGAGGGCCATGCTGCTCCGTCGCGGTGTCATGAAACCCGGCAAAAGGAGCTACAAAAAGGTACCCTTTCTCGACATTGTCGGCCGCTGGAATGGTGATATTCAGACGAGGCGGTGCCAAATCTGTGCGCGACTTGTACTGCCAGTCGGCAACGGCGAGCTGCACGATTCCAGCTGCTGCGATGATGGACCGTCTCATGGTGGATTGGCAGCACTGCCGCGGTCAGAACACAACGAATGCATCATCTTGCAGGAAGGGTACATTGACCTTGTTGAGGCTTCTGAACTGTGTGTGGACTTCAAAGGGGGGTTGGCAGGATTGGGTGAAGTCGCTTTGCAGAACTCGATGGCGATGCACACGTCCTTTATCCCACCTTTAGCGTCAAGCATCCTTATCATGGCGTGCTCGCGTTCCTCCGAGCGATATCCCCTGTCGACGCTGGCGTTGGCGGAGTTGGCCTATCATCATAGCGGGTGGCCGCGATGCGGGGCAAGCGCGCTACTGTGGGATATCAAAACTGGGGTGGACTGCACCACGTCGCCCACGCTTATGCTCAACAAGCGCAAGATACGTCCGAAATCGCGATTCGATTAGTCCTGGAAATGAAGAGCCTGCAGGGGCGGCACTCCCAAGGGCGGAGGAAGGGCGCACGTCGATCTCCGACATGCCGGTTCCGGCCTGTGAAAAATTTAGCTCTCCATGCCCAGGAACGGCGGCTGCATACTTGAGAGCTACTATTGCGTGCTTTGCGATGCTGCGGCGCAATCATGGCTCTCCTTCGCGACGCTGAGAACGATATTCCGGAGCCCGGGGAAGACACGCCGTTGCTGCTGAAGGCGCCCGAAGAGGACAATTGGAGGGCGCCGCGGGGCTTCTTCTGGATCGAGTCTGCCATCTTTGCGAACGTCTTCCTCTATGGCTTTGACGGCACCATCACAGCAGCGACATACGCCGTCATAAGCTCAGAGTTCGACGCCGCGAACACGGCGTCATGGCTGACAACGTCGTATCTGGTCACAAGCACCGCCTTCCAGCCACTGTACGGTCGCTTCAGTGACATCTTCGGAAGGCGGGTCTGCTTCTTCGTCTCGACCATCACTTTCGCGGCCGGCTGCTTGGGATGCGGGCTCGCGACAAACATGGCCTTCGCAAATTGGATGCGAGCGTTGACAGGTTTCGGAGGCGGAGGCTTGATGACAATGGGTAAGAGCCCCTGCTTGCCGCGCGGATTAGTGCACGTGACTAACGCATTGTTCCAGCTACGATTGTTAATTCCGATATGATCCCTTTTCGCAAGCGCGGAATGTATCAGGCTCTTCAAAACGGAATGTATGGCTTTGGCGCAATATGCGGTGCCTCCTTTGGTGGCTCTATTGCAGACTCGATCGGATGGCGATGGTGCTTCTTGATCCAGGTGCCGATATCAGCAATCGCTCTGTTCCTCGGTTGGCTAGTCATCAAAAGTCCAGTCGAGTTGCATCCGACATGGAAAGAGATCAAGGCAAGGGTAGATTTCTCTGGCTCGCTGCTCCTAGTGGTCGCCGTCTCCGTCCAGCTCGTTGGCTTGAGCTTGGGCGGGAATGAACTTCCTTGGAGCAACCCATGGGTGATCGGGTCCCTCGTCGCGAGTGTCGTTCTTTTGGGAGCTTTCTTTCTGGTCGAAGCCAAAACCACTGCCATCCCTGTTATCCCACTGCGTCAGCTGCGCGGGAGGAATCCCATTGCAATTCAGACAGCGAATGTTTGTGCCGGAACAGCAGCCTACGCAGTGAGTAACCACGCCTGCCGGTATTGGTCCAGAGCTAATTACCTTGCAGTACCTCTTTATGCTTCCCCTGTTCTTCCAGGTCGTCCTGCTCGATTCTGCTACAAAGGCTGGTGCGCGTCTTGCGATCCCTTCCCTTGCGACCCCAATAGCTGGACTGGTTGCGGGCATCGTCATGTCGTGCTGGGGGAAACTAATAACACTCGTCAGAATCGGCGCGCTGTTCATGACTCTAGGGAACGGGTTGGTGACTTCTCTATCCTTCTACGATAAATCCTGGAAGTACCTGGTCTACATCTTTCCCGCGAACTTTGGGCAAGGCATCATCTATCCAGCCACTTTATTCACGACACTTGCTTCGTTCGATCACTCCGGTATGTATTTTTCGATGATAGCTAGGCGGAACGATACTAAGCTCTCCAGATCACGCAGTCTCTGCCTCAACAGTTTACTTGATCCGTTCTTTAGGGAGCGTGTGGGGAGTTGCCATCACGGCCACCATTGTCCAAAACACACTCAGTGCTGGACTGCCGGACGCCTTGGCCGGTATCCCGAACAAAGATAAGGTAGGCTACCGCGAGAATGTCTTCCGCAAGTACTAACTGTAGCGAGATTATCAACGATATCCGACATTCCGTGACAGCACTCCGCACTCTCCCCCCCGATATCCAGCTGAAGGCTCGGCTGGTGTACTATGACGGTATCAGGTACTCTTTTGCAGCATCCACCGGTATCGCAGCGATAGCGATCGTGGCTAGCCTTTTTGCGTACAACGCCGGCTTGCGCAATACACACTAAGGATTTGTTTTCCAAGGTTGTTTTTGAATCATCCCGTGCAATCGGGCAGAGTCACTCCTACATAGCGTGTTGCATTTTCGAGAAGGCAAAAGTTGACATTAAAATTAGCATATCATATAGAAGGGTCTGACGTCGAGAAAAGGAATCTGCTTATGGACGTTATTCTGCACGGCATCAGCTTGATTATGCCTTTTCGGATGCACCCTTTCTCGATCGAGCAGTGCGCACTCTATCGCCTGCACGGGACATGAAGCCGCTACGTTCGACGCCACCGCCCTTTGACTGTGGAAAGGGCGGCATTGCGGGCTTCTCCGCACTTCAGCCCATCCTGCAGGGTCAAGGTCCTTACACGTGGGTGAAGGCCGATCATCTAATCACTAATAAGCCCAGGGACACTGATAGGAAAATACCCCAGGCCCAGAACGACATTCCCCACCATCCGACTTCGGCTCGTGGTGGTAACCGCACTAACCTTAGCCTTATCACGCAATGTAGGGGTGGTATCGCGATACCAAGCAACCCCACCAAGCCACTCGGCCTTACCGTTATCAGGACTGATAGTGAGCAAGGGAGTGTGTATAACAATGCCTCAGGTTCACACGAAGTGGTACCACAACTACCGCTCCTCCTAATACAATCTATCAACGCGGTTTCGCAGGTCCCCAGACTTCAAGATCCTCACAATGGCCGAAGAGAAAGAAAAAGGCGTCGAATCCGGCATCCTCACCGGCGCTTCCCCGACCCCGAGCACCTTCAACGCCGAAGCCATCGAGCTATCTTCCCGCCAGTATGGTTCCTGCGAACCGCACGTCTTCTCCGACCCCATCCGCTGCCAGCACTGGCAGGAGGTCTATGAGAACGCGAAGTACGAAGGCAGACACAGGTTCGACCCGACGTTGACCTGGTCTCCTCAGAGTGAATGCCGTCTTAAAAGGAAGGTAACCCCTAATAATGCCGCAACGCCGCCTTCCTCTCGCTTTTATGGTTTGTATTGCTCAATGTCGATAATGGAGGCTGATCGTTTGTTGTGATACAGTTGGACTTGCGCATCATGCTCTGGGTCTGGGTCATGTTCTCGAGCTTGGATCTCGTGAGGCGCAATATCAATCGCGCCGTGTCCGATAACATGGTAATACTACTCCCCATTCTCTAGCTACATGGAATAGTGGACTTACAACTGCTGCAGCTTGATGACATCGGCGTCAACACGAATGACTACAACACTGGCCAAACCAGTAAGCCTCTAATCCACCTATTATTGCGAATCTACGCTTATTTCCCTGCCCAGTCTATCTGGTCTGCTTCCTCGCCGCCGAGCTCCCCGGCGGTCTCATCAGCAAGAAAGTTGGCCCGTACCGCTACACGCCCTTCATGATCACGCTCTGGGGCGCCTTGTGTGCTGCACAATCGGCCATCAATGGGCGGGCCAGCTTCTGGACCCTCCGCGCTCTCCTTGGATTCATTCAAGGCGGCTTCATTCCAGAGATGGTGCTCTACCTGTCCTACTTCTACAAGAGCAACGAGCTACCCATGAGACTGAGTATCTTCTGGACCGCTATTCCACTGACGCAAGCCTACGGCGCACTGCTGGCGGCGGGACTCTTGGCGATGCGAGGGCTACGAGGATGGGGCGGCTGGCAGTGGCTGTGAGTACAGCCTCCGTTCACCGGCTCCTTCATAGCTAATGTGTGTCCCTAGCTTCCTCATCGAAGGCGTGATATGTATAGTTGTCGGCCTCATCTCCTTCTTCGTGATGCCCGCCTCCGTCACCGAACCCGCACTCGCGTTCAAACGCGCAGACGGCACCAACAAATGGTGGACCGAAGAAGAAGAAAAGATCCTCGTGAACCGCATTCTACGCGACGACCCTACAAAGGGCGACATGAACAACCGCGAAGCCGTCAGCATCAAGGGAATTATTTCCGCCATCACGAACATAGATCTGTGGCCCGTATACCTCGTAAGTCGCTCCCTCAGAAAAGATCCCAAACTATGTGTGCTCATCATGTAATACAGTTAGGCATCACCGCCTACATCCCCTTCCAACCCACCGCGAACTACATGTCGCTCATCCTGCGGCAAATGGGCTACTCCGTCTTCGAAGCCAACATGCTCGCCATCCCGGGCTACATGCTCTTCGCCACCAACACCGTGTTCTGGGCCTGGGTGTCCGAGAAGCTGAACGAGCGCTCCCTCGTCGCCTCCGTCAGCAACGTCTGGATGCTGCCCTTCTTCATCGTGCTGATCTGCATCCCCAGCGACGCGAGTCCCTGGGTGCGCTACGCAATGCTGACAGGCGTGAACGGGATCCCGTACACGCATTCGATCCTCGTGGGCATGACGTCGAAGAACGCGAAGAATGTGGGGACCAGGACGGTTAGTGCGGCCGTGTATAATATGTGCTATCAGGTGGGCAGTATTATCGCGGTGAATGTGTACCGCGAGGGCGATAAGCCGTACTGTAAGTTTCAGTCGCCGAGTCTCTTATCCGATGATGCCGAGATACTATACTGATGACTATTGCAGACTACACAGGCAACCGCGCTCTCGCGGGTCTCTGCGCGGCTAACATCCTGCTCTTCGCCGGTATGAAGTTCTTCTATATCTGGCGCAATAAGGTTAAAGGGAGGAAGCTGGCCATGCTTCCCGCTGAGGTGACGAAGCAGATGGTCGACGCTCGCTTTGCGCACTAAACAAGTTGCTTGCACGAAGGTAAGTAGGTACGTCAGTACTATGATTTTGGGAGGTTGTTTGAAGCCACCAGTGTGCCATTACACAAGTTTCGAAATTTGTTTTCTATGAGTGTTTGCGTCAGAGGACGTGGGTAGTGTCATTCGTTTGGAGCGCTCAGCTACACTCCTTTATCGTCGTTCAGGGCTAGTGTTTCATAGCAGCGTGCTCGAATATATGCGAGTATGCTTTCTAAAGTTTCTATTATGAGCAATTGACTCAACAGACCAACTTCTCTTCCAGTGACTGGCAGAAGCGATGTGCGCAGCGTGCGCCGTTGTCTCTTGAACCACTGGGTGTCAATGGCAATGGCTCCCTAGATCTCATCACGGCTACGAATATTTCAGTCCGATCCCTACCGTTCGCCACACACTTGGATCCATCATCACAAAGAGCGAGTTGAAAAACACAGATCATAATGGAGCTGCGCTCTTTTCAAATTGTGTTCTTTCTCTGGAAGCCTGCAACCCATGGCCATTACCCTCACGCACTCTTGTCACGCCAATCACCACGTCCATGCCCCTTCCCATCACCAGTGCACCATAAAAGTGGAATAATGCGCGCCGCTTTCACTTTCAGATATAGGGCCGACCGTGTCACCGAGCTCGAGGTCGCAGTGGTATGGAATCATGCGATTACTTGATGGTGAAGAAGTAATCCCGCCCATAACGCTGCTTGATTCGCCTCCAGACCTAGCCGGCTATACGCTCTAGCTCAGCCAGAAGCAGGGCTTTCTTCTCATGTCGGTGAGGGCTCCCGGTGCGCCGACAAGGAAATCGGCTTCGAACTCCTGGTACCGCCAGGGCTCGTTGGGAAATGGGGGCTCCGGGGCCATGGCAAGGACGCGCATCAATGGTAGGGATGACTGAAGAATAATTTGTCGGTGTAGAGATATAGATAGAGATAGTCCAGCTCAGGAAGTCCACTTCCATATCTAGCTCAAGTTCTTCTTGCGCTTTCGTGAGTGTATTGATTTCTGCCGCTTGTTGGTTGCTGGCGGCCTTTAAATCGGCCAGCTCTTGGTGGAAAGCCTGACATTTTCCTTGAAGCTTTGACTTGGTGATCCCTAGTGATATAGATGAATAGGAAGGATGACCGAAGAATACGCGGTTGACGTTCGATAAGCCGTTGCCCGGTAACCGAATATTCCAAGGATATGTTGTGGCGGAAAAATATGACAGAAGGATCAACGGAGTGATAGTAAAGATGGAAAAGAATAGAGGTATTGATGGCGAAGTGCTCGTCCAGGCTACAAGAGCCAATGGTAGAGGAAAACTCGAGGCTGTATGCCTGGATGAACTCAAGATGTGCTGCGGCCTCAAAGCGCAGAAGATCGTTAAGAGCTTGCTCGGGACCACCAACCGCTTGCCCGTAAGAGTAATGATGGAGGAGGCAAGAACCGTACTGATGGCGAAATATTGATAGGAATAATGGTGAGACCGTAGTGATGAGAAGAATAGCGAATGGGGATACCCGGTTCGGCGATGGAGTTCCACGACCGCAAACTTCCAAAGTACTCTGCGATTCGGAAGAATATGTAAGGGTGATGATAGTAGTGTCCGGCGGTGGAGAGAGGAAGAATACGAGGCTGATAGCGAAATTAAGGATAGCGTTCAAATTCGTCTAGTACTGCCACACCGTGCGGCTGTGCCCCGGAGCGTCGGAGTGACGTGATCCAACTTGATTAGACAAGATTTCGGTGAAGAAAGCAGGCGTGTTTGAGCACCGGACCGCGGCTACGCGATTATGCTTGTTGGCTTGTTGAGGAGGAGCAGCGGGAGAGCTTTCTTCTCGATCCCGTCTTCGACCGCTTGCGGAGAACCTCTAAGAATGCCGCAGGATAAAAATTTCAGAGGTTCTGGCACAAGCTGTGGGGCCCAAGGGACAGCTAGTAGTCGTAAGAATGCGAAGGATACGCAAACGATACAGAAGATGTTCGATACGGCGAGAACATGATAGGATCCGGTCTGCTTCGCAAGTTAGCGAGATTCTCTGAGTGGCATACAGAGACCGGTGCAGAGACATACCTGGAATGTCTTCTGCTATGAAAAGATACGTAGAAATGCGGAGCAAGTAGGATTGGAAGGGTAGCAATAACAGGAATAACGAAGCGATAGGTCGAAAGGCCAGCAATGCCCATGTTGCGGGAGGGACATTTGGCCTCGTCGCTCAAGTTTTCGGATAGAGGTGAGCTGTCTGATGAGATGACGCATTAGCGAGAACTTTTGATGCAGTTTAAGTGAGACTTTACCTCATGCAAGACACAAATGACGAGAGGACGAACTCCTTCGTGTCTATTGGTCGCTGCACACTCGCGAATCCGAAAAGTTGTGGCGTGCTGCCACATGAATGGGTACGAATGCGGTGCAGAATGGTCCGAAGAATAATGAGCGTCGTAGGGATATGACAGCCCGTAAACGATCAGCCAACATTGCAAACTCATGAAGGGGGACGCAGGAGAACCAACCCGTACTGTCGAGTGTCGCAACCCTCGGGAAGAGAAGGAAGAAGCTGGTGGTACCATTGCCGAAATCGAGCATGGCGGCGGATCCAGCCCGTTCTGCCATCCATTCCGATGTCGTGTAACCCCGTGATTGCCTCTCGTAGGCGGTCATTCTATTAGGTCACTGGCCTGGCCCCGCTGGCTGCCAGTGGAGCGAAGCCTGCAGCGGCGCAAGCTCAATTGGCGAGCGCCGCCCGCTCGTCGGCGCAACTCTGGTCAGGCCCCGACGCGTGGGTGTAGATTTCCAGTCTGGAAATTACGAAGAATAGTAGCGATGACATGAGGATGTTGATAGCGATGGGATGAGAATAGGAGTATTGATGGGATGATGATAGGCGTATGTTAGGAATGATGATGGTCGTTATTGTAATCGTCGATGAAGATAATTGTAGAAATGGCGGCAGGCTTTGGGTCTTCGGACGAAGTTACGCTCGCGGACTGTATCTGGTGAAAGCTTAGTTAACCTTACTGTAGTTGCCTGAATACAAGACGAACCACTTCATACGTAAGAAGCTCCAAGCATCGAGGTTGCGGATTGGGAGGCAGAAGTGGATGAAGGATGGCGGGGAGGTTGTTGGGAAGAAGTGAGATGAAAAGGTGAACTAGTACGCGCCAAAACAAAGCACTCTGGAGAACGCAGTGGCAACGTGACAAACGAAGGAAAGTGCAAGGGCGGACGCAGAAAGATCTACCTAGAAAGCAACATACACAGTAATCAAAACATCACATAAGCATAGCAAGATAGTGTGAGGTCATCAACATTCCTTTGCAAACTAGAAAAGTACAAACGAGAGCCACCCGGGGGTATAATGCTAATAATAATCATCGCTCAAGACCTACAGTCCAAGTCCGTACCCAAAGCCAGTATCAAACGCCCATGCAATGTTAAAAACAGTAAGCCTCCCTAAAAGTCATGCTGAATGCTTAACGACCCAAAAACCGACCATGAAACGATACCCAAACTCCAGCGTTAACAATTAGACTTGTCGAACAACAAGCCGGATGCTTTCAGTGACCAGAAACATCAATCTGGCTGAAGCCTTCCAACGCCTCGGTCCTTTCGCTCTCGAATTCTTCGGCGATTGGCGAAAGGTCGACAAAGCTGAAATCTTCCAGCGCGGCGACAGAGGCTACTGGCGCAGCAGCTGCTGGCTGCCAGTGCAGCGAAGTCTGCAGGGGCGCAAGCTCAATTGGCGAGCGCCTCCCGCTCGCCGGCGCAACTCTGGTCATGCCCCGACGGGTAGGAGTTGACTTCCAATCTGGCGTCCAGTCGTCGTTCAGAAAGTCGCTATCCATATCGGTGGTTCTCTGCGGGGTCACCATTATCGGTGACTCAAGCATGCTCATGGACATGCCCAGCATGTCGTCTGCTCGCGCCTCCCTATGGCGCGACTCAGTCCTTGCCTGGGCGAGTTGCTCTTTGCGCATCTTTGTGAATATGGCCTGGAGGTTGTGCCCAAACATCTCCGAATTTTCTCGTCGTCTTAGCCAATGGTTCTCGTCGGAAAGAGCTTGCACGAGAGTGAGGAAACCACTCGGCGTGGTGCTCTTCGGCAATGCTTGCTCTCCGATGGGCTGAATGACCTTATCCGTTGTGGGCGATCGAATAACCGGTGGTTCTGGGAGCGGTGGGTACTCGGCCTGTTCTTGCAATCGAAGTATCTCCGCCCTTTGCGTAGCAACCTCGCGCCGGGACTTGTCCAGCTCGACTTTGGCATTGTCGAGAGCTCCCTTGAGTTGCTCTAGGTCACTAGCCTTGCTGGTAGCCTCACGATGTTTGGCCCTTAGGTGCTCAATTTCGAGCTCCTTAGTATCGATGACCTCTTCTCGTTCACGAATTTGAAGAAGCGTCGCGTGGTGTTCCGTAGTGAGAAGTTGCAGTCTCTTCTCGGCATCGATAGATCGTCTTTTCGCCTCTTCGATCTCTTGAGCTTTCAGAACCCAAGGTGCGGGCTGCCGCTCGATCTCGACGTTGTTCATCAACACGGAAGCGAATTCTTGCCACTGTGTAAACTGAGTCCTGAGGTCCTTCAATAGACTGACGACACTCTGTGGATTAATCTCGCTGTCTAGAGTGCTCGCGACGGTGGAGGCGACTAGGGTGCCGGAGGCTGTGTCGCCAGAAGAGAGCAAGCCCGTGATTGACATTTCGGCGAAGTCACGCAGAGTGCCGGCGGTCTGTACCAGACGCTCGCTCCGCTCCGTCACTTCTGACACACCGGCCGGGAATTCGGGGTACAGGCCATCATTCTGGAGGGTGACCAAGATCTGAACAAGCTTGGCGGCAGATGCAAAAGTTTCCCTTGCAGCGTTCGCTGGCTTCGTGAGGCTTTCGATGATAGTGTTCTTGCCGTCGACTGTGTCGACATCAATAATCTCAAGCCGCTGTACGCAGAGCTTTACCGCATCGAAAGACGAGCGTATGGACTCGAGGCTAGTCTTCATGATCGATACGTGGAGGATCAGTCTATTATCTGGTCGCAAAGAGAAGATGTCTTCATGGACACCGGAGATCGCCTGCATGGTCTGGTACGACCCTCGAGTCCACTCCGCGATTTCTGTAAAATTCAGGTCGTCCTTCTTGAACGCATCCATGCATCGTTCAATAGAACGTTCCACAGGCAACAGCTCGCTGTAGGTGTAGCTGACTGTTTTAAAGTGCTCCAGGCTACAAGAGCCAATGGTACGGGAAAACTCGAGGCTGTATGCCTGGATGAACTGAAGATGTGCTGCGGCATCAAAGCGCAGAAGGTCGCTAAGCGCTTGCTCGGGGCCATCGACCACGGCAAGGTCAGTAGTAGAAAGGAGTGAAGCAATAAGAGATGCCTTGAAGCCAATCTTCTTGGCTCGGAAGTATGCCCTAAGTGAGTCGGTCATATACTCGCGAGACGACTCTGGCAGATAACACTTGAGGATATCGAGTTCCTCAGTAGCTTCTTTAGCCGAAAGCTTGGTCAGCTCGGTGTTGATGGTCTTAGTAGTGGTGCTGACGGCGGCGATGCGTAATCGGCGGTTTAGGTCCATAACTTCCCGGAAGCGGGTACTTGAATCGTGCATCTGCTCCTCGCTAATAGTCTTTGAAGCCTCGACATCCATCAGCTTTGATTGCATATCCATGATGACGTCCCGGAATTTCGAAACCAAGAGGTCTCGTTCGGCGAGAGCGGCGTCCTTCTCAGCTTCTCGCCGGTCCCGCTCGGCGTCCTGGAGATCCCTAGCCTCCAGTTCTGCCTGATACTCCTTCACTTGTTCCACGCGTTGCTCTTCCAGTTCGTTACTAACTTCCAGGTCGAGGCGCAGATCTTGTATTTCGGCTGCCTGTGCGGCGTGTTGCTCCTTCAAGTGCTGGTTCTGCGCGGATATGTCCTCGATCATGTCCTCCCACTCGTTCGCTGCGTCGACTTGTTCTTGGAGATTCGCATTCGCCGCCTGGAGGGTGACGATCTGGTCCTTGAGCAGGGCATTCTCCGTCTGAATAGCATCCAACGGCTCTAGCTGCGCCTGAAGCTCCTTGATCATCGCGGCATCTTCCCGTTTGTCTTCATTCCGGATGTCGCGTAACTTGATTATTGCCTCTCGAAGGCGTTCGTTCTCCGTCTCGACCTTCCACAAGGCGGCGGCACTTTTCTCGTCTTCTGGCAGGTCTTGGGTAAGGAGTTTCACTTCATCCTTCAGGATGTCAATCTCCATGTCTTTCTGTTCCATGTCTAGCTCTAGGGCATCGCGCTCCGCCTTGAACTGTTCGGCGCGTTCCTCAGCCATCTCTTTGTCGATGGTCGCCGACTCCATATCCAGCTCAAGCTCTTCTTGTGCTTTCATGAATGTGTTAATCTCCGCCGCTTGTTGGCTGCTGGCGGCCTTTAAATCGGCCAGCTCTTGATGAAAGGCCTGGCATTTTGCCTGGAGTTTCTTGATCAGACCCTCGAAGCGGTCGCGGTCAGCTTTGGTCTGCTCGGCCTCAGCAAGCCTCTCTTGGTAATCGACAATCTGCTTCTCAAGATGGCGGATGCGCGTCTCCAGTGCCTGCACATTTGGGTCCTTGGATGACTTCGTAGTTGTGGAGGAAGTTGCAGTCGGTGGTGTAGACCGTGTCGCACTCTGCGACGGTCTGATAGGAGGTTGTGAATATGTGGATGCCGAAATGCTCGGCTTTCGCGTGGGTCGCAGAGCGGTATGTGTCGGTGGACCGGCGATACTCTGTCGTTTCGGTTGTGCTGTCAACTGCGTGGAGGGTTTTGCAGCACCGAGCGTGGAAAGCCGTGAAGCTGGTTGGGAAAGCGGCTTCGCAGAGCCGATGCTGGAAGGTCGTGGTTTGGGAGCGGCTGCCTTGGGGGGAGCAGGCCTCGGCGCGGCGGGTTTCGGAGCTGGTTTTGTGCCGGGCTTCGGAGCAGGCTTCGATGTCGGCTTCGGCGCGGGTTGGGGGACCACGCGGACGATCTTGTTCTTGGGGACGAAAAGGCCGTGCTGTGGTGCGCATCGGAAGTAGCGCTCGCCGTAGACTGAGCCATCATTCTTTCCGGTTGGTGTTGGTAGCTCAAGCCCTATGAAGGTGCCTGCCTTGCTAGCAACCTCGCCGATGTATTTGACCACGCCCTGCTGGCGGGTGTCGGTCTCGACTGTCTGACCGAGCTTGATGTCGGCCATGGCGACTGGTGCGGGAAGGTGCACAACTGAAAGTCGCGGTGGTAGGGTTGAATGTTGGGAAAGCTGCACCCGCAGGCTTGCAGCTGGTCTGAAGCACGACGCGACGCCGTGCAAGAGAAACGGGATGCAATTGCTCGAAACCGGGGCGAGAAAAGCGAATACGAAGAAGAGCAAGAGCAAATGGAGAATTGAGAAGCAGCGGGTCTGTACTCGGGGTGGGATGCGTGCAATGGTGTGTGGCAGCATCGATGGAGTGGAGTGAAGAGGAAAAGAAGGTGCGGTCTGTGAGGACGGCTTATGAGCCCGGCGCGTCGGGAGCTTGGACTCCTGCTGACGGAAGCTCCCGCGGTCACGTGCACGCGCCAAGCTCAGCTCAGAGTTCGGAAACGTCTCCGTCATAGGCGCTAAATCTCGGAAAATTATCCCCCGCACGTGAACGCGCGCTGATAACGGCAGGGCGCGTCGCGGTCCGTGATGCTCGCTTCGGACATGCGAACCAGAGTTCTACAAAAGGACAACGCAGCGATGCCATTCTTTTCTTCGTATCGGCCGATTCCTTGAGGACACAGTATTTTATTTCAACGTCACAGTGCCGCTTTCCAGCAGAGTACCGCCGGATCGCAAGGCTGCTGCCTGGACTTAGCACGGCGTGCTTTTCGTAGAAGGAATAGCTTTCCACCGAGCCAGCTTGAGTGATGCCTAGATAGACGAGATGTCTTCGAGTTACAGAAGAGGCTAGCTCTAGCCTATTCACTACTAATACCGCATTCGGTTAGTGCATGCAATCGCTGAACGCCCCTCCCCGCCCAAGCCACTCGAACCCACCTTGGACGGTAGGTAACCAGGCTCCCACCATCCATGAGCCACTGAGTCGCTGTTGCACGCCCGTAATGCCTCATTCCCAACCGCCCTCAGACCGAGCCTATTCAATCATCGCATCGCCCCGTCCAGCATGTATCCATAGAAACCTGGTGTCAGCTGCTGGACATGCGTCGCAGCGCCAACCCGACCGCCGCAAACCAGTAAGCCCTCTCCAGCTCGAGCGACGCCAGCAAACGTACCGCCGTACACTGACGCAACCAACTTCTTACTCACTAGCGAATACACATCTCATTTGCGCACGACGAGACCACTTCTTCTTTACCTACCAAGCACCGCAAAGCAAAGAATCTTCCTTCCTCTAGCCGATCCCTACAATCACCGTCCGACGAAACGTGCACAGCGTTCGCGCAGTCCTCATCCCGACCTACCGTTGCGAAACCATTCCAAAGCCATCGCCGCGAAAACGTAGCCGTATCCCCACCAACAGCCCCTATAACCGGTAAGCAGCGACAGTACGAGCACCCCACCAACGGCGCACCAAAACGGAATAACTTCAGAGTTCTATATCTACTTTTCTATTCCGTTCCGACAGAACTTCCGCTGCAGTCGCGTTCCAGGGGTGAAGTTCCATCCCAACCTCCCATTGATGCACAGAGCTCTTGCACAAAACAGGTACTAATACACATACATCTCACCGGACAGACTCCACCACATACCGAGCCAGTTCCACGCTCCCCCCGCTCCTCGCTCGCGGGACGCCAGAAGAGCACTTCCATCTCTACTCTACTCAGACGACAGCTCCCTAATCCGCTCCTCAATATCCGGCACCGCACGCAACTGCAGCTCGATCTCTTCCTTCTCGCTGTCTCACGTGTCAGCACTCATCACATCCATAAAAGAAGCGAAAGGGCCGACTTACTCCTCAAGCTCCAACCGCCTCTCCGCATCCAGTTTCGTAAACACATAATGCCCCTGTCCATCAAACTGCAGTATCTTCTCATGATACTTCCACAGACTCCGCCGATGACTAACCGTCATAAGCGTAATCCCCAACCTCTTCGCCTCATCATACATCACCCTTTCGATCTCCAGCGTAACGCTACTCGTGCACTCATCCAGAATCGCATATTTCGGCGCATGGTAGAAGAGCCGTGCCATAGCGACGCGCTGTTGGAGACCTCCGGAGAGCACGTCCGTCCATTCTTGCTCGGCGTCCCAGCCCCCTGGCCGATCGACGATGGATTCGATTTCGACGACGGAGAGGATGGAGTACAGGTCCGCGTCGGTGATGCCTTTGTCGCGCATGTCGCGCAGGCTGTCCGGGTAGATGATTTGCTGGCGGAGGGTGCCGCGGGAGAGATACGGGCGTTGCGGGATGTAGAAGATGTCTTCGAATGGGGGTTTGCGGACTGTGCCGCCATACACAGGCCACAGCCCACCCAGGATGCGGAACAGACTCGACTTCCCGCAGCCGTTGGGGCCCACGATGAGGAGATGATCGCCGGGTTTGACGGAGAAGCTTAACGCACGCACGAGCACGTCGCCGTTGGGAGACACGATGGGCACGTCTTTGAACATGATGTCCTCGCCTTCGGTGACCGTGCCCCGGCCCCGCAGCACGGCGACGTTTTCTTCTGTGTCGGCGGAGGAGACGAGTTTCTTTTCGAAGCGGCCGGCTTGGATGTCGTCGATTACGTCGAGGAGGGTGGATACGCGCGAGGTGTAGCCTGCGAGCTCGGTGATTTCTTTGTAGGAGAACATGACGCGGCCGAAGGCGTCGGAGGACATGAGGAGCATGCGGCGGTTCGTGACGAAGCCTGTTAGGCAATTAGTATATCAATACAAAGCCATCTGAATCGCAGAGACTCACTTTCTGTCCTGTCTCCCATGCTCTTCGTCCCCGCTCCGGGCACCTTGAAGAACACGGGCACGCTACACAGCAGCAACCCCAGCGCACCCCAGAAGTACTTAATCACAAAGTCTTCCATAACACCGTGGTAGAACCTCCTCCTCAATATCCTGTTCACATGCTTGATCAACGTGAAGTATCCCTTATCCAGCGTGTCCTTCTCCGCCTCATGCCCATGATACAGCGCCACCTCCTCGCTATAATCGATCAGCCGGGAGTGTTGAAACCTAAACTCGCCCTCTAACCGCGCCTCATCCGCCACGTATTTGCCGAACGGTGGTGTCAACGCGCGCATGATGTTCGCCGAGAGCTGAACGAGCAAGCTCATGAAGAAGAGCCCTTCCCCACCAACGCTTCTCGAGAGCGAGTAGTTGTATATTATCATGTCGAGCACCGGTTTCGCGATATTCGAGTACAGCTCCGCCAGGCTGTTCGAGAACTTAGCCACATCGACGGTAATGAGCTGATCCGCGTTCTTGATCCGGTCGTCGAGCGCGGAGAGGGTGTAGAAGGTCATATGCGAGAGGTACTTGTTGTGTATGTAATGCGTGAGTCTCGTCCGATACTGCAGCGAGAGCTTGCACTGGTGGTAGGAAAGCTATTTCGGTCAGCGTCCAACACACGTCCAAAACCCATACCCTCCGCCCCTCAGACTCACCATAGAATTCGTAAACGTCGCCGGCACCGCCACCGTCATCCACCACACCAACCCCGTCAAGAAATCCCTCCCCCTCCCCCTCACCAAATTACTCACCAACCGCCCATCTAACTCGGCAACATACAAACTAATCATAGTCCTCAGCACCAAAAACACACTATGGCTAATCAACAGCCGAAACTCCTTACTCCGCCACCCCGGAATACAAATCCGCAGCAACCTTAGCAAGTTCTTGAAAAACTCGCGATTCAGCTCGACCTTTTTCCTGCCCGTGGCCTCCCCCTCGCCCGCGCCGGTGCCAGTCTTGCGCCGCGCGGCGGACTGCTGGGCGGCTTTCTGCTCGGCGATGGCATTGCGGATGCGGTTTATGAGGGCGATAAAGAGCGTGAGGTAGACTGCGCGCGAGATGCGGGTGCGGTGCTCGAGGTAGAGTTTTGTGAGGTCGTTGATTAGGGCTTTGATGGAGGTGCTGGAGAGGCGGGTTCGCGCTGGGGCGAACTTAGATAGGACGGCCATGGCTATCGTGGGGTCGGCATTCGTGGAGGAGCGAGCGACGCGGTGAGACTTGGATGGATTTGGCGTTCAGTCGTTGGGTGCTTGGAGCATGTCGAGTGATGATGGAGGCGGGCGATGAGGCGGCTCGCGCATGTGACGAAAGCCTCGGTTTGGACCTTGCATCCCCACACTCGCTGATTGGACAATGAGCTGGAGCTTGCGGGAGCTCCACGTTCTGGCTTGTGATTGCTCACGGACCACTAACAAGCATGTGGAGGGTTGGTTTCGATCGAATATACCATGTATAAACGCAGTCTTGCAATTGTGAGCGTTAACGCTATGCTAAGGAATTCTGCTGTCAAGCCAGGTATGAAAAAAATCTAAGCACCACCTTCCTATAGCTTCAACTCTCTATGCCTGCCAAACAGATCACCCACTGTAGCCATCCCCTTCACTAATCTAAAGAGACGCACATTCTACCGGCGCATCGCCAGCGCAGCATCTAATAAGAAAAAGGCCGTATCTTCAACCTTTCCTTCTCCTCCGGCCTCGGCGCAACCGGCGGATCCTGAAACTCAGGATACAAATACCACGCCAAATTCTTTCCCTCCAACCCATTAACCGTCCATCCATTACCCAGCCACGCCATCCGATTGACCCTCTTCCCCTTCCCCCCCTGCCCATCAACTGCCACCTTTCTCTTCTTCTCGCCATCCACGCCATCCACTGCTTCTTCCAGCCCGGCCTCGTCCGCGCCCTCAAGCTCGTCCACGTATACGTAATCGAAGTCCTCCCACCTCGGACTCCGCATAGTTTCGATGCAGTGTAAATTCGAGCCAGGCCACAAGCCGACCACCTCCCCCGTCTTCTTATTCTTATACCAACTCTGACATTCCTCGCTAAACACCGTCCCTTCAAAATAGGCATCCACATAATCTGTGAAGTCCTCCTCTCTTTCCTTCTTCACAACCATACTCGCAATGTTCTCCTTCTGCAGCTTGCGGATTGCTTTGATGACGTAGTCGCCTACGTTCTCGATCATCGTGGTAAGGCTACCAGAGCCAATGGCCGCATTGGGACCGAGCATGGTGAAGAGGTTGGGGAAACCGGAGATGCTGTGACTGAGGTATGTAGTTGCGCGGTTTTCCCATTTTTTGTGGAGGGTGAGGCCGTTGCTGCCGATAAGGCCGAAAGGCGGGGGTGCGCTGGAGTGGAAGCCTGTGGCGCAGACGAGGGCGTCGATTGTGTGCGTAGCGCCGTCGGCGGTGTGGATGGCGTCGGGGGAGATGCGAGTTATAGGAGAGGTGATGAATGCAACGTTTGGTTGGGTCAAGGCTTCGAGATACCCGGGGCCGGGCGTTAACCTCCTACAACCAGGCGAGAATGACGGCAGCAAAGCGTTAAAGATATGCGGTGCGCTTTCCAGCCGCTGCTTCATGTGCTCTTCGAACATCTTCATCGCCCCCTGCTGGATCGGCGTTCCCTTGATCGTTACTCCGTGGATACCATTGCCGTCCTCCTCAACAGCAAGCCGGAACTTTTCGTAGTATTCCGGGTCGTTCATGAATTGGTCCTGCGTCTCTTGAGGAATGGTGAATCCATTGAAGCCGTATTTATCCCATAGTTGCTGTCCGAAGGACGGAGATATCCACGTTTTGCTTCGCACAAAAGTAGAGACGTGCGTTCCGGGGATGCGCTGGAGGGAGGGAACAATCTGGATGGATGAGGAGCCGGAGCCAATAACACCTATGCGCTTATTCGACCAGTCATAGCTAGTATTCCAGGTCGCAGAGTGCATCAGCTCTCCCTTGAAAGTCTCCAAGCCCTCAATTTCCGGCCACGCAGGGTTATTCAGATTTCCTCTCGCGCTTATAAGGACATCCGAAGTATCATTGATGGTCTGGCCCGTTACCAAGTCCTTCACCGTAACACGCCATTTTGCTGCCGCCTCGTCCCATTGACATTCGGTGATCTCGTGCGACAGCTTGATGAAGCGGTCTGCGGAATACTTCTTCGCGACTCCCTCCAAATATGCCTGGATTTCGCGCGCGGGTGCGTAGAGGGAGGACCACTTGCGGTTCGGCTCGAAAGAAAATTGATATGAGTGAGCTGTCATTCCTGTTAGCTATCAACTTCCACAAAGACGAGGAAGCACTGACTTACAGGGCACGTCACATGCGCAACCTAGGTACCTACATTCCAGTCAGTCCATGTATAGTCCTCTAACGCGCAATTTTCGGCGCTCTAGAGCCTACCTATTCTCCCACCACGTCCCCCCAACGCCTGCATTCTTCTCATAAATCACCAGCTCGACATTACGGAGCCTCTCGGGTATCCGAATACCGCAGTAGATGCCCGAATAGCCAGCTCCGATCACAATGACCTTGAGAGGGCGAAAGTTTTCGATCGCGGTATCGTGCAGTTTGAAAGCTGTGGTTCGAGTGCCATTGGTAACGCCGTTCCCTATTACAGGCGTGTCTGCAGGCAAGTTCGGGAATGCGGACATGGTGGCTGGGTGTTTAAAGCGTTCACTAAACACGCATGCGAAGGAAAATGATCGAAGAATTGATTGCCCTCGGGCTGGAGTTATACACTAGGTATACAGAGAACAATGAGGATATGTCGGTGACTGCATGGCCGCTGCTGGGAGCAGTTCCATTTATGCGAATGGAACGAGGCTGTACGCATCGGTACCGGGTCGCGTAGACCCCTCTGTCGCGACCATCGGCTAGGTTCTAGTGCGAAGTGCCGAAAGGATCTAGCATTCATAGCGCCACGACAAGCCGTGTATGGGTGTCATCCGGATCAAAAGGACGGCAGAGAAACCTGGCTGTTCTTTGCGGCCCTATCAGAACCGGTTCTCCGCAGTTGAGTCGCGCCACCCAGTCTCCACATCTCTTCCCCGCACCGCGCTGCACGTGACCAAACTCTTCAGGTTAGGGCGGAATAGCCCCGACGAAGTCCCCTGCCAAGCGTACTTCGCTTCCGCTGATGACAAAGCGGCGTTTCGCGCTCGTCTTCTACACATGTGGCAGGGTTGCGTACCCGTTCTGCAATTCTACGAAGAGCATCTGGTCACGGCTCGTTCCTTGAGGGCAGATCGAATGTGCACTACCTGGGTACTGGAATGATGGCGATCTAGAATGATCAGCCGCTGTCAGACTTCGTTGTCGTTCAGAACTCACCTGGTTGCCGAGGGCAATGGACAGCCTCGAACCATCCGGATCCCATCCCAAACTGAATTCCCCGTCCACGCTCGGATCCCACTTGTCATTGCTCCAGTCTCTGGCACGCCAGCTAGCAATGGGTACATCTCTCTTCTCGACATCCCACACCGTAACAGCATCGGGTCCTGCAGCAGCGAGTAATGTCCCATCAGGGGAAAATGATATCTTGAAAGCCTGGCTGTCGTCGGTAGTCGGCAGCCTCTTCAGGCATTTGAAAGGCTGATTAGCATCCCATACTTGCACTGCTCCTGACATCAAGCATGTCGTAAGTAATACGGGGTTCGCAGAGATGTTGCCGAAGGGTGAAGCGATGAAAATACTGCCATTTATTCCCGGACGGAAGTCGAGGTCGGTGGGATACTGGTCCGGGTACTCGTGCGTTTGCAGGTTGATGGAGTCGTTTGGATGCAGTATTCCGAGAAAGTTTGTTTGGTCAGAGATGCCCAGGGCGGCGATGATCCCCGACGATGGCTCAAACTTGAGGGTCTCCCAAGTGACATGAGTGTCTAGCGTTCGCTGCGTCGTCAAGAGTTCACCGACCTCATAGATCTTGAATAGCTGGATGCCGCATACGACAAAAGCGGATTCACTGATCCAGAGGGCGTCAAAGATGGCGGTATCGGTGAAGTCGATCCAGGCCGGAATGGAGTCATTGTTGTTCTTCCATATCTTGATAGACCCCTTCTCGCCGTCAGTGGATATGGACAGCAGCAGCTCCCTGTCCTTGTTCCACCGAAGGGTGCTGACCAAGCCGGCGGTCGACGAGATGACCTGGTAGTCGTTGCCGCCGTCCGTGAGCTTGATGAGCTTGTCGATCATCATCCTTTCCCCGGTTTCATTGACGCATTGCTCACGAGCAGATACAGTCAGCTCGTCGCTCGAGTTCCAACATATGGCGGTGACAGAATAGTTGTTCATGGGAAGGTCCAGGCCCATGGTATTGACGGCGGGCGCCGAATCGTTCCCCGCGTTCTTGGCGATGACATGGATATTGAGAAGTGACTTGCCCGCTGTCAAGAGTACTGGCGCCTGCGGGGGACCCCACGATGTGTGCTGGACAGTTTTCTCCACGTCTTTCAGGTTCGGGATGAAGACGGTGTCGGGCGCGAGATCAGCAACCTTCTCGGTCTGCACGTCGGTGCTATGGCCAATGCTGAGGGTTGAGAGGGGGATCTCGGCGATGGTGGGGGATTCAGCTTCTGATGCCATGGCCTCGGATTCCGCGCGCACGCTGTTGGTGACTTGGGTAGTCCCGTTCGGCTCGATGTCCATGACGTCGCCGTTGATCTGTTCCACCACCCGCGGCTCGACGCCGTTCGCTTTCACCTTCTTCCTCTTCATGCCCCTCTTCGGCGGGGGCTCTTGGACTGCGCCGTTGGCCTGCTCGGCGAGCTCGTGGGCGGGGATGCCTTGGTCGAGGGTCAGGAGAGTGCCGTTGCGCACAGAGTAGGGTCGTCCGTGGTCGCGGCCGAACTGGTAGCGCTGCTCGCCCTGCGGCCGTCAGTGGTGCGGCAATGTCTCGCTTGTTATATACCCACATTGCCGGCCTCTGCTTGCAGTTTGTCAAACCACAGGCCATCTTGCAGGAGGTTGATGAGCGTGTGCGGAGCGACGCTCTTCGCAAAGGGCAGCGCCTCGGGATCGCGGGCCCAGCAGCGCGAGAGATGGAGGGCGGCGTTACCGTATCCTGTGCGGCATTAGCAGCGAGGCGCGTTGTGGTGGTGGAGGCTGCAGCGGACCGGCTTCCTGGAGGTATCTCCACACGAGATAGTTCACCACGTTGGAGGAGAGGGCTTCGATGGTCATTGCGCATCGTCGCAGCGCCGTGTGCGCCCGTTGGCCGTGGATAGAATAACGCGTCGGGCGGGGGCAGCCGCGGGTCGCAGGTGGTGATGGGCGTCTGAGGAGTGTGGACTGGAGGAAGTCTTCGCTGCCCCCAATGCAGTTCGCGGCTAAGGCTTAAGCAGCCCGCTTGGGGGCGGCCAAACGAGCGTGCAGGGATCGCCGAAAAGCGCCGATCCGCTGCGACCACCTTCACCAATACTGCATCTATCCAGCGCTGCTTGGCTCCCACCACCACCGCCGCTCCCCGTCCACCGCGCGCATCCATCCGTGCAAGCCGCCGTCATTCTTAGAGGCCCCCCCAGACTGCACGCCATGGCGCGGATAAACCTGCCGCCGCTGACCCGCAGCCTGCTCGCGTCGCTCGTTGTCTTCACGCTGCTCAACTTCATCCTGCGCCCGGTGCCCAACTGGGTCGAGAAGGTCGAGAAGCCCCTCACCAGCGTCGGCAATGGCGTGCCCTACCTCGCCATCGTGCCCGGCGTCTCCGCCATATACCCGTGGGTCTTCGCCCTGGCGACCGTCGTGGAGCAGAACGTGCTAGGCCTGGTCGTGACCGGCCTGACCATCTTCTACGGCGGCCGCTATCTGGAGCGCGCATGGGGCTCGACCGAGTTCACCAAGTTCATCCTGTTCGTCGCCATGATCCCGAACGTGCTGAGCTTCCTGCTCTACGTATTCGGCTACCTTCTCTCCAAGAATGCTGCAGCTCTGTGGGTATTGCCCTTCCATCCCAGACGCGCTCCGCTAACGTCACAGTACCACAACCATCTCTGGCGGCATCGCCATCCAGGCCGGCTTCCTCGTCTCCTTCAAGCAGCTCGTCCCCGAGCACACCGTCGCAATCGCCAAGGGCCTGATCCGCATGCGCGTGAAGCATTTCCCCGCCATATTCCTCCTCGCAAACACAATTTCGGGCATCGCCCTGGGCACCGAGACGGCCATGTTCCTTGCTTGGTTCGGCTTCTTCACCGCCTGGGTCTACCTCCGCTTCTACCGCGTCAGCCCATCGCTGTCATCTGCTGCCACCGGCGACGGCTCCGTCATCAAGGGCGACGCCTCAGATACCTTCGCTTTCGCCCACTTCTTCCCGGAGCCCATCCAGACCCCCGTTGGAAAGGTGGCCGATCAGGTCTACAACACGCTTGTGTCACTGAGAGTGTGCTCGCCATTCTCGGCAGAGGACATTGACGCCGGGAATGAGCAGGCCAGTGCGCGTGCAGAGGGCGGTCTGCCCAGCATCATGAACCCCAACAGTCGGGGCGGAAAAGGCGGAGCAACACGGGCTGAGGCAGAGAGAAGACGGGCGTTGGCTCTCAAGGCTTTGGATCAGCGATTACACGCTGCAACTGCCCGAGGACAGGCACCAGCCACTGCGGCCCCGGCTGGCCCCGCACCGAGCATGCTGGGAGAGACGAACTACGAACCCGAGCGACACGACGAGCCCGCTAATCCAGCTTCATAGTCTGGGGCCCGCTTTCATTATTAGAAGAGGAGGAATACCAAGAACAGGTGCAATTCGAGGTACACTGTTGGTTCAGGACATTTGTCATAGCCCGGCGTTCGACCGTGTCATTGTTTTGGGTTATGGATGCGGAGATACCACCTTTCGGCTCGCGTCGCACGATTTTTGCGCTTGTCACTTTGTTTACATAGGTTAACATTCGAAGAGTAAGGGAGACCCTCTGGTTTGCGCACCAATCATTTTGTCTCACGTCTCAACGTCAACTGTCAAATGTCATGGAAATTCTGCACGTCACCTGCATGCTACGGCGCACAAGAGAAGACACGATGTGGCACGAACGGACAAGTACCATATCACCACGGGAAGCCTTGTCCATCGACAGCTAGGAAGCGGGTGCAGAAGCTTTCGCAGCACTGTGGCTTGCAACTACCTGGCATTGCCAAAGATAGCATCGCCATCTATCAGGAAAAATACTCCCAGACCTGGCTCCGTTTCTCTCCCCCAACTTGGATATCGTTCCCCGTTCAACTCCAGATATGGTCCAAGCGCGCAATATGTTACTCCCGTCCTGCACCTGCATCTTTCCGTGTCACCCAAATACACAGACCCGCCTAGTTCGGTCTATCCCATATCCCGGCCGATAACCCGCGATCATCACAGCACACGAGCTAACGTGTACCCGATCTGGCTTACTCTGAATGCTACGTGCTCACAGGTCCGCCTTGCTTTACCAGATCCACCTATCATGAACATATAAAGAGGAGGCTTAGACGCGAGCATTCTCACCAGCCCCCAAACGACCACCGTCTACATATACCACTCTTTATGAGCTTTCTCCCAGACAAAAACGCCAACCCAATCCAATCACCTCATCTCTCGATCCACCACGTTCCTCCCATTACCATTCGTTTTCTTCAAACCCCCTCGAGATGATGTCCCGTCTCAAAACATCCCTCTCCTTCCTCTTTCTCCTCCTCGCCTCTACCCCCCTGGTCCTCGCAGCCCCCCAACCCCCCCAACCAGCACCCGCGCGAGAGGTCGCCGCCAACGAAGTTATAACGCAGCCCCGCCAGCAGGTGCCTGGGAGTACTGGGACTGCGGATACGCCGTCGCCGACAAACACAACTGGATCCGCAGAGCTAGCTAGCGTACGTCCCGCTTCCCCTGACGTCTTCTCGCGTAGCTACACCTTACACAATGTGCGGACGCAACTTAAGAAAAGCAATGGAGGCATACAGCTCAACGAAAAATACTAACGCCTCCCATCCAGGTCTTCGTCTGCGAACACGTCTACTGGGGCGGCACCTGCTCCATCGTAACCGCGCCCCTCGACACGGGCGAATGCACGCCGCTCGACGGCAGCGCGTCGTCCATCGGACCGGATCCCGGGTTCACGTGCACGTTCTACAAGTACGCCCCCGTCCCCGAATATTTGCCCTTTCTCGCGTTGCGGCAGCCAGCGTGCTAACGTCACGGAACAGGAACGGCTCTTGTCGCGATTTCACCGGCTCGGACGCGCTCACGCTGGAGAACCCCGGGAGCCCAAACTTGTTGGATACGCCGAAGGGGAATTTCAACGATGTGGTGAGGGGGTTTACGTGCTCTAAGACGACGACGTCGTAGAGCGGGGGAGGGGTGGAGCAGGACAGGGCAGGGCGGGGCGGAGGTGGGAGCGGGAGTGGGAATGGGAAGGCCGGTACCAAGGAGAAAGCATGTCGCTCGTTCACAATTAATATATCAACGCCAACTCTTTTCTAGTTAGTAAGTAGAGTCACTCATTCTTTAATTCTCAAAGAAAAACTTTTCAAGGAGCAAAAACAAAAACATACAACAGCGGGAATTCGCTAGTGGTCACCCAGCTAGCTACTACTCCGCCGGTCGAAGGTTTAACGTGTGGAGAACGGACGGGATCCGGTTGTCTACTTCGCCTGTGGTCGTATGTGCTAGGTATTAGCTAGTGTTGGATATATGTAGGAGGTTTTGTGGCCCCCTGAATAAGTCCTTGAGACGGTGCATGTGACCTGTTTATCCCAGAGAACCCAGAACGAAAGAACCCAAGCCCAACCCCCGTCATATACGCTGGACGTTTATATCATTACTAGTCTCCCACCCAGCCCCAAAGTACGCGCCAATCTATATCACTCCCAGATGAACCACCTCCCCTCCCCCCGAATTACCTCAATCCACGCTCCCCCACTGCGGCCCCTCAATAGCCGGCCTCTCCTGCCTCAGCCGAGCATGCAACTGTGCACTCTCATCGACCCTCTGCGTAATCGCCATCTGCCTCTTCACATTCCGCTCATACAGCTCCTCCTTCTCCTTCAGCGCCCTCCGCTCGACACCAGCGCGATACTCCAACTCGCCCTGCCGTTGCTGGATCATCTTCGCCTCCTGGGCATACGCCGCGCTCGCTTTCCTGTCTTCGATCTGCAGGCGCTGGGCCGCGGCGTCGCGCTCCTGCTCGGTGATGAGGTTGTGCCAGGCGGCTTTCTCAGAGCGCTTCGTGCGTTCTGCGGAGCGCAGGCGCTGGATTTCGAAGTCGTGCTTTTGCTGCTCGAGGGCCTGCCATTGCGCTGATGCGGCGGCTGCGGCGGCCATGTCGGCGTCTTGCTGTTCTTGTTTGCGGCGGAGGAGGTCGCGGTGCGTGGTTTCTTCGAGCATGCGGGCGTGGTCGCTGGCTTCTTTGGCGAGCTTGAGGGAGAGTTGGTGCTCTTTTTGGCGGTCGGCGAGGCGGGCGATGGGGGCTGGCATGCCCACGGCGCCGGCGGGTTGCTCGGCGGTTTCGGAGTAGTACTTTGGTTCACAGCCTTTGTCGCGGAGCAGCTCGAGGAGGTCTTGCTTGTGTGCAGCGCGGCTTGGAGAGGGGACCAACTCGACATATTTGAGGGGTGAGTACCAGAGGCCTGAGGGGTCGCGGAACATGTGCTTTTCGTCGTTGAGACCCTCCCATGCTTCTGTTTCGAGAAGGGCTTCGGTGACTTCGAGGGCGCTGTGTGGGTTATCAAGAGCGAGGATAATTGTGGATCTCTCGTTTCGGGCTTTGAATTTTGGATTGGCGCCGTTGTCGAGGAAGAGGCGGAGAAGTTGGCGGACTTTTGTGCGTTCATTGCCGTTGGCCACTTCTGCGTTGAGACATAGTTCTCCAAGCGGAGTTCTACCGGCGTGAAGTCGGCACGGGAAATTAGGGCTATGGCCATGCCGGACCAGGACGGCGGCTACGTCGAACTGCAAGCATCTGGCAGCTTCGTGAAGGCTACCGTCGTTCCGGAGCGCGTGTGCGGATAATGTTTCAACGACAGAAGTAAGCGACGTGCTACTAGCGTAGAAGAGAGCAGACCGCGACAACTTGTCTCGAGCTGACGGATCAGCGCCCCGTTCCAGAAGAGCTTGCACGATGTCCTGACGTCCTTCGCGTGCGGCGAGCGTAATCGGCGTCACCTCTGACAGTGGCGCCGGCCGCGTTGGTGAGGCTCCAGCATCCAGAAGCGCAAGGATAACGGAGGCTGATATCATCTTCTGCGGCTGCGCCAAAGCCCATATCAAAGCCGGGAGCGCCTCTTCACCAGACGTGGGGTCTACAGTACCGGGTACAACGGTATTGGGATTACAGCCATGGTTCAGCAGTAATCTTGCGAGAGATTCACATCGGGAATGGTGTTGTAGGGCCAAGATCAATGTTGGTTTCCTAAACGCGACGAAGTTGTTGGCTTCGAAATCTTCAGATGTGCAACCATGGTCAAAGCATAACTCTAAGGCTTTGACCAAAGTGTCTTCTTCCAGATCCGAGCTAATGAGTGTAGGTCCGAGGACGCGATAATCGGGGTGGTGAGAGAGGAGTGTCTTGAAAATTGTGAGGCCTCGTTTCGCCGCAAAGACAAAGCAAGTCCCATCCGCAGTGTTCACGTTGGCGTGGTGCTGGAGGAGAAGTTCAACCGTAGTTACCACGTCCCGATCCTGATTGGTGGTATCCAAGGCGGCCCTTAAAGCTGAATCAATGGCCTGCGAAGTTATCAGTACACTTGGCCGATAGTCCAGAATATGGGGCAGGAGTTAACACTCCAGCATGTCTGAGGACTTTACCTGCTAAAGGCCTTTATGAGGAGCCTCCCAAGGGAAAGCTAAGACATGCTCGAGTGTACCGCGACCTACGTACCGGCTGGTCCACCCCACGTGAGAGGAGCTCTCGGGCAATTCCTAGTCGGTCATTTTCATTCTTCGGTGGATAATGGACGCTCGAGTCGTGGAATAGAGATCGAAAAGCCTTGGTAAGGCTAGCTCGTGATGGGTTGTGCTTCCCGCTTAATAGAAGCCTCATTACGTCTCCTGACGCGACACCAAAGCTTAAAGCTTCACCATCATTGTAGTTTACAGAAGCTCCATGCTCCAAGAGCAGCTTGAGAATGACCGCGTCATGGTGCCTAATGACGTGCCTTGTTTCAGGAGCCAATGCCCGGTCAATTGCTTCTTGGGGAATGCCGAGCCTAAGAAGATGCCTCAGGATTGGGGCCTTTTTCTGCACATCTTCAAGTGCAATAGCGTATTGGAATGCCGGTCCAAGCAGTCTGGAATCTGCAGTGATGAGACGCTGAATTATGTCCAGATTCTGCGAGCCTCCTTTGACGGCAATCTCGAGGGCTTGCAGAGCTGGGCCTTCCTCAACTCCATGAGCAAGAAGAATCTCTATCATTGGAAGAGTCGATGGCCGCCTCGCACCATTCGCGTCAAAAGTCAAAGGCAAGGCCGCCGATGTCACACCGACTGACGGTTTTGAGCCGCAAAGCAATTGCAGGACTGCCCTATCAGCTTGCGCAACTGCGAGACTGATCGCTTGGCCATTGTTATGGTTAACGTTTGCGCCGTGGCGAACGAGCTCTGTAATCAGAGTAATATCCCTGGAGCTCGAGGTGTCTGCAACCGCATCAATGAGAGCCTGGTCCACTTCCACCCCGTGAGCACCATTCCCCAGTAGCAGAAGGACGGTTTCGCGGCGCTCGGACGAACTATATCCTGAACGAATGAGAGGGAAGACTTGAGCGAGAGACCGTGGCGACGGCCGAGCGTTGAGAAGTGTTCGAAGGCTCCGAATGTCCTTGCGAGCTACGGCGGCCTGCAAAGGTGTCGGCACGCTTAGCAGATGTCTTAAATAAAGAGAGGGGACACTCCAGCATGTCCTAAGACTTTACCTGCTCAAGGCCTCACGAGGAGCTTTCTGCAGTTGAAATCTGAGACACGCTGGAGCGGGTACCATGGCCACGTACCTGAATAGCCGTATTGCTTCCCGATTCAAGCGGTGCTCCAGCGTTTAGCAGTAGGTCCATCAACGGGGTGTCGCCATCTTCCACCGAACGTATAAGCCACCGTTCAAGAGGCTTGCCGTTTGCTCCTTTTGATACGAGCGCACTGACTATATGTAGGCGATCAGGTTTAGGAGTATCAGCTGGCACAACGGCGAGAGCAATGGAAGCATGAGCAGGCGAAAGTGAAGTAGCGAGGACTGCGTCTGCCAGCGTCCAATTCGCGTTTGCGATTGCATTTCTGAGACACTCGGCCTCGTTCATATCCGTGGATACTCCATAGCTAACGAGCATTTGGGCAAGAGCGGTATCGTTCCGTTTAGTCGCGGCGACCAACAACCTGGCGAGTCCGGGGCTTCCAGGAGACAGCCCACAGCAAAATAGAAGCTGCAAGAACTGATATAGATCCTGAGCTGTTGGCATGTTCAAAGCCGGCTCCGAGAGCGCTTGTAGCGAGACCGGCGTTAGAGGAATTGGCCCAGCTACCAGCGCAATAGCGAGTCGATACTCGCGCTGGGAGATGGCCATGCTCAAGGCGGCCGCGCCATTGAAGTTGGGATCAGCGCCATTTCCAATAAGCAATGACACTATCGCTTCGGACTTCTGCTGTACCGCTGCGGGAAGACAGGAAGAGACAATCTCTGCTTTTATGGCTTTCGGAGCTCTTAACAAAAGTCGAACAAGGTTCTGATCATTCGACCGCACCGCATCCGCAAGAGCGTTGGGGAACTTATTGATGTCTGAACCGTGACGAAGCAGTTCTCGAATGCACTCTTGGTCATTCGCAGCCAGGGCAGCTTGCAAAGCTTCGTCAAGAGATGTCTGGTCGGCGCCCGAGCTGGCGAGGAGACTGACTTCGTCTGCTCTCCTTACAGTAGCTGCTCGCTGCAGCACTGTGCTTCGTCTTCGGGCGGCGGCATTAGGCTTCTTCGCCGCTTTCCCCTTCTTGTCGTCTGACGCTTCGACAAAATTGACTTTGGCCCCAAGATTGAGGAACGCTTGGACAAGGCCAGCTTGTGTCGATGGCTTCTCGATGACAGCGGACAGAGCCTGATCAAGCTCGTCTTGCGAGAATTCCCAAAGGCTAGTGTCCTGAAGCTTTTCCTTCTCTTTCGAGCTCTTGAAAATGCGTTTCAGCTGTTTGCTGGGATCCCGGTGCTTTGGGCCGTTTCTCCTCTGTTCGACTAGGAGATTCCGGGCTAGGACGTGATCCTCCTCGCTGGAAATGATGGCGGGCTGGGAAGGGGCCGGCAGACAAGGTTGCCGTTCAAGCCCAACTGGGCTGACACCGGCATCCCGGATCAGTTCCTGGAGGCTGCGTTTCCCCGTCATAGTGCTCGAGCAGTCCTAGGGAGAAAGTGAGGGAGGATAGCATTGCGGTCTAACAACAATGTTGGCATGGCCATCCCCAAGGTGGAGTCGACTTCCGTGGCGCAACACGTCAGGTTCGAGGCTGAGTTACGAGAGTGGGAAGGCGCTAACTGCAAGCGGCTAAAGCTGATTGGTCACATGACGTCGCCGTTCTCGTCCGTTCCGCTCGTTTGCTTCCTTTACTCCAACTCCTACACTCCAACACTTTCATGTGCACCGAGGTAGGTGCGGTCGAGCATCCAGCCCATCTGCGACAGTTGTGATTCATGTTCAATGCAGGTTCCGTCCCCTTTCATCTTTCGGAGACAGCTGTGCGAGCTGCGGTAGTCCTAGGTGCATACGTTCCCCGAAGTGCGGCCTGCATACATAGCCTGAGAATGCCACTGTAAGCTGCTCTCCCTGTTTCACGACGATTCGGACCTTCTGTGGGACCCTCCTCGGTCTTCTTCGTCTTTAAGGCCGGCACGGGAAGAGTCAGTTGAACTTTGATCACGCTGCTCAGCTCTTTCCTCGCGCAGTTAGAGACGTAAGCCGCGTAGAAGTCGTCTGCGCAAAAGCGGGATCGTCTCGTGAATTAGGCGTAAAAGGCGGCTGTTTCACGATAGTGAAGGAATACCTTGCGTTTCTCCAGCCCCCTATTGGGCACCGAGCCGTGTTTCATCCTTCGCAACGCGTTCTGCAGGTACCGTTTCAGCGCCCATGAACCGTTCTCGCCTCGGAAACTCAAAAAAACTGTTGGAACTGTTGTTTTCGCACGACAAACAGCACGCCCAACGGCTATCGACAAGCTTGTGGGGCGACGACGCCTGTGCCACCCGCAGGATTATATTTCAAGAGTATCAGTGTCAAGGCTTGATCCATGGCTCTGGGCCCTGCGCTTTGACTGAAGTCCAATGCACATACTCTCCAGATTGCCAGATGCGGTCAAGTTCCCTCCTACTTCCCTTGTCCTACACGGGACTACTCCTGTCAGCCCTCAGATGGGAGCACAACACCGCGGAAGAACTGCAGCATAGCCAAACACTATCACCATGTCAGGGACCATGTTTGTTTGGGATGTGCGTCCGCAAGGTAGGTTATGGGCTGGCCATCGGGCCAATTTACCGGTATTCCCTTTTGGGAGCATTCAATGGGACACGGAACGACTATATATTGGAGCTGTTGGCTTCATCAATTTCCAACCCACATCCTCGCTGATATAGCTTCTTCTACAATACCCTTTCCCCTCTTTCCTATTCCGTAACATTCGTTCTTTGGGCTCCGGCAGCTCCTCCTTTCGTTTGATACTTTCTCTTCCTCTTTCGCTATCATCATCCACGATGCATTCATCACTCTTTTTGCTCGCTCTTCCACTTGCGCTCGCCGCGCCCTTGACTCCCAGGGCTCGCCTTCCAGGCCATCTCTTCCACCGTCAAGACAATGCATCCTGCAACCTAGCCGACCTCCAGCAACCCACCAACACCATGACGCCTCCCAGCGCCGACCTCGAACTAGCCCTCATCGCTCTCGGCCAAGGCACACAGAACTACACCTGCGCAAACGCGACATCGGCTCCAGCCGCCATCGGCGCCCTAGCCAATCTCTTCAACGCCTCATGCGCCGTCGCCAACAACGCCCTCGGCTCCGTGCAGGAAGACGCCGCCATCGGCATGCATTTCTTCGTCGACAGCACCACGCCGGACTTCGACATCATCGGCCTTGGAAACACGCAGATGAAGAAGGTCGAATCGATGGCCGCTCCACAGGCCACGGATGTGCCGTGGTTGAGGCTCGAAGCGCAACAGCAAGGAACGACGTCGGCAGTGAAACAAGTGTACCGGCTGAACACGGTTGGTGGTGTCGCGCCTACGAGCTGTGACGGCCAGACCGCTGGCAGTGTCGTCACTGTCGAGTACCAGGCGCAGTATTGGATATATGCTTCGCCCGATGAGGTGGCGGCGCGGAGGAAGAGGAGATTCCTTAGCCGACCTGTCGCGTGAAAGTGACTAGCTAGGCCTGGGATCGAACGTCTCATCGGAGCATCGCGGAGACTTTACACTGAATCGCATTCATTGACGGGGAGATACGCGCTTGAGGAGTAGTGGATTCGCTGGAGTTTTTCTGATGAACAATTGTTTGGTTTGGAGTGAGCCTTTTGGCGGGCGTGTCGCTATGTACGATGGTGTAAGCTCATGGGGGTTTCTTCTTCTTTTCTACATGTTTATCCGTAATCATGACACGATACTCGCGGGCCTCTGTATTTTTATGAATCAACTGACCCTTATACTCTCCATTCTTCCGCGTCCCGTCTGTGAGGCTGTTCTAGCGTTAGCACCCCGGATTCTGAAGGCCTTTGATTATTCCTACCCCAATCCTCGACTACTCATCCTTCAACCCCACCAACTCTAGCGAGGCCGTCTACAGCCTCCCTTCCTTCGCGGCATCATATGCCCAGGACGCATACCCAAGAGCCGCGGGGTCTCCGTCCGCAGCAGGCTGCATAATCCCGCTGTCGTTCAGATACATACCCGTCTCCATGCCGATTGCCTGAGGCGACGCCCATGACGAGGGCGGGCAACTTCACCGGAGAGAGCTTGCCGATGACTTCGTTGTCCCGGACGGCTTGAAGAGTCGTTGGTCCGGCGTCTCCAGGGCCGTGTAAGCTTTTGCGGACGGCGGCGTAGCGGGCGGACACGGGCGCGAGCGTGGTGGGTGGATGTGGTGGACTGTGGTCGGCCTGTTTTTGGAGAGTAGAATCAATTGAGAGGGGGCCAGGAAGGGAACTGAGAGTAATGGGTGAGGAGATAGAGATAAGTGCATCTTGTCCACTACGCCTCAGCGAACGCCTCAATGCAGCCCAATCAGCTGGGCTTATACCTGGCTGGCATGTCAATCGCTGTCGTGCAATTCCCATTTCCATACTATCTCCATGCTCCATGGGCAGCAGGGCAACGTGGCCGCTCCAATTGTTGTTGAACTCATTAAAATTCGTTCTTGTTGAGCTTATTGGCCTGTTGAGGAAGATATGCTGGAAGCCTACATCATCGCGGTGTTGATGGGTTAGGCGGAACTGAGGGAACCACAGTCCTGGCTGCAATGTGTGCGGAGTAAGTGAGATTTCATCTGAAGTTGTGGTATATGCGCCAGAAGAGGTCCAGCTTCTAGGGTTGGATACCTTCACAACGCCCTAAAATGTGCATATAGCTAAGGTTTAAAATCCGAAGTACGTGAATACTTAGCACGAACCACTTTAGCAAACGTTGCACACCTGGTTAAGCAGACGAAACGAGTCAAATCTCCTCCATCTTTCTAGCAGCCGCGGGCCCCGTTCTCAACTTGGATGACATTTGGACGACAGCGTGAGTTCCAAAGCATCACCGCAGGGCGTAGTTGTGCTCGCAGTAAGCCCAGATAGTCTGTCATTGTGAGCCGTTTCGTCTCACGCAATAACGGTCATGGTCTTGAATTGAATAGCGTACTTGCTCTATGGTTATACTTCTCCTCTCAAGCATGAACCCCCTGGTGCGCGCCGAGACCAAAACGATACAACCCCCGAAAGGATATGGTATTAAGCCCTCATTGATTAAAGGTATATGCTCCGTCCAATGCTCCACCCAATGCCTCGTCCAATGTTAAGCGCCAAGTTGCTCTCGTATGCGTTGCTGAAGAAGGACCTATGCGCTCGCAGTCGTGATGATATCTATCGTAGCAGACGGCTGTTGGGGAGACTAAGCCTTCTCGCCGTCTTCGGTCTGAGCTGTGCGCGGCCGGTCTACCAGGACATAATCAGAGCTGTTGTCAGACGAGGGGGTCTCTGGCAGCGCACCTGGCAAGTCCTTCTGAGGTCGGGCGTTCTCCTTGCGACGGGCAGCCAGAGGACTCCCGGCGGCCGCTAGCCGAGCCCTGTCCTCGTCAGGGAAGGCGCTCTGGATGGGCGTTCGGCGCTGGCTGTCCTTGCGGCGCGGCGGCGACGTCTTTGCTTGCTTCAGGCGCTCTTCGGTTTCGCGGAGCTTGGCCTCGAGAGCCTCGAGCTCCTGGGCATGGTGCGAGACGGCTTGCTTCCTGGAGCAGGCGTCAGCAGGGGCTCAGCGACGAGCTGGCGCGCGAGCATACTTCTGGTGCACGTTCTTATCGAGCACGTCGATGCCGCCATCGAGCCGGAAGAGGTCGTCCAACTCGGACATGAAGTTGCGTGCCACGGTTCTGCACGCAGCGGTCAGCGGGGGGGAGCTTGGTGCAGGCGCAGGAGGCTCTTACGAGTGCGGGCGGTTGTTGGGCTTCCACCCGTGATCCGCGTCTTCCGTATTGAACTTGGAGGGCGTAGACGTGGCCGACATTGTGGGCGGGCGCGGGGTTGCGTGCGGAGGGCCGTTTGGATGGGGACGAGACCAGATGCGCCGACGAGAGGTTATGTACTGTGGACGGAGATGAGGTGCTGCGGACGCAGGCGGCGCGTCTTCAGATCAAGGGCGTTTCAAAATGCGCGACCGGGTTACGCTGTGGGGGAGGGAGCATGATATGGGGTCCTGTGATGAGCTGCGGTGATGCGCTTGGGGGGGGTAATATTATGGTCCATGGAAAAGGAGGCGGTCGTCGGCCATGGCTCTGCCCATTCCTGATGGGTAGCAAGCAAGCGGCCGATCAGCGGTGGAGCGGCGCAAGGCAGGCGCGACGACGCACGCGGCCTCACCACGCCGGCGGCCAGCAACGGCGCTGCAGCTCTGCGCAGCGTGACGGCATCACGGCGCGCCTCTCTTGCGACGCTACAGCGCTCTGCTGCCCTCGCCGTGAGCCCGGATGGTGGACGCTTGACGGCGCCCGCGCGCGCGTTGCTAGCTGCCCGCACGTGCCACAGCGGAGCGCCGACCGCGTCGCACGCGCTGATTGGCCGCGCCCGGCCAGCCGCCCTTTCGCAGGTGCAGCCCGCCCCGACGGCCGCAGAACCACAGCAGCGCACTCCCACGACGCCCGCCGAATTTTCATCAACCGCCCGCGGCCTCCATCGCCCACGCCTGCTCCCGCCAGCCGCGCCATCTCGCCGATGCCCTGCGATGCCCGCATGTGCATCGTGACCGTTGTCCTCCGTCGTGCTGGCTCCCCTACCGCCCCCGTCGTCTCGTCGCCCGCGTGCCCCAGCCCCCGTCCAGCGCTACTGGGGGATGAATACTAGCCTGACTGCCTACACCAACCTCGAGTCGCTACTCCTGTTCCAGTCGCTCCATGCCTATGGCCTCGGGCCCCACGTCTTCAGCAGAATCTCGGAGCTGCTGAAGAACAATCCCCACATCACCGCCGACCGGCGCTTCCAGAGCGGCCGTCTGAGCCCCGATGCCTTGCGCAACTTCTACCTGCACATCCTGAAGGAGGAGGTCAAGAGCGAGCAGGGCGCCGTGGACGGCGAGATCCAGAATGGAGACGTCAAGACCTCGCGCAAGAGGAAGGCACCCAGTCCGAGCCTGCCCACGGTCCACGAATCCGTCCAGCACCAGCACCTCATTCCGAAGCTCGTCAACAAGCTGTACGCGCGCTACCGCGCCACTATCACCGAGCAGATCAGGTCCGACGAAGAGCGATATGAGAAGCTGCAGAGAGAGTTGCAGGGCATCGAGCGCGGCGAGTGGGACGACCAGTTGAAAGAGAAGGCCAATGGAACTCCGCGGAGCCCCAGTCTCCCACGAAAGTCGCCTCTTCTCTCCCAAAAGCCGTCACCCGCACATGCCGCTCCGCATCTTGCTTCACAGGAAAGTGTTCCCATTAGTCCTGCGCGAGTCCAGACCCCAACCCCGGAGGGACCTCAACAGCAACAGCCGGTCCTTGAGCCTCCTCAATTATTGCCGCCCCAGAACGGACAACTACAAGCCGAGTGGAATGCCAGAAGCACCACCAACGGGTCCCCCCGCAAGAGACAGATCGCAGTAGGCCAGCGAAGCAGACCATCGACGCCTCAGCCACCAGCTGGCCCCGTTCCGTCTCCCCTGCAGAATCGGACCCCTCAATCTCTCGCTCCGTCGCCCAGGCCTCAGCCTCAGCAACTAACCGACATCGTACAAAATGCCTCTCCGTATGTACAGCCGTCGCCGATTCCTCCACAGGCTCCACAACCCCAGGTCCACGGGGCTCAGAATATACCGCTGATAGGAAGTCCGCGCCCGCAAGCCGGTGCTGGCAGTGCTTCGGGCGCGCAGTCGCAACCGCAACCGATTCAACCCTATGTGCTAAATGGAAATGAGCAGTATGGACCGCCTCCTGATGCACCTCCGCAATACTCGCCAACTCAACAACGTCTCCCCCCTCCGCCGCCGGGCCCGCAGTCTCCCCCCGTGCAGACACCACAGCAGCAAAGGAACCACTTGCCTTACCCTGCGCAGCCAGCATACCCTCTGCAACATGCTCAGATGGGCCAAGCTCCACCCCAGAGCGGATTCATGCTACCTCCTTTCCAGGTTTCCCCCCAAGATCCGTCACGTGTTCATCAGCAGCCCGTACCTCCGCCGCAGTATCCCCAGGTTTCTACTCCTGTGAGCGCACGGCAGCCTCTTCGTCCTGCAAATCGGACACCATTGGGTCCGGGTGCCGGTAGACCAGGAGTTCTGCCAATGCATCCTTTGGTCACTCAAGCCAGGCACTCCTTTTCCACTCCATCCGGCATCCGCACGCCTCATAGCGCGCTATCTACGCCAAGATCGGCCAAGACTATGTGGAAAGCAACAGCAAGAAACTTTGCGACCCCACCAGCGCCGCGTCCGGAGGTCAGCCCGATCGACGACATCATGCCTTTGGAAAAGCCGCACGGGAGTCGCCCAAAGGCCAAGGCTCCTCGCAAGTCACGAGGGAGGGCTAAAGGAAAAGAGAAAGAACCTGAAAAGGAGTCTGAACCTCAACCGGAACCTGAGCGGCGGACCGAAGACACGGCTCCCGAGATGGAAACCCGGCAAGGCCGACCACGGCGCAAGGCCCCCGTTAAGAGAGCCAGGCCCGGTAGCATCGCGTCCTCCCAGGCCGGTGCTTCTGTTCGAGAGCGGAGCAGGAGCCAGTCCATCTTATCCCATACCGACACTGTAGCCGCTGACAACGAATCTCAATTTGGCAGTCGAGTCAAGTCAGAGCGCGGAAACTCCATCGACGTAGTTGAGGAAGATGCAGCTGCAACGCCTTCACACATGGCGACTCGACGCCGGGGCCGAGCACTGCAATCTCTCCAGCCCAGCAACAAGCGAAAGCGGAACCTGCGGGAACCGTCGATAGAGGAATCAGAAGAACAACCCAGTACGCCAGGGCCCCCTAAGACCGTTACCGCCCTTCGCCATTTCTCGCGCATGTGCACCCCTTTGATGAACGATATCGGCTCGCACAAGCATGCCTCCACATTCACCACTGCCGTCAAGGTGAAGGATGCGGAAGGCTATTACGACATCATCAAACGGCCAACTGATCTCAAGTCCATCTCAAAAGCCATCGCAATTGGAGCCAAACAAGTCGCCGCTGCTGCTTCAGACACGCCAGTTGGCAGTCCTGGAGGCGGCGGAGGTGTCGTAGAGCTGCCGATGACGCTCGACACCATACCTCCTAAAGCCATTGTGAACTCGAGTCAACTGGAGAAGGAGCTAATGCGCATGTTTGTCAACGCTGTCATGTTCAATGCAGGCGAAGAGGGCGTCGTGGAAGACGCTAGGGAAATGTTCAAGACTGTCGAGCAGAGCGTTTCAAGTTGGCGAAGCGTCGAGCGGTCGAGCGGCAGACTGGAAGTCGAGGAGACGCCGCCAGTGCATGAGGAAGACGCTCCTGTGCCTTCTAAGCGAAGGAAGCTCTGATATTTTTACTTTCTAGGTGGGAGCCCTCAAGAGGGCTATGGTAGGATTTTAATCTACAGATACCACTACTTTTCTCCATACCACTGTCTTCTCTTCTTTTCTATGACTGTGGCCCACGGAGACTGCTGCTTCACCCTTTATCTTATGTAATCGGCGAGTAAGCACGACCTCCTGATACTGACCTGACATGACGTCAGTACTCTGTTACAGATCATACGTTCGACCGCTCCAAAGGCTTCTTCCCTCCTTCATTACTATGAACGCAGAACGAGTTCGAATAACCGCCTGCGTACGCGCGCGCGCCCTCCTCGTTCCTCCGATAAAAAGGCCCGTCTCCCAATTTCTCGTACCACCCAGCCTCCCAAGAACCAGCCTTCCACACGGGTTTCCAATCGAGGACATAGACGAGAGAAGCAGATCCTAGGAAGCTGCGTGGTAGCCTTGCGACAATGGCCCGTTTTGTCGTTCCACGCCGAGGTCTGGGCCACAACGCGCCGTCCCTCCTTTAGCCCTCTCTAACCGCCGCTGTGCCTTCAGCCCTGCCAGGTCTCGAAAAACGACATCCGCCAGCTGATTCACCGCATTCCCCTTCCTGGCAGGGCTGACTCGTGATGGTGGTCTGCCTGGGAAGAATCCAAGCCCCGCCGGAGTGGCGTTGTTCCTACTAGAGCGTACCTCAGTGGGCCACCCGTTCTCCGATCCTGCAGGTCATTTACGAGCCCTCGGATCTCACAAGTAGTCTTTAAGATGCCACGGTAAAGTTAGCAATGCTTGCTTGGCACTACGTAAATCCAGTTTCCCCATCTTGTTCTTGTGCTGCACTGAATTTTTTTTTGGGATTTGAGATTTTTGGCTGTTGAGGGAAGTCAGGAGATTTGTCGGTCGGTTCTTCCGGACCGCGTGCGTGCAGGTTCAGCGCAATTCAGCCTTGACGTCACCGGTATTGCAAATTATTTCTCTTGGTTTGCTCGGCTCGTTCGGGCAACCCGCGTTATTGTCGCCACTGGAGGCGAACATCGTCGATGGTTGTTGCGCAGCTTTTCGTATTTTGTGTGTTTTCGTTAGTTGGCGCGTTTTGCGCTGTTGCCGGTTTTAGCTAATTTGAGAGATGCAGGGCAGGCTGATGCTGCAGTTCCAAGGTTTCAAGGTTTCACTTCAGCAAGTGGCAAGAATGAGTTGAGAGACACGAAGGCGACGAGGATTATCATTATCGGAGCTATAGCTACCCGTGGACATTCGAGAGCGGAGGAAACACCGTCGAAAAGAAAGGTGACAGGTTGTATAACAATCTCCGCTCGTCAGCACTTGATGGAATGGAGTTGAGTAACCTGAAGCCAGCCGCCCTGAACAGAGGTAGACACGGCAGGGCCATTCTACAGAAGTAGTGGTAGAGGCAAGAAAAGCGCCGAAAGCAACGCTTTTTCGTATCATCATCATTCGCTCGCTCAAAGCCAGATCGTGTGTACGAGAGAAAGGAGATGGGCCAGTTGGGTCAAGGGTCCACCAGGAAGTCGGAAACGGAGTCGGCGCGCTGCTGCTGCTTCTTGTTCCAGCTCTGCTGCGCGAAGCCGCGTAACCGGTCGTTCTCCTCGCGGTACATGTCGCGCTCTTTTTCAATCTTTTTGATGTAGTCGATGGCGCCGGCGAGCACCATGGCTTTGCTGGGCTTCGGCTGGCCCATGACGCCGCCCTCCTCGCTCTGCGGCAGCGTCGGGACGGTGCGTCTCAGCCGCTCGAGCTCGGCGTTCAGGCCCTCGCGGTACTTGCGCTCGACCTGGTTGTGCGGCAGGCGGCTGGTGCGGTGGCATTTTGACGAGGTTGACGACGTGTCGGTGTTGCTGCGGTCCAGGCGCGGCCTGCCCCGCTTTCGCTGCGGGCGCTTCGGCATCGGGTCCTCTTCCAGCTCGACGCCCTCGTCGGTAGGCTCGCGCTTTAGCGTTGGGCGCGGCGAGAGCTCTGGCGAGCTGGGTGCTTGGTAGTGGGGTCCGTCGCCGCAGAGGGAGGGGGTCCGCGAGTGCGCCGTCACTGGGGACACGCTTGATTCAAACGCGTTGCTCGCGGTGTCGAAGGCGAAGCCCGATGGGAACTGCTCCAGCCGGCCGAAGGGGGCGGAGTTGAAGCTTGAGCTGTAGGAGGAGTTGAGGTGGGCTGGTGTGGATGTCGCGGCGGGCAAGGTGGCGTTGAAGACAGCGGGGTTCTTGGGGGCGAAGACGCCTGGTGCGGGGCCCTCGACGGAGGAGACGGGTCGGTCAAAGTAGGAGTCGCAGTCAAAGAAGCTGGCGAGGGAGTGGTCGGGCGACGTGGTGTATGAGTCGGCGATGTAGGCTTTGTCGAATGCCTCGGGGTAGGAGAAGGCTTCGTTGGTGGGCGAGTAGTCGGTGCTGGCTACCACGGGGTAGGAGGTGAATTCTGAATATTCCATGTTGAGGCTGGTGCAGTTGCAGTCGGTGACGAGAGGACTGACTGTATATAGACGAAGGCTGGCCGGCAAGGCCAAGTCGAGGTATGCCGTTGAGGATCTCGATGGGCGGTGCAGTACGGATGCAGGGTTCCGACGATAAGCCTATCGAACCGGAGCGTGCTTGGGATGGTCTTGGGAGTGCGGGAACACGGTCGTATTGGGGGTATGAGTATTTCAGCTGCTGCAACCAAGCGCTGGCTTGGTCGGCGACGAGGCGGAGGGGTAATGGGAGCTGCGACAAGTGCGGAGTAGAGAATGGTGATCCTATCTCAAAGTATCGAGGGCGTTGGTCCCGCGAAGCCTTTGGCCTTATACTCCCGAGGTCGACGATCGCGGCCCATAGACTAGCAGCTCCCCGCGCATCGACAAGTCGACCCCTGTCCCTGAGTATCCGCTGCAGAAGCCCTGCAGCATTGTGAGCTGCACAAGTCGTCCGATAAACAGCTCACTTCCAGAGGCTCGGCAGGCTCCGGGGCAGCAGGTCGGCCTTATGATCCGGTGCAACCGCAGTCGCGCTTGGCCTGCGGCGCGGCGGTCTAGGCCCTGAGCGCTCGCGCGCGGTGCCGCAGCGCAGCCAAGGGCATGTACGTCGCGGTGCAGCACATGCCTGCCCCGAATTTGAGCGCCCGTCTCACCGGCATCCTCTTGTGCATCAAACATGGCGCCATGCGCCAGTGGAAACAAGCCGCAGACGGGGGAATCTGGTGGCTTCTTCTCGGCTTCAGCAGTTCGCTCGGAGATAGTGTGGTACAGTAGTGACGGCGGGGTGCGCAGCGCATGCGCCGGAACCGTTTCCCCTGTCAAAGGCACTGCGGGCGAGTGCCGTTGCAGCCGTTCCCAACAATCCCTCCTACAGTATACCGATACCTAGTGACCATCTCCGATAAGGTCGGCGGTTTGGCTGTGTTTTGCCCACCACGTGGTCCGCCGCCCTCCGCGAGATGGCGTAGTATTCTTTAGATAATCACCGACGGGCCAAGCAGCAGGGCCAAGCAGCAGGGCCGGTGACGTCCACGGTTTGCAGGCCCAGCAGGCTGAGCAGCAGCCGGCCTTAGTCATTCTCTCCTTGGCGATCGTCGCGATGTTCGCGTTCACGTGCCCGTCCATGCGTGCTTCCATTGTTCGACCGCGTTGCACCACTCAACTGCCGCTTGCAGCGCGTATCAAAGTCCCTCTGGACCAAAGGGCTCTGGTGAGATGACGCCATGTTCTGTCACGAATTTCAATGTCAGCCCCGGATTCAGATCGAGGAGACGCGACGGAGATGCGTTGCGCGAACGCTCTCGGGGTCTTCATGTCTGCCCACAATGGGCTGATTGTGCGCCAAGCGGCCATGGCTAGAACGTGAAGGGCGGTCACAGGGCTGAGGCCCATGTGTTTGCCCACAGGTGTCGTCAGGGCCGCTTGGCGGACGCATCGGGATCGCAGGCACGTGATGCGGCCGCACGTGAAAGTGGGCTGGTTCTCGCACCACACGCCTGCGGAAGGCGTTCTCGAACGTGCGCAGGGGTACGCTTTCCGGGCACGCGCAGATTAAAATAGGCGTCTGGCTTGCGCTTTCGCGAAGATCGCTTCCTCGTTAGAGCTACTATCGTCTTCTGCCGCGTTTCCCATGCCCTGTCCATCTAGCCGCGCATCCCTCAGAATCCAATATCACCGAGGACATTTCTCGGACTTGCGCTGTTCTTTGCAAACTTCTTCTTCCTCTGACCGTCTTCTTGGCGCCTTCTGGGCGTCCTTTGGGCCTCTTCTTAGCCGTTTTTTTTGTGCTGAGGGGTTGGCAGTCTCCGCGGTACCAGCAGTAGTGATATCGTGGTGCTAAACGAAAAGACATAGTCACCTCGTCGCCACATCGGCAACAAATGTATGCATCCACATTCCGTATTCGTTGCATACTCCTACAGTACTTGCTTGCGAACTGCGGGTACTCAAAGGCAGCGTGCATGTCCCAAGAGAGCATAGTGGGCCCCGCCCCGAACGCCGAGCACCCGCCGTTGAGCACCAGAAGTCTAGATCTCCCAAGCCTTCCACGCCTGGCAAACGCTGCAGACGCTCATAGGGTTTCGCCCGTCGTATGACGCAGCTCCCGAGTCGCGTTCCAGGCCATCTTCTCTGGACACGTCTCGCGTCGGCTATGTGCATCGACATTGGAATGGAAGCGCGATTCTCCGCCGACAATCCGATGCATCGCTCGCTTGTAACTCGGCGACCATGCCAGCCTCACCGAAGACCATCCCCGGGCCAGCGGTTCGAGAATAGCCAACAATGCCGTCTGACCCGTTCTGCGAAAATCGAGAGCCATCGTCGAAACACCATCAGGCGGTCGCTGGGCTAAATGCACGACAATCGCGAGGAAAAGGTGGAAGACGCGGCGGCCGCCGATGTTGCCCGGAGCAGGGACACGGGAGTTGGACCTCGAGGCGGGCTGCTCATGTAGTTCGCACGAAGTAGTCCAGATACTCAGTCAACAAAAGACGTGGATGCACCGAGCTTGATGCAGGTTTTGTCGGACTTCGGCGCGGAATACAGCGTTCGGTGTGCAAGCCGTAAGACGAAGCGTTCGATGAATTGGGTCCTGCGGCGCTTGCGTCGAAATCTTGATACAAGCCTGGGCTGCATTTAGTTTTCATTTTCCAGTCGCAATACGAGCGTTCTTCTTGCTCTTTCTCACTGCGGTTCACGCAGCCATTAGTTCCGCCGCCATGTCAGAAGCCATTTCAATCGGGCTGCAAGAGCCGGATTATCTCCTTTCGCAATGTACATACCACGCAGCTCTTGTCGCAACGCCCTCGCTGATATCAACCGTCTTCCAGAATCGCGGATGCCCGGTCGGCCGAATTCTTCAGTATACCAATCGCATGGTCACCGATCGATGTAGCCGCAGCGGATTCGAACAAAGGGTTACAGTTATTTCGCCATTCATTCCCCGTTCGTTGGGAGCAGGTGGGCGCGAGGCGGAGGAGAGAAGAGGCATGCGTGCTCAAGCGAGGACGAACGAATAGGGTTGGAAAACATGTCGAGTGAACTGTATGGCACTCTTCATGGCAATAGCAGTACGTTGGATGATCGTCCGATGTATGTGAGGGGTCTGGGAATGGCGAGGAAAGCGTTCAGCGTCTTCGGACGCAGGGTAAGGAAGAGGACGTGAGTAACACAACGGAGATGGAAACTAGACGTTGGATGTTGAATTAGGCTTGCAGCACGAGACGTTCGCTATCCTTTTTAAATACACTGGTTCACTTTGCCACGGAGGCGCCAGAAAATTGGTAGAGGGAGTTGACGCTCATTGGTGCAACAGCATCCCGGGTCTCACTTCCACCCAATCGACGTTAAGATGTTTCCTCGCCAAATTGTCCGACACAGCAGTCGCTATGAAACGAACGCGCTACGGGTGCAGGTCGCCACGCGCAATCGAATTGTCGCCACTTTCCCCAAACGTCGAGAGCATTTCGCTACATAGGAACTAACCACTTTGAGAAAGATGGCAAGACTCCTAACGGTCCAGAAGCAGAGCCTCCATCAGACACCCTTTGAACCTAGGAACTAGGCCGCTTTGGGAAAGTACAGTAAGTTTCCCCTCCACCTGGGCAGGCTCATAGCTTCGCCAGCACCCAACCCCGGGACGTGCGCTCGAAGAACGCAAGGTTAAGGCTCGGGAGACCAGGCCAACGCTGTTCGGGCCTTAGAAGAGAAAGGATCACTGGATAAGGCGCCCAGGGGATATTACATAGTCGCCACAGCCTTATCTGAACGACACACTCTTCAGCTCAGGGAAGTTTGAACATCTGTACTGTCTACCGTCGCTGAAATGGCGATTGCAAGACTGCACGGACGGCGGCGTCGATTTTCCTGAGCAGTCGGCAGGAGGCACTGACGGCAGGTCCCGTGATCGTTTCACATATCTGCCTATGGCCTGATACTCTCGTACTGCAGTGGCCATATGGCTGTAGAGAGTAAGCACACTGTATTGTAAGGTTTGCCTTCTTAGAGAAAACCTGGTACGGCAACAAGCGCCCCTAATCCTCACTATTCGGGTATACGTCGTCGCGCAGGGGCGTTCCTGTCCTACCCCAGAGTAAGCCGTACGGAGCACGAAAGCATCACCCCACAAAAACGTGCCGCAAGCGTTCCCCAGAAAGCAGGTATCGGATGTTTACTTGCACGTACGCAACGCCCAGCAAAGCCACAACTAACGCTCACCAGCAACAACCCACAGTAGACACCTAACCCACGCCGTAATCCGAAATCCCTCGCTCAGCCTCATTTAGACCGCGAACGCGTCCATGAAGGGCACCAATTGCATCAACTACAAGCACACCGAGGCACTGATCGCAAAACCCTCACGGCCATCCGGAGTTTCAGTCTAGATCCTCTGTGCACCACAAGACTGGTGCGCCCTTCTGAATCTACCGGGACGTCATACCGTTCCCTTCCGGGTGGCTGTCGAATTCTCCCATCTTGGAAGATATGGCAATGTATTCAGCCAGAGACGCAGGAGATGCGCTTCTCGGTCCACAGCATCGAGATCCCAAATCTAGCATCAGACGAGCATGGCTCGAGCGTCACAATCACGCCTGCCGGGACGGTGTCTGCATGCAAGCTCGATAAAGTTTGGCGCCCGTTCGGGAAGTTAAGGCCCTTTCCGCCGGGCTGGGTCGACGAGGAGGAATGGTCTAGACTCCTGCAGGAGTCGGCAATGATCGGAGAGATGCGAGCATGGGCTCGGGTACATAATCTGTGGCGGATTGCTGGGTACGGGTGGCATTGCGGCTGGCTGGTCTATGCTTTCGCGCAGTGCGCCCACGAAGACTCGCAAGACGGAAAGTGCCGTGGGCTTTACGGAGATATCACTCCACCGGCACGTGGGCATCAATGATGGAGGCTACAAGCATGTGTTCAGCGCGATTGGTGATAGAGGTCGCGTGCTGGGTTTCCTCGTGTCGCGGTGCGGTTCGAGCTTTAACCTGATCTGATACTGGGGTATACCCCAAGTTGAGATCGTGGGGGGAGAAAAGCTGGATGATTGATGGATGGGATTTTTTGGTGTTTCGATTGTTATTGGGGTCTCACGTGTTGAGGCTCTGTGCCCAGGTGCGCCATGAGCTCGATCTTGAAGGCCCTGCTCCTGAACGACAAGGGTCAGTGGCCATCGACAACGAGATAATTGAAATCAGGATAATAAATCATTGCTATCCTTCTTTCAAGGCGATAGTGATGTGCGGGCACTTAAGTGTGTCTTCTCTCCCCTCATCCTTTGTCCCCAGCTAGAACTGGCGAGGCATCAGGAGATATACGCGGATTATCATTTCGGCAAATCACAGAACAGATCAATCGGTCCTTTTTCATACATATATCATCCCATCCCAAAACAGCTCAAGCAACGTCAACCGTCCTCCGAATCTCACTTTCGGAAACCCAAGTACGCATATCAGAGCCCTTAAACCGCGATTCAGTCTCGGACTGTCTCGCTGCTGAGCTGAATTCGCGGCCCCCACTTGGATTTCACCTTTCTACTCTCCCAAGAGCCACCACTAGCCAACACAGTCATCCAGCCCGCAATGACACTTGCGCTCGATGTGCATCCTAGCACCCACCGATTTGCGCACTATTTCATGCCTCCCTTGAACAACAACCACCCGTGGCCCCTAAGCCGCTCCGGACATCGCCGAGATCGCGCCTCAGCTTTCAGCTTCCGCTGCAATGAGACCGAATTTCCCTTCATAGGTTCGAGGCCCTCGCCCTCCTAGCCACTGCCATCGCCAGCAACCTCTTCCACGCTCCACACGCCGCGAATACATCCCCAGCCGTCCCTGTCCCCGTCACGGCGCCAGCTCGCCGATAGTTTCATACACTTGATTGCTGACCCTCTCACTTGCGCTAACCTTCGCTCTCAAACTAAAGCAGGATGTCTAGGCGTCATCACACTCCCCGTACTATCTAGACCCCCAGCGTCCGCGAGCAAAGACGAACAACCCTAGGACTCTTCGGCCATACCGTACACAAGCTGTTTGCGCACATGCTGCCGATATATCCTCAGGAACACTCCTGCGAACCCCGCCCTCTATAAGCGCCGCACGATATCCGTCCGTCCAATGATTTGGTCGCACACTTTTACTAGAAGCTTTCTCCAGTACTCGTCTGAAATACCAGAAAAGGGTGACAGTACGGGCACTGTGCTAAGGAGTCGAATCTGGACTGGAAAGATAATTGACGGAAAGGGGCTAAGTCGATAGGAGATATCGAAGGACGTTCGCTGCGGGCATGGGACCCAGATCCAGGAATGTGTGCTGCGCATTTTATTCCAAATAAAAAGAAGTAAGAGATTCTAGCAACTGTTTTCAGGATAAGGACTCTCTGGATAGCTTCATATGGAGGAAACTCCATAAGGGACACCGGTTCGGGCAGCCTGGGATGAAGTGGGTTGGAGTCCGGGTCTCAGGAAAACAGCCAAATCGTACATCTCATCATGGTTAGGAAGAGGTTCTCCAATCCAGGCCATGCCGCGGGACCCTGATACGGATCCGGCGTATTCGGCATATGCGTTGGGACGCTTCGCCGATGATTGGCGCGGACTAGCGCCGGCCCGCATATCATGCTCCCTAACCGGAATGTCTTCCCAGTTCCTGGCAACGCCTGCGAAAAAGAAGCGTGCCAATTGCTTTGTTGCGTGAGGTACGCATTCGGTATGGCTTGCCGAGGGTGTAGCCATTCGTAAGAGTCGCTGTGCATAGGCAAGGCAAGGAGTAAAAGCGGAGCAGCCTAGACGGCATAAAAACCGCTGTACAGTCAGCGGCATGTCGATATTGGACCAACGGCAAGAGGTATGGTCAAGTTCAGGCTGAGGAATGTTCCTGTATGATCTACCGTGACATATACATGACTCCTTTTATTGAGTTGTGGTGTCCGTGGTTTTGAAACTATAGCTTTCCCTTTTAGGTGCGCTAAATCAGTCACGTTCCTCCACGATCGCTCACATGTCGGAGGCGAGACGCTTCCAGACCGCAATCCCTCTCTGGACATGTTCGTTTAAACAACAGTCTACGCAGTATTTACCCAAGCTCTTCTCGTCATTAGCATGGCCGACATAGCGGCGGGAAACCTCATTGCAGACCGCAAGCCTCGCCCACACCGCATTGCACACGTTATCTGCATCATCACCCGGCGTTTCACATTGATATCCTCTCTCTCTCGCTAGATCCCGAGTTTTCGATCCGTTCGCTGGCAGATATGGGTTGAAATGACGCCGACGATCATCCTTGTTCTCTCCGAGGGTTTTTTCGTCGCCGACGTTAAGGTGCCGCCATATGGCTTGGAACGCTTGAAGAGTTATTAATCTACTTTTGTGCCCGGAGGCAGAGTCGCGGTATGAGCCCGCGCCTCGAGATGGAGAAGGAGATTCTGGCTCATGACTTTGGTGCTGCGACATCTGTTTAGTTGCGCTTCTGGCGAGAAGGCAGGCTGTCGGGAGGCTTTCTGTGCCGGTTCTGGAGAAGGGATATGACTCCTTTGGAACAGCGACGAAGAGGATGTTTATGAGTTGGAGTGGGACGGACGCGACGACTAGTGTTGGAAGTAGGCTAGCACGTTCTAGTGTAGCGCATATCTTACGTATGGATACACAGTAGATTTCGCGGGTTTGTTCATCTGCTAGGACACGCCAGTGTTGAACGATATTTGTTCAGTGCCATGTAGTGTTCTTGGCGCGAGCGTCGCAACGAGCAGTAGATATGTCTATATGGCCGAGGGATTGTCGTTGAGTTGGTTTTGGGCCTTGTGAAATACAAATTTCGTGGTAACTCTGTCGTATCTGTTTACGATGCGCTTCGATTCAATGTTTTGCAGCAGCTCGGTTACACCTGACTCAACAACTCCGCGATGATGTAGGCTGCAAGGAGCAAACAAGCAAACAATTACCCGTAATGATTTGTTTAGATGTGGACGCGACGTTCCATGGCTAACAATCTCTTCCGTTCAAAAATCCTCTTTGTGCTTCAAACGTGGAGAATCGCACACTCCACATCGTACGGCGAAACGCGGCAAAACGTCCCACGCGCAGTCCAAGACTAGGCAGGGAGAGCTCACTGACTATGAGACACACGCGTTCTGGATAGGAAAGGACGTCCATCGAGGATTGCGGGGGCAGGGGATCTCTGCCCATTCTAGCTAGGTGCCTTAGCCCGGGCAACGCAGACGGTCCGGAAGCCACGACACATGCATGCCCACGCATCCTGGCCTTCACCTTGCTGTCTTCATGTCGAATGGATAGCATGTCGAATGATCAACGAAAAGCAAGCATCGCCTCAACTGCCGATGGACATGGGGAGGGGACAACGAGCACGCCTCCGAAACGTTTCCGAGGGCGCACGATCGCTTCGAACATCAACAGCTGATGGTCTAGATCTTCTGCACTTCGTGTTGAGAGTTGCGATTCGCAGGGTACAAGTATATCTATCTTGAGGCGGAAGAGTTCTCATTCGGGTTGTTATCCCAACCAACCAACCTTCTGCCAAGGCGCAGGACTGAGGGTGGCACGCAAGTCCTTGCTCGAGCGAACGCCCGCCGGAGATGCGCTTTACTGCAAGGCATCGAGATGCAAAACTTCATTGGCAGTGGTTCCAACAGTGTCACGAGGCGAAGGTGTGCCGTCTCTATGCAGGATAGGCGCTCATTTGGAAGATCATGGGCCTGTGGTGCGATCTGTATGCCGGAAGAGGGGATCCAGACTTCTGCAGGCATAGAAACACCTCAGAGCGAATGCGAGGATCATCCGCAGATGCGAAAATCCCGGGCGTTCGAAGGGACTGGGGTAGATGCATGGTGCGCTCTTCTTGTCGCCCTTCTTGCACTGCGACGCTGCAACACGGAAGACGGAAGAGGCTATCCGTTGAACATTAATATCACTCCACATGCATGGAAAGATCGACGATGAACGGCGAAATCATATTTTCACCGCGAGTGTTGGGCGTAACTAGTAGTCCTTTTGCTGGTGCTACCATGAGGGGGTATGGCTGGGCCCTCGGCAGTGCCGCCACAGTTGTTCACGTAAAGCTCGGGAGTGGTGCGAGTGGATGTTTAGATGTCGGGTCCAGCTCAGTCTCGGGTGTTCACGTGGTGAGGCTTGAATATGGCCACCGAGGCGGAGGTAGGATCAGGAGGACTTCAAATCGGGTCACCTGCCAGAGAAAAGAAGTTTCTCGAAAGTGGCTCTACTGGAAGGCCACTACGGTTGGCTAAGAGTGATGGTATTCTCTAGGTGCGCGTGGTGCGAGACGCCCTAGGGAAAACCCCCGGCTCGGCTCAGAGCCCTGCCCATCGCCACCACCGTGCGGCTTCAAAATTCGCCATGGAGACTTTCATGAGATAGAGCGATGAGATGCTTCTTCCGTCTTCCGGGCTTCAAACTCTATAAAGCATTGCGGCATAAGAGGTACACGAGAGCCCCAGCCCCTAACTCACTCTCGCAGGCTCCCCCAGCCAAGCGCACTTCCGGTCCACGATCTCGACTCGACCCTCCGCGAAGATACAACGCCCTTGGGCTACTCCTCACCTCCTGCTACTGCAGCTCTTTTCTAGATGCTGTCGGCAACGATACCCGCTCTCGGTGGCCACGACGCCGCCACTACGACCATTTGCACAGCCAGCTCCATGAGCTCGCGGTATCCCCTCATATCAACGTGGGCGCGTCACTCCGCAACCCCGAAGTGGCTATACCGAGTCTACCATTCAGGTATCATGACTCTCAAGCCGAATGAAACACCGGGGCTTCAACGCCCCCCAGCTGATGATGACAGCAGCCACCTGAACGCTTCCTCGACGGTCGCCACGGTGCCACCTCCCCCACAATATGCTATTCAAGGCCGGAGACTCTCTCCTAATACTCTGACTCCAACCAGAGCAGTGCCATATACCAGTCCGCCTAGATGTCGCCCCTTCCGTCACCGCCACAGTGGTCAGCGGCACCTTCGAGATAACGCGAAAAGCCTCAGCCGCCCCCGAAAACACGTTACGCCGCTCTCCCTACGCACGAATCACAAGCTCTTCCAGAGCACTTCCCAGAAATCCTGCGCGCTATAACCGCCACCGTCTTCGCAACCGTGCCTGCCTATCAATACCGACCAGCCGCTTTCATAGCTGGCTTGAACCCTGTCAACAGTAGAAGGGCCTGTGACTGGGATCACGGTCTATTTAGGGCTCGCTCTAGAATACCGGAAGATGGGTGGCAAACAATATACTGGTAGGAGAGCTGATGCTCCCGCACAAGGACGAAGGGGCTATCACAACTGGAAACCTCGCCGGCCGCGTCCACCACAGTCACATCTTGATAGGCCTGGGGTGCGCAATGGAGAACTCCTTGCTGAACGGCAGCTTGTAGTCGACGCTGGTGACCGTTAGAGCGAGTAGCTCGCTACGTGTGATAAGGCCGCCAGGCTCTAGCTCCATATAGAACATACATGTGCAAAGGCTAGGATAGAGCCTACGAAGGGCTAGAGCCTAAGCTCACCCTACCGTGGACACTATACTCAGAGGCCTAGTCCCTTCCAGCCCCTTCTGCGAATACAGACACGAATCCATGACGTACCATAGGGGAGTGGTACCGGTCATGGGTGCGGCCATCACTCCACGCATACGAACATGCCCTGTTAGGCAGGACTCGGTGGATACTGCCATTTCCTGCGGGAATGAGCCTTCCAACTGAACTTAGGCAAGGACGGGACCCAGAGATAGATCTTAGGGAAATCATGAATGCCGCGGCGATGCGCAAAGCGTGAGTATTCGCAACGCGTCGGGGGAATGAGTGGTGAGTTGCTGCGCACTCACGGGATCTCGATATGAGCCAACTCAAAGCTGCGGGCAAGTTTGCGTAGCTGAGACATGCTGTTGACCGAGTCGTCTATTCGAAAGCGCATTGCACATAGATGTGAGCGACATCAGGAGATCTACTCGTATCTATCTATCAGCCGCGCCAAGCACCCCGCCACTCCACACTCCAGCCAACCTCAAGCCCCCCAACCCTACCCAACCATGCCATCACCAGCACCACTACCTTCCTACATCAAAACGCGCATCCTCATCCTCTCAGACACGCACTCCGCATCGCCTCTCCAGAATGCCTCCAATACCCACACCGCCTTCCGCGCGCCGCTCCCCAAGGCAGACGTCCTGCTGCACTGCGGTGACCTAACCATGGTCGGCCTTATGCGCGAGTACGAACAGGCATTAGAGATGCTGAAGGGCATTGAAGCAGATCTGAAGCTTGTGATTGCGGGGAATCACGACATTAGTCTGGATGAAGCGTACTACAAAAGGAAGGGACAGCATATGCAGCGATTGAGAGAGCCAGATGACGACATGCCCATGAGAGCGAGGGAGTTGTGGACCGGGGAGAAGGCTAGAGAGGCGGGAGTTACTTATCTGGACGAGGGAACGCATATCTTCACGCTGAAGAACGGAGCGAGGCTAAGAGTACGGCCACCGTAAGCCCATACAGGCTGGGCAGGCGATTGATGGCTTCTAGGTGTACGCATCCCCATACCAGCCCGAATTCTGCGATTGGGCGTTCCCCTACTTCCGCAATCAAGACCGCTACAACCCGCCCCACCGATGCACGCCGAACGCCGTTCCCATCGCGGAGAAGCCTGTGCCCGACTTCCTAGACATCGATGTGATGATGACGCATGGCCCACCAATGGGTATTCGAGACGAGGTTGCGCGCGACGATCACGTCGGCTGTGAGCATTTGCTCCGAGCGGTGCGGCGGTGCCGACCACGCTTGCATTGTTTCGGGCACATACATGAGGGATGGGGCGCGGAGAGAGTGAAGTGGAAAGAAGGCGAGGAGCTAGATGCCAAATGGCAACAGCATGTTGAGAAGGCGGAGTGGGTAGAGGTCGATGAGGAGAAGATGGCTGAGGAGAGGGCGGCGTTTGTGGATATTAGTAGGAGCGGCGCGCGACCAGTGGAGTTCGGAAAGGAGACACTGATGGTCAACGCGAGTATTATGACGGTGCAATATAGACCCGTCCAGGCCCCTTGGGTGGTAGACTTGGACTTGGAAATGGCAGAGTAGCAGAGTTTCACGTATTGCTCTGCTCCAATGCCACACCGTCAAATACCCATCAAGGTTTGATTGGCCATTTACTGGATTTCTCCTTCTGTGGCTAACCCTTTCCAACCCCTTGCACCAACGGCATGAAAGGCAAGGCGACTTGAATTGGTCCGTGGGATTTCCGCTGAAAACTGCAGTTTTGATCTCGCACAAGTCGGCGGCATCGATATATGCGTCCCGCTCGTACTGTACCACGGAGAAACTCTCTATAAACGGCTGTTCCCCATGCAGGAGCGGCGACTAAGACTCCGCCCTGGGTCTGATACCATCACTTCCTACTTCTAATCGCGCACATTGTGGTCCAGAATTGAAAGCGTCGACTTCAGCCATAACGACGGCTTACACATGCCCGAGATCTGGTAGCTGCCTCGTTGTCTCACGGGAAGATTCACTCACCAGGAAGGTATATAGGCCTATTCCTCCGTTGCCGTGCGTCTGGGTCGATGCTATACGAGCTCAAGAACTCAGATCTGTGATATTTGACGCGCGCTTTCGATGTATCTTAAGGTCCTCCCTCTCTGCCGAACTCGTCGATCTAAGGACCGAGCACAATATAGTAGTCCTTAGGTACCTACGGAAGTCATTCTCATCGTATGCTTGTAAGACTAGGGGATGCCTTGGTGCAATTTGGCAGCTTTCCTAGTTGCTGCTTCAACAGCTTCAGGAATTCTTCGATTGGGTTTAACGGCGCGGGGCGCGAAGCTCGGGTAGGCATAGTGCGCACAGGCGAAGAGCGGGACGAGCCGGGCATATGGGGGTCCACAAACATGAGGTGGATACGTATAGTGCAGTTGAGGGTTTATAGATGCAGATGCATTGCCTTCCTATGCTAAGACCACTATACCAGGTGACCTTACGATAAGACGCGGGGCGACCAGCTCAAGAGTGATATTCACATAGCCTGTTCAAGCCGCTATCAAGATAGCGAAACCCCTTGCAGGAGTCGATCATGCATTTCCGATACCCCTACCCCGCGGGGAGATATAAAGATAACCTATCCAAACGCAGGTGCGAACCAGTATCCAAGAGAAACAGAGCATCGAGTCATCCTCCTGTGAGACAAATTCCTCCGAAGGCTGTCCCATTACGCGCTCGCCGGCTTGCCGTCGCCCCTCGCCGGTGCGTTGTCTGCTGCCCCCACATGTTAGCCGGCATATCAGCAAAGGCTTCGTTATCCTAGCCACCTTTCGCGCTCCCACTGACTTTCCCCTTCGCATCACCCTTCCTGAAGACCTTCTTCAGCTTCGCCAACGCCCTGAACAGCTCCCACGAGTGCCCGGCCCGCTTCTCTTGCGTAGCTTCGCCCAGCTGCTCCCCGTCGACAAAAGTATCAAATGTGCGCGTGCGGTCGCAAGCCCTGGTCTTCCCGTCGGTCGGGTCGATCTTGTGTTTATCCTTCAAAGCCGTACGAACATCGTTGTCGCCGGAGTTGCGCGCGTTCCGTTTCTTCCGCAAGAAGTCGAGCATTGGTGATAGTCGGCGCTGGGTCTCAGAATCGAGGCTGGTAGAGGATGCAGAAGTGGCGACTTTGGCGGTGGTGGACGGGCCCGCATCGAGTTGGCGTGAGGACGAGCTATGGCTGTGCGCGTCATTTGAGTGAAGGGGGTGTTTGCTGTCCTGCTTCATGGCGGGCGGCCGGGCTGCGTGACTGAGACAGACGGCGCTGTGAAAGAGGCTCGCGCTGTGGAACGCGGTGAATGCATCGTGTTAGTGGCAGGTGTTAGCTGGCGGGCAGTGAGGGGTTGGGCAGTAAGAGCCAGCAAGAGTGGCGCAAGAATTATCGAGCGTGCCTCTGGTTGCGGGAAGAGTGACCGTGGGAGGAATCTGGCGTGTTCCAACGGCGACGTGTATTCACTAGGCTAGTTCAAATTAGGACTGGTGCGAATCAACCTCTCATGCGATGTGAGACAACCTTCTTTGAAAGCCTTCATTGCTGACTTGCATTCATTAATCGTGACTCCGTCATACGAAATATTAACTATACAGCGGCCTCTGTTGGCCTCTCTGCACACTGAACTAGAAGTCGCTCCCTATAACCATTCCTCCTCTTCAACGCGGAAAACAGAGCCTAGGAGGGCATCAACGGCAATAGCGACTCGAGGACCATCCGCCCAGCTTCTTGAGTATTTCAACAGAGCGGAACAAGACACCCCAAACTCCGAACGTTCTCAACATCCATTTTCTTTTACCGTTCACGCACTCAACGGAGAGTTGCCGCCTTTCGACAGCCGCTTGCGGACAGCAGGCAGGCTCGGCATCTTGCTCAGACGCTTCTTTCGTGAGCCTTGCGCCTTGATGCTGTTCGAGGACGCATCGCCGGTCACGTCCGCCATCTTTGCGTTCTCCGCACCACGATATGCTTCGCCTTTCCCCGAAGCGTGGGGCGCCAGGAAAGAGTCGAAAGTGATCTCGGGCGAGTACTCGTATGGACGAACTTCCGTTGCCAAGGGGCTTCGCACGCGCTCAGGATAGCCGGCTGACAGAAAGGAGCGCCGGGATTGCAATGAAGGCTGTCGATTATGGCGCGCCGAAAAGTAGTCGCCTGTGCTAGCGTGCCGTGCATGCATGCCCGAATGGTTGCTGTACGGACTGAGCAATGGCTTCTGTTCGGCGACTACTGGCGACAGCGGCGACAGCATCGAGACAGGCGCACTAACAGAACGAAGGTCGACCATAGATTTGGAAGCCTGTCGACGTGTCTGCTCATTGTAAGTTAGTTCGTTCTCAACTGGCGGAGCCGAAGTCAGCTTGATGAATGGCAGACCTGAAGAGCGACGCACTTCTTTCTCCGTCCTGGCGAGATACTGCTCGCTTCGCCGTTTCTCATACATCATACCGGCAATCACCTCGTCCCGGTTTTCAATGCCATACGGAACAAGCTCGACTCGCGACTCATGGTAACGGGCCAAATCCTTCAGTGTCCACTTCTTCAGGTTGTGGTTGTCTTCCCCGACGGCCAAGGCGCGCTTGTCTTCCTCGGAAAGCGCATTGTTGTAGTAGCGACCCTTCTTTGGCTGAGGCTGAGGCTGCACTTGCTCCACGGGAGAAGCTGGATCTTCCGACGGCGGTGTGTGAAACTGCATTTCATCCTCTGTTTCCTCCTGGGGAGAAGGAAGATTGCTGTAGAAGCGCTGTCCGCGCGCTTTGTTTGCCTGTATCGCCGATCCAGTGTCAAGCTGTAGGTGATGCATTGCAGGCTGGTCAAACGGCGCACGTAGCGTGGCCATATGGTCTGCGGCGGCCGGGGAGCGGTTATCGATTGTAAGATCGGTCATGGAGTCAATGGCAGACTGCGGATCAAAGTAGGTCGCATTGGACAGACGTAGAGCGGGTCGCGGAAGCATCTCGCCTGGCTGCGTAGATCCGGGCGCCTGAGATTCCGAGTTCGTCTTCCCGTTCTTGAGCGGTAGAGAGAAATTCATGACGGAGCGCGCTCGTCTTCGTCTCCTGCAGCGAAGTGAAAGGAAGCGTGTTTTGCTCGGGTTGCAAAAGCGAATCCACGGCCTGGCGCAGCTTTCGACGTCTACCTCCGGAGATGGGAGTACGGGGAAAGTATACGCAGGAGAAATCATTATATAAGAAGTGCGGCGAGGCATTGTGGGTTGGCTGTGGCGGAGATAAAGGTATTGTGTAAAAGGCAATGTTGACAGCGGGTCGACTCCGTTTGCTCGGGGCGTGCCTGCCTTCTCTGATGAGGGTCGGCCAAAACGTGCACCAGTGAAAATAACAACTCAAAGCACGAGGTCCCATCGAAAAGTGGATCAACCGAAGATCCTCAAATAGGTTTGGCACAAGGAGGAAAAACAGTTCATCCCATGAACCTGCTCAGCCCCGCTAACGTCATTCAGATCACTTCACAATGTCACAATGAACACGAGGCGCTAGCTATCACTCTCGGCGTGACCTACTGATGCTCCGCCGGAGACCTTCCCCAATCGACTTCCGACGCCGCAAAGGCGTCGACTTCTTCGGCGCCTCAGAGTCCTCCGAATCATCGCTACTATCCCAGCTAAACTTGCTAAAAAGGTCAGGACGAGGCTCAGCCTCAGCCCTCCTTACCGTTCTACGATGGGCCCGTGGCGCCTGACCTTGCGAGCGCTTGTAGTCCTCTACATGCCTCGTCATGTCCGCGACCTCATACTCGCACCGGGGAGCACTGCACGAGTAGACAGACTGATGCTCGCGCCAGGTGGCATCGCACTGGTAGTCCGCTATGAACTGGTCAGCGTCATTGTCCTCGTCATCCTCATGCCACTTTTGGTTGAACTCGTCGATATACTTCTGGGGAATCGGCTTCCCATCGTCCCTGTAGTCCCAGTGACCACCGTACCGATGACGCCCAGCGCTGCTGTAGCTCTCATCGTCGAAGTCAAAACTAGGACCCCGCAACTTGCGGGTAGCGTGCCTTACCTCCGAAGCATGCAGACGCTGCTCTTGGGTGAGGCCAGCATATGACCGTTGAGGGCTATTAAAACGAGGGGTCTTCGGCGGGGAAGGAGAGTATCCAGCCTGGCTACTTCCGCCACGCGAGAACAAACCCTCTACTTTCTGACGGCCAGCTAGAGCAGCATATTGTTCTGAAGGGAGGCCGGGTGAAGAGAGCACAGAGGCGTAGCTTGAGGCGCCCTTCAAGGGCGGCGGGGACTTCTGAGGGCTGAGCATCTTGTCGGTATTCACTGGGAATGTCACGATGGGAATGGTCACGGATTGGAATTGGTGCAGGTTAGTTATGAATGCCTTATATCACTAACTTGATCTTGATTGTTCAGCCTGCAATCATTGTATATGCACAAGCGCGGTTGGAAGCAGCGTAAGTGAGAAGAAGTTTACACTATGCAAACGGCGTTACTATGTATAGATGCTGATGTAACGCCTGCCCCTAGGTCAAGAGACGCACCCTGTCGCGAGATAGTTTTACACCTCGCTTTAAAACATATCTTAGTAACTATAAGCTACCGCTTCTATTCCTCCACTTCTCTAACAATTCCCTATGGCAAGTCATGTCCAATATGGCCGTGCCAAACTCGTCAATGTCCGCTGGTTCCGCGTCGTCAAAGAGCCTCGCGCACTCGAAGCGCTGCAAGAACACCACATTCCTTCCCAAGCACTGCTTCTCCCACTCGGTGGCGCTCGCGGCATTCCAAAGGCCGCTGCGGTTCGTGTACATGACGCCGCCGGGGCAGGCCGGCCAGCGCTGCTGCAGCGTGGAGAAGACGGCAGAGAGGCTGACGGCGACAAGCCAGGTGCGGCGGATGCTCTCCGACAGGATCCACAAGTACCACTGTTGCTGCGAGTAGGTGGACGGGCCTGGCAGACAGCCGACAAGATGCGTGGCAACGGCGTGGGTGTTTGACAATGCCTTTGCGGCCGAGTGAAAGAGCTTGCCGGCCCAGCTATCCTGGACGGCTATGTGGCCTTCGGCGACGTGGCGGGAGCGGATGTCGCCGTCGAAGAGGCCGATGATCTGGTAGACCATGAGCGCGTGCAGCCTTGCTAGCTGCGCGAACAGGTCAACATCTTGCTCCATTCCGTCGGCCCATTCCTCTGCGCCAACCCTGTCCAGCGCAGCCCCGTTCTCCCGGAGTAAATCGTTCGATCTGTCTTCTATCGTTTGGAGGACGGTGTCCGTGTTTGTGGGCGTCCGGTGGATATAGCTCGCCAGCGTGGCATACGCGACCTGCACGCACGCGGGGAAGTTCGCACTGTAAAGACGGGGATGGATAAAAGGGTTGCTGCCGGTGGTGACCCAGCGTTCGAACCAAGACTGCACCTCCACCACATACTTCTTCATCGTCGCTTTGCCAATTGCCACAGCGGCTGAGGTGTCTACTTCATGGGATATCCTCCACGTCTCGGGCGCAAGGAACCAGTCTGCCCTGCTCGCCGGCGCGCTGGGCGTTTGAATGAGAGACGACGGGGCAGCGAAGTCACTGTCCAAGAGTGGGAATGCCAGCTCCAACATAAGGTCGTCTGCAAGAATCAGGTTTGCGGTGCAGGAGGATGTGTTGCCCGGAACCTCAGCGAGCAGTCCATCCTCCATTCTCGGCACCGAACCTCTCAACGCATCCGATAGCAACGGTCGAGACGAGGAAGCTGCTCTGCTTCTCGACGGCGGATAGACGCAGGACCTGCCCCTTTCCGCGCATCGTGCGCACGACGGCAGCTGCCTACCGCACTTCCGCTTCGACCTTGCGCAGGCGCTGCAGGCTTTTGATTCCGTCTGTGGCGGCATTGCCGAAGGACAAATCTTTTGGAGTCTTTTTTTGGGGGGCAGAACTGGTTTCGGATCTTGTCAGCGGCGGAAGTCGAGGGGAATACTGTAGGGGCGTATTTGTCATCAGCTGCATCCCCATGCCCATTGGGCAATCGCCCGCACGCTAACCCGCACGGCGGAAGCCTAGTCCGCAATACGAAACACCTCCATTTCTATGGGATCACTATCAGGGACAGAGAGCCTCTTTTTGATGACATAAAGGCATCTGGAGTTGTGGTGCAGTCTTTATCGGTCATGCGATCGGCAGGTGCTTCTGCTAATCAACTCACCATGGCCATACTACTTCGCAACATTGCCATTACGGGCAAAGATATCTCTCTACCCTGAAGAAACGACAATGTACTCTAAGTTACACCCTGGATGCAATTCGTTTAGAAGACCGCGGCGGACTAGAGCCCACCGACATGTGGTAAAGCGGACGCGAACTTGTCCGCGGGCTAGCTCTCGAGATTTCGCACGGATGTCATGAGGAGGCTCCGAGTATATATATAAGAAGACTCCAACGCAGACTTACAATCCATATCATAATCCAGTAATTACTCTGCTTTGCATCCCACATCCCCTAAGCAATATCACTTCTCAAGCTCTACTCCACCAGTTTCAGATCGCCATGGCCACTGACATTGACGACGGCACCTCCACCAACTTTACGCCCACTATCCACAACACACCGTACCTGGCCATCTCTCCCACCAAACCAGCTCTGAGCCAGGCGGGCAAAACAGTCCTCGTCACCGGCGGCGGTACCGGCATCGGCAAAGCCATCGCCCACAACTTCGTCCTCGCCTCCGCCGCGACCGTCATTATCCTCGGGCGCCGTGTATCCAAGCTCCAAGAGGCCGCAGGTGAGCTTGAGGCTGCCGGGAAGCAGGCCGGGAAGACAGTCAATATCATTGCCAAAGGCTGCGACGTTACGGACGACGAGGAAGTTAAGCGTCTATGGGATGGCCTGGGGAAGGAAGGCGTGCACGTGGATGTGCTCGTCCTTAACTCCGCCAAAGACACGCCGCCGCAGACCATTTTCGAGCTAGGCACGGCGGAGGTGTGGACCATGTTCGAGGCCAACGTCAAGGGGCCCCTCCATTTCGCGGAGCGTTTCCATAAGCAGCGCTGCGAAGGGCCTGCAACGACGAAGGTAGGGCTGGATTTCGTTTCCTGCCGCAATGTTGCATACAATAGCTAACGGGGGGTGCGCATAGTATCTCATCAACGTCTCCACTGCCGCCATCCACATGCGTGGTCATCCTCTCGTGGACACGCGCCCGGCCTACAGCCTCACCAAGAGCAGCGGCACCCTGGCAATCCAGATCCTCGCCGATCGGATCCCAGTAGAGGAAATGCAGATTCTTAGTTTTCACCCCGGCATGGTGTACGGAGCCCCATGGGAAGCGCAGGGGGTGCCCGAAGACGCGATCCCTTTCGACGATGGTGAGTTTTCCCAGCATACATCTTCTTAGTCGCTGCAGCTTGCCATATTCGTGCATTGCGGATTTCGATACGACGCATCCATAAAGGGCAACTCGGCACATACGCCAGAGAATACCGTCTAGCTAATCCCGTTAAAATTCTAGCAAACCTCCCCGGCGCGTTTGCGGTCTGGGCCTCGTCCAAGGAAGCAAGCTTCCTGCATGGCCGTTATGTGTTCAGCTCCTGGGATGTGGAAGAGCTGTTAAAGAGCGAGACCATTTCGCGCCTTAGAGCGGATCGTGACTACCTTAAGATAAGCGTTAAGGGGTTAGATTGGGGGAGAAAGATCTGAATGGCGGCAATGGCCAATTACTTTATAGAGGGTTAGAAAGGCGAGGGCAGTAGATTCTTAGCAAAAGTAAGGTTTTAGAAAGGGTTAAGTAACTAGGTACCGGAGGTGGCAACGGTGCATGACATTGCATATCACGGCAGCCATAAGGCTGATAATGACTTCTTTCCTTTATGGTAAGATTCAGAAACCCAGTCTCAGCTACTCTGTGAGTCCAAATAGTAAAAATAGCCTAAGTGCAGCGTTGTAGGTAGTAAGGTCCCTTTGTGGCATAGAAGCAGGCCCTTTGTCGTCAGGCACAATGCCGATCACACTGTTATTATTTTCGGTGTAGCAAGGTGGGGAACTATTCTCGAGGAGGCTTACTTTATTACGTACCAGCGATATAAAAATATTTGATGCGCTTAGAGAGTTAAAGGCATTTCAATTCAGTGTACCTGGATTTTGTCTCGCGACGGGGTGCGTCTCTCGACCCAGAGGACGGATATTAGTGTAGATGTAGATGTAGTAACCATACATAACGCTATGAACAACCCCATGAGAAGGATTAGTATGCCTAGAACGTTACCGTTATCATATTCTAATCGGCGCTAACCCCATGCAAGACGCCAAACGCATGAAAATAAGCCAGACGTCCGCTAAAAACCCAAGTAAACAAAAATAACACATGAAGAAAACGCCGCCCCTACTTCCTCAACCTCAACTTCGCCATCATCCTCACAAACGCCCTCTCCAACCAAAACTCCTCCCACTCCTTCTTCTTCGCCAACTTCGTCCTCTTCAGCCGCCTCCCAGCCAGCAAACTCTCATCCGTATCCGTACTAAACCCACTCGCGCACGACAACTCGTCAGCAGTCGCCGGATAGTAATTAAAATCATCCTCATGAATGAACGGCAAGTCCAGATCGCCCGCGATCAGCGTCTCAGTCTCGACCTGCTCGCTCGCCTCCCGCATGTCGTACGCTACCCAGTCCTGGCTGGTGTAGAAGTCGGCGCTGCTGTTGCTGATGTGCGGGAGGTAGTATTGGAAGTGCCATCCTGGGGCGGGTTGTTCGAGGAAGGTGGATGCGGCGCTGGACCAGCTTGAGGAGGAGAGGGGGCGGGATGTGGATGCGGATACGTCTTCCATGATGGGCTCGAGTTTGTGGGTTAGGATGTGGGAGCGCGAGCATCCGCGGGGGAGAATTTGAAAGTAGCGCTTGCTGCCGCGTTCTGGTAGGGGCGGAGCGGGCTTATATAGCTGGTGGAGAGAGCGGGTGTGCGAGGCTTTGGAAGGGGTTGGAGAGGAAGCCCGCTTGCGTTTTCCGAGGCGGGAGAGGATGTTTCCCGCCATGTTTGCTGGTGTTCGATTTTGCAGCCGGGATGGTGGAGAGATATGGGGAAGAAAAGATGACATGCGTCTCCGGAAACATGCTGTAAGTATACCTCTTGTTGGACTCGTTGACAAAGAGCATATCGACGACAAGGCAACAATAGGACAAAGGAAGCATACAGAAGGGAGTAAACACATCAATAAGGGGGATCAACGAGGGTGCTAGTGGGAACAAAGGATCGAACTAGTGCTATGTTTGGAATAGCAAGCATGGGAACCGTACATCCAATTCTCAAGGACGAATCACGGAAACTCCAGATCTCGATCAATATTGCATTATCGCGGAGCTCAAGGGCTCAGCAACTACGTCCATCTAGGCCTTTCCCCGCAACCCGGCTACATGGGCCTCGGATGGTCTTTACGTTGACGCTGTTGCGGCATCATGCGCACCAGCTTCCGCCATCTCACTGTCCGGTTTCCAACGAGGTTGCTTAACAACGAAAGACGGCTTCGCCAACTGGGCACGAGAACGCAGCGGCGCACGAACCAGGCGGCGCGAAGCATCATCAACACACCCAACCGCCCTACCCAACCTTGCAGCATAGCGCTCCACCACAGCATTCCACTCCCCCTTCACCCCATCCTTGACGCGCCGCCAATACCCCCTAACCCTACGCATCCCATACCTCCCCCAAAACTTCTCCACCACAACTCTACTCTCCGTATACACAACGACTTCATGCTCCGAACCCTCATCGCCATCCCGCTCAGCCCGATAAACCGGCGCGAAAGGCGCCCATGCGCCATGGTTCGAGAACCGGTGGCGGGCCAGCAGGCTCGAACCGTGTGCACGCGGCAGCGGAGAGGGCTCGACTAAGGCATTTGTAGATGCGGCGAAGGAGAAGCGGTAAGTGTCGTTTACGAGACAGATGGCGTATCGTCTGGTCGAGAGGTACGCGCCTGTTTGATTCCACGTGGCGGGATCGAGGTCCAGATCCTGCGAGATGTATGAGACATGGTTTGACGGCGATGTCTGTTGGACCGGGTCCATGTTCTGGATGGGGAAGGGAAATCCTTCTTCAAGTAGCTGCTGCGGTGCTTGGAGAGGGACTTGAGGCTCCGCTGGGGAGTTTACCGCCTCCTTCTTCTTTGTATAGTTGCGTATTCGCGTGCGTAGATTGTTTAGTACCTGATCTAGATGCGCTTGGTTTTGGGCTCGCTCGAAGTCTAACCGAGCTTGTCCTTGTCGAGTTTCGCGAGTGCTATAGGCATCGCTATTCCAGTGTGTGACTGCCGAAGCCATTGTAGAGCTAGGACGGTGGTGGTCTGCGTGTGTGCGTGTGTGATGAGATTAGAGGGGTTTTGCATGAAGTATCGTGTGGCGGACGTATATACTTTCAGAAGGGGCTCGCATTGTACGCGGACAATTGAAAGAGTGGAGTATATATCGTATGTGTTGCGAAATGCCTGGTCAGAGCGTCGGCTTCTAGGCGGAAAATACACAATGTATGTATGGCGTGGGTGCGCAACACTGCAACACTCTCTATGCCGGGCTAAAGTGATCGCTATGACAGTGCGTGCTGAAGCCATTGTAGAGCTAGAACGGTGGAAGTGGTGCGTGTGTGAGATGGAATTGGAGGGTTTTAGAAAACCACTCGTGGCAGAACAACAACCTCTGATCGAACACCTCCAGCATCTCCTCACATGTAGAGTTTTGGTCATTGTCTCAACGCTTTTCAGCCTCTTCTCCGCATGATTCCAAGTTCCAACTGGAAAAAATACCTCCCGAGGTCGACTTGGGCACGCTGTCGACTGGTCCATTCGCGGCGACTGTTCGCGCCTCAGCTCGTTTCCCTGCTTAACCACGAACTTCGGCATGTCTTCGAGCTCTAGGCATATGGTACGGAGGTTCGATCAAAATAGTCTATGCTTCTAGGCTTTGACAGCACTAATTACTTAGAAACTAGTACGCCAGGAGTTCCGTCGTGCGAAAGAAGCAAAACGCCATGTGTCCTAGCGAGAGGGTTTAGCGCATTTATATAAATGTTGAATTAGTCCCGGGTGGCTCCATGTGTGGCGCTAGCAAGCGCCAACGTCTGCCACGAGGGGCCGTTTCATTGGTTCACTGTGAGCTAGCCCTAACGAATTTCAATTAGCCGATCGGGGTCTCTTATGTGCCGCTACAGCGTTGCTTACATAAGCCAGGGCGAGGGGGCCAGGATATATAAGCTTAGAGCGACTTTGCGTACAGTTCAAGATGGCGTGATTGCTTTCAAATAACTTCCAAGGTTCTACCTGAATCAGCTGCACAGGTCCCTGTTCCTTCCTATTCACCACAACACTACGCAGCGATGGAAACAGACTCGTTGTCTACACACGAGATTGGCGAAGGACTCCCCGTGTTAATAATCCATGGATGGGAGATGGATGGAAAGGTCGAGGAGCGGGACTTCGAGCCGATTTTCACCAAAGCACCCGGATTTCGCCGAATCTACGTGGACCTTCCAGGCATGGGCACAACACCGGCGAATAATGTCAAAGACCTGGACGATATGCATCTCCGCCTGGTGCAATTCATCGATGCTCGGCTGGGGAAGTCCAAATTCTTGCTTGTCGGTTCGTCATGTGGTGGCTACCTCGCCCGTGCACTCGCTCAGAAATACGTCGAACAAGTCGATGGTTTACTACTGCGAGTGCCGCTTATCGAACCAAAGGACGGCTTGCGCGATCTCGATACTTTTCAACCGTTGGTTCGAAACGAGCAACTCATGTCGAGCATGCCAAGCGAGGACAAAGCACTTCTCGGAGACGTTCTCATCCAAACACCTGCTTATGTCAAGTCTCTCAAGGCAAAATATGAAGAGGCTGTCCTTCCAGCATCAAAAGCGGCAGACAAAGAAGCGCTGGATCCGATTCGGGCAGACCCACGGCGATACCAGATATCTCTCGCTTCAGGCAATAAGCATCCCAAGTTGCTCGCACCCACACTTATTATATGTGGTCGGCATGACGAGGCCGTGGGCTATCGAGACAGCCTCCGCCTGCTGGAGCTCTACCCGCGATCAACCTATGTTGTTCTGGACCGCGGTACACATGCCATTCCTGTTGACGAAAATGGGCTTTTTGAGGCTCTTGTTCGTGATTGGTTAACTCGGGTTGATGAGTGGCGAGGTTGTACAGAGAGATAAGAGCATCTGTGAAACATCGTCAAACTTTCGTTCCTCAAGGTACCTCTGGCAACTAGCGCCGGGCACTGGTTGCGCTTCCTGTCTCGTCTCGTTTCTGGAGGCCCTACATCTGTCAGAAGAGGTAAAAGAACCCTCGCAGCCACAAAGCCACAGCCACAAGGCCCGATAAAGAGGGCTGACATGAGTTAAATTGGTTCCCCAGGTCGTGATATGATTGGACAGGTAATAGTTACTACAGTTTCATATCGCCCTAAATTAGTCTGGTCAGAGCGTCGGCTTCTGAGTGGAAAATGCACAATGTATGGGCATAGATGCGCAACACTGCAACACTCTTCCCTGACCGGCTTAGCAAACTTCGCAAAGAAAAGGTGCATACATGCGAGCCATTAAAGTGAAATATAGCTGAACATCGAACGTTGATATTCCCCACACTACCTTGGCCTCCAGGACCATGGTAGGTAGGTAGATGCTCATATCTGCTCACCAAAAGTTCAAACTTCCCACCTTCAGCACCGTCTCCTGCCTAGCCCGCGGCCACGGATCTTCAATGTCCGCTGCTGTGCTGGCCACACTACCCCGCGGAAGAAGAACAGTCTCGCTGCTTTCACTGGAGATACTATAACGATCCTCGAGGAAGAAACCTCTCCGTCGGGCACGCAAGTCCTGCGTAGGCGTCTCAGGCCCAACCCACGCAAGCAAGTCCTCATCATCTCCCACTCCAAGATCCTCAAACCCCGGCGGACCCGCCAAATCCAGCACCCCAGCGTGGCTCTTCCTCGCCGCAAACTCCCCATTAACGACCAAGCTCTCCTTCCGCCTGAGCACGCTGTCGCGTTTCAGACTACCGCTCCCAGCGCGCGTCCTCACGCTGAATTTCTGCGCTGACTCAATGACGCTCGGCTGCTTCGCGGGCCCGACCTGCACCAGGACTTGCTCGTCTCTGTCATCGCCGAAGGGACGGAGAGTGGGAATGAGCGCACGAACCGTTTCTACAGTGGCAAGCTCAGGGGCCGGCGGGGAAGGTGGCCTCGCGTCAGAGACCTCAGCGGCGTGGATGGTGGATTGGTTGGGGACGAAGAGCCTCCCTGAGGCGGTGCGACGGAGAACGGGGTGTGGGTGTCCTGGGCGGATGGGTGCGCCGTTGAGTTCGCAGATCCCGGCGCGGATTGTTGGTCGTGCGGTATTGTTGGGCATGATGGACACTGTTCTTTACGTAGCGAGACTAGATGATGTGGAGTATGTTATTGTTTGGGGAGGGTATGAGAGCTGGGAACGCATGTCGTTATATGCTGCTGTTACTGTGGTGCTTGCATAGTGCAGCAACGTTGTGAAGGGGGAGAAGAATGCTCTGGGGAAGGTGAGCTTTGCGGTGACTTGGAAAACGAACGACGTGAGACAAAGGAGAGCAGGACTAGGACGCTGGCAGTAACGGTCGCGGAAAATGGGAACTGGGTGGCTTGACGTCGTTGACTCTGTACGGAGAATTAACAAGCACGCAAGGAGTCATTTCCGTCTATTCCCACGCTATGCACAAGAACTAATGGATGGAAACATTGTGATGAAGGATCGATCTCCATGCCAGATACTTAACACTAGGATATGAGCCCACTCAAGTCCTCATGGACTGATATCTTCTTGACGCCAGATGCACCGCCGGATTTTGTAAATGGTAATAAAGGAGACCAGCCCAGCATGCATGCTCATACGCTGCCGAAACATGCTGATGGGTCAGAGTATTAAACTTTCCGACTCCTTTTAATAGCGACGCGCAAGCCCGGCACGACCTGTTGTGGACCGTCTGGCCGGCATCGACTCTTCTTCGCTCTCGGATATGTCTTCGCCATCTTCGAGATCGTCGCTCATCGGCTCAGACATCTCGTCCCCCGTGTCATTCTCCGTCTCTTCGGCTTCATCGTCGAGCAAATCTTCTGAATCTTCACTTCCCTCCTCAGACTCTTCGTCAACCTCCATTGTTGTCGGCATTTCGTCCACCGAGCTTTCATCCACATCATCAAACCCCGACCGTATTCTCTTCCTCGAATCTCCCATTGGAGAGTGGCTGGCACCGTCTGACTCCTCGTCTTCTTCGGCTGAAGACGGCTCCTCCTCGCCCTCGACGTATATCACCGCTTCGTCCATGTCGTCATGCGCAGCCCTTCTCTGATTTCTTCTTCTGAGCTCTAACTGCGCGTGGAGCATATCGAGTCTTCCTTTTAGGGACAGCAGAGGTTGGAGACCACTTGCGCGTTCCTTTAGTACTTTGTTCAGCGTGGCAAGCTGCGTCACGAGGTGTGTCTGGGTAGCGAGATAGCCCCCGTGGGCTGAGAGTGACCATTGTACCCAGACCATGAGCATCCCCGGCCGTCCCGGTCTCTTGTGGAGTCGCTCCGCTAGCTTGTGGAGGAGGGTACCGATGAGCGGAGAGGGTAAGCGTTCGATGGTGGCGTACACGGTATCGACATCGTTTACGCGAAGACACGAATCGAGCAACTCCTGGTCGTTGGTTCGCAGGGCTTGCGTGAGGACGGTACCCAACGAGGTGGCTGACGGGGCGGCTAGAGGTTGGTTGATGGCCGAGGTCGCCAGGGCTCTCGAGTCTGCATCGGGCCCAACGAAGGCAGACTCAACGTCGACGACGTGCGGTGCGCGTGCGGGCTCTGGTTCTGGTTCGGGCTCTTGCGCTCGCAGTCGGCTCTCAAATGACAAGTCTTCGGGCTCTGCAGTGCCGTCTTCGATTGGCTGCTCCTCCCCATCAATGTGCCCATTTATTATGGGCGCTGCACCGATCACCTCCGGCGCTCCGGCGTCTGCGCCGGCCTGCTCTTCGACTTCCGAGCTGGAATAGTCGCTTTCCTCCTCGCCGCTGCTGATTTCGATGACCTCTTTGCCAGTAGCTTCCATGTCGACGTCACCATGACCGGCCTGTCCCCCGCTCACTACTGCGGTCGCATCGTCGACTGCGTCCTTCTTCCTGACGCTCTTTATTTCGGCCGCAACAGCTGGCCTTTTGTCCGCTGCGCCGTTGAGCAGCGCCTTCAGGCCGTTCTGGCGGGGTGCAGCGGGCGGCTGCGCGAGCTTCGTCTTTTTCGCGGGCGGGCGTGCATCCCGGCTCGATTGCGCGCTTCTGCCCAAGTCGCGGGCGCGCGAGGCTACGGCGGCGGGCATGCTGAAGGGCTCATGCAGACGTGTCCAGAGAGGAGCGGCAGGGCTGCGGACGGCTGGGAGCACGATGCTGTTGCCTGATGAGCGCAGAAGAGTGGGTGGTGGTGACGGCCCAATCGAGGCGGGAAAAAAAATCAAAAGTTTCCTGTGGAGAACGCCCGTGCGGGCGGCGACAGGGGTGTCGCGGGCGCGGTTGTCTGTCGCGTCGCAACCCGCCGTCCGCTGGATTTATTTCGCACGCATTCAAGTACATGCGCCGGTGCAGGCTCGACGAGAGGTCGGCGCACGTCTCGAGGCGTGCAGCGCAGCGGCGGTGGTGCGGCGCGCGGCTGCTGTGGAAGGTGCGCGGCACGTGACGCGGTGGCTCCTGCTAGTGTCGCATTTCAGGGGGCTTGGCAGTCGGCGGTCGGGACGATTTAAATGGGCAGCCGCCCATCGCAGCAACTTCGTTCTTGTTGTTGACCTTTTCCCGATCTGCTTCCAATCACCCGCCGCCCTGCTCCGGATCCGAAATCCGCCCACGACTCGCCCCCCACCGCCTTCACCGTCCGGGCCCATTCCGAGACCCGACCCCTCCCCAGCGTCCACGGCGACATCCTGTACTTATTACGCGCATCGCCCTCGCGCGTCGCTAGCGCATCCGCCGCCTGCTCGTCAACTCCACGGCATCCGTGCGCGCACCGCTGCCCGTGTGCGCCGCTGCTGCTGCTCCTCTGTTGCGCCGCATCTCTGAGCCCGACGCGCATATGCACGCTGCCTTTATTTAATCCTGTACGCGCGCACACAGCCTCGCAACAAACGCGTCGGCGCTTCGGGGTGAAGCTTTAGAGCTCTGACTCATCGCCGCGCGCGCTCTCTTTGATCGAACCCGGACAGCTCGCCGCCACCACCGGGTACGTCACGTGAGCGCGAAAAGGCGTTTCAGCCTCTCCTACATATATCTGCCCGCCGCCCCTCTTTGTGTTTTGGCGACTTTGCAAACCAAGCCACACCCTCGCTCCCCGCTCTCGGCCACACGCACCCATCAACCGAGCCTTCACACTTTGTTTCACACTAGAGGTCCGCTTTTTCTCGCGACGTCATATTATATTGCGCTGTCGCGTGCGCCTCGCCAAATCGCGGTGCTAATTAATCCCAGACCTGCACCCCGCAGCCCGCGCGCTTTTTCTCGCACACACAAACAAACACACCCACCTCGACCGTCAGCCGCGCGCAAGACTGCACACCTCTTTCATGGCCTTATGGCTGTGATGACTTCATCTGCTTTCGACAAGGTTGCATTGGATCTCAAGGCGACGTCTTTGCCGCCGGCAGACGCCATGGCAATGGATACCGAGACAAACGGGTGGGTGCTCCCCTCTCACTTCATCTCTCACCCCTCATCTCTCACCAACCGTTTCATCTCATTCTGCCGCTTTCTGTGCCGCGAGGCTTCATATACTAATCAACTGCAGTGTGCACGATCTGGTGCTCGACCAGCCCGACTCCCACGCCCCCGAAGACGCCGCGCAGCCACAACCAACCGTGAACGGCAGCCACAAGGCAGACACACTCGAGCCTACCACAAACGTGTCCAGTGGTATTGAAGGCGTGGCGCAGTTCCTGCCGGATAGCCAAACCGACAACAACTCTCTGTTTGGGTCGGAATCCGGTGTGCCATCAATAACGAACGCGGTGGAGGCGCCTACTTCTGACGTGCGCGACGAAGCCGGGCCGGACCCAATCACACAGCAGGCCGAGAGCACCCAGAAGGTCCCGGAGACGCAGCTCGCCGCAGCGGAAGAGCCGTCCGGCGGCCCTGTTCAGTCAGACGCTATGGAACTCAGCCAGGACGGACCAGATGCATCTGGAACTGCCGCGGATTCGAGTGCTCCCCCCACCAACTCCATGACCGAGCTTACCATCGAGACGCAACAGTCCACAGCCTCGCCTTCGCAGATGCCCATGACGCAATCGCCAACGAATCTTGATCAAGAGATGGAGGACGCCCCATCGTCCGGCAAGGTACGACCGCGAGAGGACGATGATGTGGATGCTCCAGAGGCCAAGCGTACGAAGACGGAAGAGGACACCGTAGGAGAGGTCGAGTTCAAGGTTCCGGAGCTGCCTGCTCATGTCGACGACGTAAACGGAAGCGCCCCCACCTCAGCCCATGCTCAAGAGCCTTCTAGCGTCCAAGAAGCTGCTACCTATGAGGAGTGGCCTTCGTCGCCTATAAATACCCTACAGCATAGGTTCCTCATTGACCGGATACGGAACACCAAGAAGATCAAGGTTTCCGCGGCATTTAAGGAACCGGTTGACCCGGTAGCTCTCAATATTCCTCAGTACCCCGAGCTCGTCAAGAATCCAATGGACCTTGGGACCATGGAGAACAAACTCAAGGAGGGGAGATACACCCATGTCCGCGAATTCATGGAGGATTTGGATCTTATCGTAAATAACAGTGTACTGTTCAACGGAAAGGACCACCCAGTTACCCAGGCTGGGTACAACCTACGGGCGTATTTCCTCAAGGGCATGGGCAAGATGCCTAGAGAGGGAGTGGAGGAGCCGGCGAAGCAGGCCAAGGCGAAAAAGCCCTCGGTGCCGGTTGCCACGAAACCCCGGCGCGAGTCGAGGACGGCGCCGACCACAGCTAAATCTCCCACTGCTCCAACTCCTACGGCAGCATCACCTCAGACCGCATGGCCGCTCAATGCGGATGGTACCCCACTCATTCGACGAGATTCATCGAGCGCCAATAATGATCGACCCAAGCGGGAGATTCACCGGCCGCCGTCCAAAGACCTTCCGTATGCGACCGCCAAGCCCAGGAAGAAGAAGTATCAGCAAGAGCTGAAGTTCTGCGAGAGCGTGATTGCCGAAATCATGAAGCCGAAGTACGCGAAGTGTACGTACCCCTTCATAGCGCCCGTGGATCCTGTCGCCCTGAACATTCCCTCCTACCTGAAGATCATCAAGAAACCGATGGATTTCGGAACGATTGAGAAGAACCTCAAGGCAGGTGCATATCAGAGCGCAAAGGACTTCTACAACGATGCACAGCTGGTTTTCGCCAATTGCTACAAGTTTAACCCCGAGGGCGACGACGTGCATAAAGCTGGGAAGCAATTGAATGAGCTCTTCAATAAACTCTGGGAAGAGAAAGCGGAGTGGCTTGCACAGCACGCCCCCGAAGCCGAACCACCATCACCGGGCTCTGCTTACTCTGATGAAGAGGAAGAAGAGGAGGAAGAAGATCCTGCTCAGGCGCAATTCCTCGCCATTCAGAAGCAGATTCAGGCTCTGAATGAGACCGCTCAACAGTTGCTCCAACAACAGAAGGGCAAGCGCGCATCGCCGAAGGCGTCCAGTAAGAAGAAGACCAAGGCGGCTACACAGCCCAAGAAGAAGCACGCTCCACTCTCCGTTCCGCCTCCAGCGGCGAAGCCTGGAAGGGCAAAACCGCGTGCAAAGGCTCCAGCACCTTTAAGCTACACGCAAAAACAGGAGATCTCTGATGGGATAAGCACCCTCGGAGACGCTGACATGCGGCGCGCCGTGCAGATAATTAAGAACGGCTGTCCTAACCTCGCGAATGCGAACGAGGATGAGATGGAGCTGGACATGGATGAGATCAACGATGACACCCTACGCGAGCTGTTTAGGTTCATCAAATCGGTTCGCGGGCCAAAAGCCTCGGTCCCTGATGATGACTATGACCCGCCGCGGCCTGCACCGAGGCAGCCCACCGCAAGCCGGCCAAAGAAGAACAAGCCAATGGGCAAGTCCGAGCAAGAGGAGAATCTGCGCAGAATTCAGGAGAAGATGAATTCCTTCCACGGGGCTGTGTCGGGATCTAGTCAGTCCCCACCTGGTAGGTCGTCAGTAGGTTCTGAACGAGTAGCTTGGACTAACCTTCCCCTAGCCAACCACGACGAGTCTAGTGATGACGAGTCGAGTGCGTCTGAGAGTGAGGAGGAGTGATCCTCTACGCTCTCGCCGCATTCTTCCCCATCGCTCTCTGCAGATGCTTCTGTCATTCGCTCCATGCTTAAATCTCTCCACCTCTTGACGCGTGTATTCTTGCCTGAGTATTCTGGGAGCATTGGTTTGCTTGTCCGAATTTCCGCAGTATCTGGCACCATCCTTGGAGGCTACATCCCGGTACTCTCAGGTCGCTCTCTCTGCGGCACAGCCAGTTAGCATATAGGCGTCGGATGGGGTCAAGGGCGAGGTCCTGGGCAGACCGTCAGTTGATGGTTCATGTTTGCGAGTTCTTACCTTCCTCTGCACCCAGCACCACCCCGCCGTTCCACCACGTATCCCCTTGTATAGTATTCTTTACCCCCGTCCGTTCTTCTCCTCCATAGAGGTGCCTTGGCGTACCAACACCGGCAACGGTTATGATTGACGAGGCTTCTTTTGGATCCTTTATCTTTGCTTGCGGGATCGCCACATTGAGCGGTGGCTGGCCGGAACGAAAAATGGAGGCATTCGGATGATAATTTGCTGTATGATAGGCTGCTTTGGGTCGGCAGCGATTCAGCGAGACAGTAATGGCAGATAATTCCAAGAAACCCTCTCTTGTTTGCCTGTGACTGGTGTTGTGCCATGACGTGATGCAGGTGGTGCGACGCTGCGGTCGGCTTACATAGAGCCGGCGTTGGGGTAAGAACGAAGGATCCTGATGATGCCTGCGACAATGTTAGTCGTGCACCTACGATGCTAGATATTCTGGATATACTCCTAGTTTGGAAGACCTCGCCTGCGCGGCGCCCTGGAATGCGCAGAGCAATATCGTTTCGGCTGTCTGCGACCGTAGCTGCACGTGCTCGCTATGGAGGTCGCCCCCTAGGGGCTGTGTGGAGAAAAGCGCATGGTTGTCGCAAAGTATAGATGACTTTCCAGGCGGTTTTCCGGAGGGGGAGTTTGTGCTGTCGAAAGGGCGGTTGGTGATTGTCGGAGAGCGGGCGGAGGTGGAGTCGCAGGCGGGTGGCCAAAGGAGGTGCTCGCTTGGGGCAAGGCTGCGCTGATTGGCCAAGGGCGGCTAGGTGGGCGAGAGCTCAGAGCTCCCGCTCCCGAAAATCTCAAGCAACGCGAAAACACCACCTCAGCACCCGCATCCTCAACGTCGCCCTATTCTCCCTGTCCACGCACACTCCGAGTTTCGAGCGCGACGGCAATAAATCCGTCCGGGAATTGATAGCTTGCGACAGCCACCATGGCGGCACCGGTACCCGTCAGCGAGGTGAAGAGCAATACGCGCGAGAACAGGACAGCTGCGCACTCGCATATCAAGGGATTGGGTCTGAAAGGGCCTGATGGTCATGCAGATCCTTCGGGTGGAGGGTTCATCGGGCAGGCCGCAGCTCGAGAGGTACTTTGCCCGATAACTCGCGCGGCTAGGGGTAGTATTAACAGTTTTGCAGGCATGTGGTTTGGTCGTCGACCTCGTGAAGCAAAAGAAGATGTCAGGAAGAGCAGTTCTGCTGGCTGGAGGACCGGGGACGGGCAAGACCGCGCTTGCGCTGGCGGTCAGCCAGGAGCTGGGGACGAAAGTGCCCTTCTGCCCCATCGTTGGCAGCGAGATATACTCAGCGGAGGTGAAGAAGACGGAGGCGCTTATGGAGAATTTTCGGAGAGCGATAGGTAGGTGCTTCAGCCCCGTTTGCATGATGTGCGTGGGGGTCAGAGACCATTCACATAGGGATGGCTGCCTACCGCCGCGTTGCGCTCTTTAGGGGTGCGCTAATGTTTGTTGACAGGCCTCCGTGTCAAGGAAACCAAAGAAGTCTACGAAGGCGAGGTGACTGAGCTCACGCCTGAGGAAGCAGAGAACCCGCTAGGTGGCTACGGGCGCACGATATCGCATCTTCTCATCACCCTTAAATCCGCCAGAGGAACGAAGAAGCTACGGCTCGATCCATCGATATATGAAGCCATACAGAAGGAGCGCGTCCGCCTCGGAGATGTCGTCTACATCGAAGCCAACACGGGCGCCGTGAAGCGCGTAGGGCGTTCAGACGCATATGCCACGGAGTTCGATCTAGAGGCGGAGGAGTATGTACCGATACCCAAGGGCGATGTGCACAAGAAGAAGGAGATTGTGCAGGATGTCACCCTGCATGACCTCGACGTTGCGAATGCAAGGCCACAAGGCGGACAGGACATCATGAGCATGATGGGCCAGCTTATGAAGCCGAAGAAGACGGAGATCACGGAGAAGCTGCGGTTAGAGATCAACAAGGTGGTCAGCAAGTATATTGACCAGGGCGTCGCAGACTTAGTACCAGGTGTGCTATTCATCGACGAGGTAAACACGCTGATTCTTCTATTTGTTTGCACATAATGCTAATTCGATTAGGTCCACATGCTCGATCTTGAAGCCTTCACGTTCCTCAATCGCGCCCTAGAGTCTCCGCTATCACCTCTCGTCATCCTAGCTTCGAACCGTGGCCTCACTCATGTCCGTGGCGCACCAAACCTCCCACCATCGGCACACGGCATTCCCCCAGATCTTCTTGCCCGCCTTCTAATCATTCCGACGCACCCCTACACCCCGTCGGAAATCAAATCCATCATTAAGACTCGATCAAGGACAGAAGGCCTCAGTCTGGCACCGGCCGCTCTCGACAAGGTCAGCCAGCTTGGCGAAAAGGTCAGCTTGCGCTACGCGCTACAGCTGCTTGCTCCCGCAAGTATTTTGGCCAAGGTTAGCGGACGGCAGGGCGGCACTATCGAGGTGGACGACGTCAACGAATGCGAGGGATTGTTCTTGGATGCGAGGAGGAGCGCACAGAACCTCGCATCAACGAATGGGTTTATTGTATAGGCGCTTGTGGAAGGGTCTGTACGATAGGTCGGCGTTGGAGGCAAGGGCTGGCGTGCGTCGGGTACGGATATCTTTCAACGGGACTATGTGACGGCACAAAGAACGGAATCAAAACTGAGTAATCTTTTCATGCTTCTTTGCTGCCCATGTAAGTGATGTTTCCGGAGAGTTGAGAGTGGGCGTCGAAAGGCACTTCCGCCGCCACTCCGATTGGCCTGTTGGGCCGCGGCTCAAATGGCTGGGTGAAAGTTCTCCAGCTTCCAATCTTTCGCCGCTCAAACAACCACACCTACACCAATCTTCCCAACGCACCACAACATCTTCAGATAAACGCCAAGCCATCATAATGCAAAGAACGATGCTCCGTCTCCCGCGCCGGGTGTCCCGCCGCACAATCCCCACCCGCTGCCTCAGCACAACAGCACGCCACTCCTCTCAAACCTCTCCCTTCGACAGCAGTCCCGCACCACCGCGTCTCCCAAAAGAAGAACAGGAAATCTTCGAGCGCCTCCAGCGGCAAAGCACTGGCGCGTTTAGCACCCCACGTTCCGAACCCTCCACCGACATCCGCGCTCGTATAAACCAATCCCCGGACTCTGCCTCCTCCTCCTCGTCCTCGTCCGCCGACATCCGCATGCGCATAAACCTGTCCCCGGACTCCTCCTCCGCATCAGAGAATACTGAGGTGAACGTGCAAGCAGGAGCCAGGATACCGGAGGGCGAAGAAGTGCATCCGAATCTGCGGAAGGGCGCGCCGCCGGAGTTTGAGGGCGAGGTTAATCCGCGGACGGGGGAGGTCGGCGGGCCGAAGAATGAGCCGTTGAGGTGGGGCGCGGGGAGCGATTGGAGTTATAATGGGAGGGTTACGGATTTTTAGGGGGGTGTGGAGGGGAAGGGAGAGGGGAAGGCTAAAGGGATGTGTACGATATAGAGTCTGCCCCCGGGGCTCGGAGTGCTGTGGGCAACGCTGAAGACATGGCGGATGTACGAGAGATGTCGTAGCGGGCTACAAATGCCTGCTTTGCAAATTCACAACACTCAATTGCAACGATCGGAAGGGACAGGACAGTTCGCAACATACCTACGCCGTACTTCGTGTCATGAATCATTAGGCGTAGGTCGAAGCAGCAAAATTGGCCGAGATCCTGAAGGTTGTGGGCGGCGTCGGGGATTCCTTCAAAATGGCCTGATCTTTTGGCCCAAACAGCCTTGCACAGCAAGTCTGTGCTGTGGCATAAGCTTCTGTAAGCTTTCTTGGATATTATGCTGCAGTGCTTAACCCCCGAGCTAACGCCTGATTGTGAAGCAGTGATCGATATGATCTCTAGGCTGAAAAATGGCGGTGTCGATGAGAGATATTCTCATACTTGGATAAGGAGACGGAGTGGATAACTGTTCAGGTCAGCTCATGGAGACCTTGCAGGTAACCAGGAAGTATTCCGATGTAAGCCATGTGCAGCACATGTAACCAATCAGAGCCCCACCGTGTCCCTTATGCATAGCTCCTAACGCTTTGTAGGGGTCAGTATGCTGATCTGTCCAGCAGCTGAAAAGAGAAGTGGACAGAATGATGCAAATGATTGTGACTATCGATCCGACACCGCCTAGTGGAAGGCTGTGGCGTCCCACTCCGAGGACCCACTTTGCTCAGTATTATTCAGCGGTCTGTCCAGCGCCGGCTGTCAAGTGACATCGTGTCCACATAGACCTCAGCAAACACGAAAGTGGAAATTTCGACCGCTTTTACGCTGTCGAATTGCGGCAGTATTCCGCTGCACGTGTTCCGTTGGACCGCGCCGGCTTCCTACGCCGTTTTCACAACTGTTTTCGTGAAAGTGAGGAGCTGACTCCAACGATAGCTGGAGCATAGCCTCGTTTCGATGTTTCGGTCTCCGCGGGCTACTGCACAGGAGCGAACATGTCGGGATCAGCGTTTCATTCGTAATCCTGCTCGTCGATCAGCGGCAGGCGAGAGCCAAGGGATGAAAGAATGCAGGTGCGCTTGGCACCGCATTCTTGAACTGACCTCATCTCTGTCGTCAAGACTCGGCACCAGCACGCAAGCGGCGTTGCTTTTCCATACGATTTCTTCAATGGAAGCTTTCCTTTGCCGCGATTATGGCCGTACTGAACGCAGGAAGCGCGTCGGCTGCGCCCCCGGCAATTTGCGCGCGCGTTGCGGAGGGGGAACAGGCCAATCGTGGAGCTGCAGCGCTGCAATGCACGAGCAAGGTCTGGATGTGTGATGGGTCCATGCTTCCGCGACGAGGAGCGCTGGAGCTGCGACGAAACTGTGCAGCGGTCTAACGCTTTTGTAAGAGGGCCCGGAGTTATTATAACGAGGTCCATCCCTCCGGGAGAGCGCGGAGCGGCTTAGCCCCATACCTGAATCCTCTCTGCTTTTCCTATAAACACTGGCTTGACGTTTTCTGTATCTCATCCACATGGCTGTAAGTTTCCGCGGATATCTTCCGATTTTATGTACTTTGCTGACCCTTCAGCGGCTGTGAAATTACCAGAAGGGACCATGATAACGCAGTGTCACGATGCATCCTGGAAGTTCATTCTTCAGTTGTCACCGACAACCCGATAGTTTGCCCTCACGATAGCACTCCAGCACCCGCCAGCCCATCGCAACACCGCCTTCAGTCTTCCCACCGGCCCCCAGTTTCACTCAACTCTACTCGCTCCACATCTATCTCCTGCCACCATTCATAAAGAGCTACTATTTTGGTTTCAAGAGATTCATGTCTTCGACGCAGCAATGTTGCTTTCCCTCTTCTTGCTGCTCGCGCTCTGCGTTCAGCAACTCGTAGCTGTCGACCTGGTTGTCGACCTCGGGTACGCCAAGTACCGCGGATTGCAATTGCCGCATGGCATTACGCGCTGGGCGGGTATGCGATATGCTCAAAGCCCGTCTCGATTGAACGGAATGCGGTTTACGGCTCCTCAGGATCCTCTTCCTGTCCGCGGCATTGTCAATGCAACCGAGGTGGGCAGCGCTGACAAATCCGTTATGCATATTAAAGCTCACAACATCTTAGTTCGGACCTTTGTGCATCGGCACGGGCAGCAACCTTAAAAACGAGTTCGGGGGTAGATGGTCGGAGGACTGCCTGTTTGCCAATGTCTTCGCGCCGTCCAATGCGACAAATACTAGCAGTCTCCCCGTGTACGTATTCATTCAGGGTGGCGGCTTCAACAGCAACGGGAATGCCAACTACAATGGGAGCGACTTGATTCAGGCTGCAAAGGGGCAGATAGTTGTGGTGAACTTCAACTACCGCGTCGGACCATATGGCTTCTTGGCCAGCAAAGAGATCGCAGAAAACAAGACCCTGAGTCTCAACAACGGGTTGAAGGACCAGCGGCAACTGCTGAAGTGGGTTCAGGATCACATCAGCCAGGTTCGTGGGCCTTCTTTCCGCAACGCCTTGTTGAGTCGTATATGCTGACTCGCTCTATAGTTTGGCGGAGACCCTAACCATGTTACTCTTGGTGGCGCCAGCGCTGGAGCTGGATCCGTCGTGCTCCAGCTAACAGCATACGGAGGCCGTGATGACAAGCTCTTCCATGCAACTGCAGCAGAGTCTCCCGCGACGCCACCACTTCGCGATGTTACGGACAGTCAATGGGCGTATGATGCCCTGCTGAAGAAGGCAGCGTGCGAGGACCTCGAGTGCCTACGAACGATGGACGCCGTTACATTCCAAAACGCGGTGCGAGGCATCAAAATGCCTTTCCCAGGTGGCAAGAACCCACCAATCTTCTTCTGGAACCCAACACTAGACGACGACTTCATCCAGGACTACACATACAATGAGTTTAAAAACGGCCATTACGTCAAGGTTCCTACGATCTTCGGAGATGCCACTAACGAGGGTACAATCTTCACGCCGAAGTCGGTCAATTCGCTGATGAAAGCGGACACCTTCATCTCCGACCAGTTCCCCAATTTCAACAAACAAGACCAGCAGAGCATCCAGTCCGTGTGGCCAGGTCCTCCGAACCACATCAACGACGGACGGTGGAGGAACGTGGCGGCCGACATATACGGGCACATACGCTATCAATGCCCGTGTCTCAACTTCTCGTCCTCGTATGCTGTCAACGGTAGTTTTCCCACCTGGCAATACCGCTACAATGTGGGCACCGCCCTCCACGTTTCGGAACTTGGCCCCATCTGGAACAATGGGACAACTGCTGCCGGAGTTTTTATTCAGGCGTATTGGGCGTCCTTCATTCGATCGTTCGATCCGAATAAGTATGCGACCGAGTTCCTGGCCGCCAACAGCAACGCGCTCACGTCTCCCACTTGGGAGGAGTTTGGTCAGGGGAACGGGAAAAGGATGCTGTTCGATAATAAGAACGTGGTGCAAATGGAGGAGGTGACGAACCAGGAGTGGAGCAGGTGCGACACTATCACCGGCATGGGGCTGCAATTACAACAGTGAGTGTCCCCTCTTCAATTCCAGCATGCGGCGGGGTTGGTACTCTATGGCGGGGGTCGACGCTTTACTAGATTTCATTTTTTACTGTGTTGAGGAATGTAAATGCTGACGGCTCATAGGGTCCAATCTGCCGGAAGTCGAGTTGCCTCCCTTACTTGGGCTCCATACCTGACCTACGCTGCTGTCGCTCTTGGCCTCGTCCAGTGGCTCTATCCTTGAGCCTTGAGTCGCATTTGGACGACTTGTTCTCAAGGAAGGAATTCTCGCTAAGATGGGCCTCCAAAACCAACACCATAAAAGAACTCGGACGGCGAATACAACATACACCTTGCCGGGACAGTGGCACTTAACGTCGCTCCAATTGGATCCAATAGAACCGACTTCTAGAGTCGTCTATCGGTAGAAAGGAAGCAATGGGACCTCCATACAAGCGAATTGATTAGGGTCTGAAGCCGGCCGTCGCAATATCGACATGGAATATAGGGGGTCCGTCCATTCGCGAAGGATCAGAAGAGCTCGGGCACAGGGATGAATGTCGGAATAAAACACAGTACACAGCCGGGTGGCTGTTGAGCGATGGGATGGCGGATCATGCTGTGGCGCCGCCTTATGTAGCTGCGGCGGCTATAGGGGGTGATGTTCTGCAGGATCGGGGGGAAACGAAGTAGATGCGGATGATGCCATCGCCAAGGTCGCGATGTACGATGTACGCAATGCCCACCGTGTTCAGCAAATCGACCAGATCCACAGGCGGAACTTTTCTGACTCGTTATCTCGCTCGATGGGGCACCCGGGCAGATCATTCATGCGGCGATCTGATATATTATCTGCTGAAATTGTGTGCATCTTCCGAAGACGGGTAATCGGCGCACGGGGCTGCACCGCCAGCCCAGACGCGTGACAGCATTTCGCGATGTACGGCAGTGACGAAGCGGATGCAGGCGATTGGAGGCAGCAGAGCAGACAATGGCTTTCAATTCATCTGAAACAAATATAGCTGTATGCGGGACGCGCGGGACGCACGAGACGCGATGCTAAGCACGCCGGGCGCCGTATGCATCCCGGCTGGTCTGTGCGGCTGCAGGAACACCTGCGACGTGAGTTTTTTGACACGCCCAAGACGGCGGTCGCACCCATCACTGCCAGCCTGCCAGTCCCCTCTGACACAGATTCCTCTTCTGTCCGCCACAGTTGCAGCCACTGACTCGACCACCCGGCGCTGTCGCCATCCCTCCGCTTTCCCTTTCGGGTGCTCCTGCGGCGTCGGCCCCAGGTGCTCGTACTCCAGGCTCTGTCTGGTACCTCCGCGACGCTCTCCGCACCACCCCATCAGGGGCACCATCACAACAATTGCCCACGACGCCGGTCGCGCTCGACATCTTGGAGAGACGTCCCCGTCGACGCGTCGCCCCGTGATGCGCTTGCGCCCACACGCTCCCCGATAGCGCACATCGTCTGGTGCCATGCCTGGCTGGCGGCCGCTCCCGCGAATCGCGTTCGCAATCTGTGTATATCCCTTCCAGCCCTCGTCGCCGGCCGACCTGCCCCTCGAGATTGGCGATGAGCTGTACATTATTGAGCAGGGAGGGAAGGATGGCTCGTGGTATCGGGGGTACTTGGTTGCACCCCCCTCGCTGCTGGCAGGCCTGACCAGTGTCAAGGGACAGACGCTGGAGGCACGCGTGTTCTCGGGCATCTTCCCGCGGTGCTGCGTCGAGGTGCGCGAGGTGCTGGGCGAGGGCAAGAATACACCGACCCTCCCCGACGGGCCTGAGAAATTGCCTCCGTCGCGCGGGAGCCATGGCGAGCATGCCACCAACGGTGTCATCACGCCGACCGAAAGCACAAGTGCTACTTCGCCCGCTGGAAGGGGTTCTGCTTCGCACGCCAAAAGGGCGTCCAAGTCCGATACCGTCCCTGCGCTCCCAACCTCCGTCTCGCGCCCACTGTCCAGACGGCGCTCGTCCAAGAAGCGCGCCGGCAGCTACGCCTCTCAGTGGACGGCCCGCTCTGATCACCTCCAGCAGCTCGCACTTCCCCTGTCTCCCGTCTCTACGGCCTCCCACGACCCCACCGCACCGCGACCGCCGGCGCCGGTACCTATGCTGAAAATCGGCGACGAGACCCCGACATCAGCCCAGGAGCCATTGGTCGACGAGATTGCTTCCTGCTTGCGAGAATGGCACTCTACAAAGTTACACGAGCTTCTGTTAGCAAGGAGATACAGTGCGTTGGAGAAAATGTCGGCGCTAGTGCAGCGATTGGATACGGCACGGCGGCAACTGTTGCACAGGGTTCTGACGGCGAAAGAGTTGGAGGCGGTGCGCGAGACCACGGTCTGGGACCTAGTCACGGGTAACAAGATGCTATGCGGGGACGTAATCGTGCGAAGCCCTTCGCAGCGCGGCCGCATATTGACGGGAGACGACTCAGCTATCGAGATCACGAAACTGCAGTCGATGATGAGCTTATTGGACGGTCGTCCAGTCCCTCATATCGACGAGCACAACCTGCACCACCTGTTTGTGAACTTCAAGCAAGTGCTGGGTGACGTTGCACGGGGCTCCGCTCAAGTGAGCATGCATCTGTGTCTCAAGGTACCCGGCTCGGCACCACAGCCCCTTTCGGAAGCATACTCATTCGATCTGACTTCTCGGGATGGCACGCCCATATCACTGTCGGGCGAGAAACTCAGGTCTCTCTTCGTCGACTTAAGCTCAACCGATATTGGCGAAGGCGCTGGCTCCGGATCCAGCCTTTACCTCGTTTTTAGATTGCTTGTGAACGAACCAGTGCGCACAAGTTCGACAACCGCGCACCACGCTCCCAAGGAGAGTATGTCTAGCGTCAGGCCGGGGATACAACCCTCCCAGTTTGGGAGCATCAAAGGCGGAAGGCGCAGTGTGATGTTTGGCTCAAAACGGAAAGAGTCGAGCCACTCCAACATAAGCTCGGCTGAAATGCGACCAACGAGCGTTGACACGACTCGAGCCCAGAGTCAAGATGGACGACCAGAGTCTGTGTCAGTGACAAAGCCTAGATCATCTTCCAAGGACCAGAAAACATTGAAGAGAGCTGTGGCTGTTGGCGTCGTCCGTGTTGACCCGCTTCTGCGAGCTCAGTCGGAAACGGATCAGAATGTTACGCTGTGGTGCCTCCCGGCGCCTTTTGACGAAATTACGGACGAGGATACTGGCTGGGAGGATGTTCTGACCGAACTCTTTCCAAGCGCAAACGGGAAATACAAAAAGCACCCCCAAATCAGCCGTGTCACGGTGCACCTCAAAGCGTTTGCGAATCCGGATACAGAGACTCTGGTGGAGAAGACGCCTACGTTGCTCCACAACATCAGGCAGAGTCGGAAAATTGGTTTCTCGGGCGCCCCCACCAAGCCACGCAGTGACATCTACCTGACCTTGGCCGAGGCTTTCCTTCCTAAGAATGCCTTCCTAGCGCATCCCAAAACAGGAACTGTTCCTCTCACAACAACCTCATCCATGGACAACCTTCAGTTGACTATTGAAGTCCGGAAAGCTTCTGGAGAACGCATCGAAGGATGCATCTATCCCTCGAGTAACAGCGCAGGGCACACGGCCTGGCGCACGACTGCGGTAGAAAGGGGCGAATCGTGGAATCTTACCATTCGACTTGCCATCAATCCCGAGGACGTACCAGGGTCGCATATTGTTATGAGCATAGCGGATGCTCCTGGCTTCCCTTTTGCCCTGTGCTGGATGCCTCTTTGGAACCAGGATGCGTTTGCTCGAGATGGTCAGCATTCCCTTTCGTTATACCGGTACGATGAGTACACTTCGAGCATGATCGCCGGGAAAGGTGCTTACCTTGGTCTTCCCTGGAGTTCGAGAAAGAAAGATGAGCAAGTTATGGGACCAATGGCTTGTCTGCACCTACGAACATATCTCTGTAGCACCAAGTACTCGCAGGATCCGACCCTACTCGGTCTTCTCAAATGGCGCGATCAAGCGGGTGGAGATTTGATTGGAATGCTCAAGAGATTTCCCTTCGTTCCGGAAATTGAGATTGTCAAGCTTTTGAACGAGGTTTTCGATGCCTTGTTCGAAATTCTAGTGGAGTATGCCGGAAGCGATGAGTACGAAGATCACGTTTTCAACGCGCTTGTCACTGTCCTCGGAATCGTTCATGATCGGCGCTTCAATCTGGGCCCGCTGGTTGACCAGTATGCGGAAACAAGGTTCAACTACCCATTCGCCACATCTTGCTTGGTCCGTAGCTATACTCGCCTATTGACGACGCCGACCGATCCCGAGTCGTCTCGGCGCCTGCGAGCGACATTCAAAGTGGGACGACATATTCTCAAGTTCATCATGAACGCTCGACAGCAGCAAAAAGAGAAGGAAGCTGGTATTGGAATTACCAGTCGTCAACCGACCTTCACGAAAGACCTACACGCGATCTTCAGGTCCCTGGAGCTCTTAATGACCAATCCCTCCGCCGTCCTGATTGGAACGAAGACCATTCTCGTTCAGAACTTCCACACATGGCTCCCGGAACTGGCAACGTCGATGGCTCCGATGGAAATACTCAAGTTGACTTCAAGCTTTATCGAATCATGCTCGTCTGCTCAAGGGAAGCTGATTCTGTATAAGATATTGCTGATTCACCATACCTCGGGTCTTGAGATCTTCAAATCGCCGGACACCCGTCGGATGCTCCTCTCGAACACGGTCAAATGGCTTGCGCCGCATTGGGGCAAGGTTGAGACCGTAACAGAGCAATGGAAGGATCAAGTGCGCCTCTGTTGCTCGGTTGTTGCTTCGCAGGTGGAAGAGCTCGGACAGGAGGCCTGCGAATACATTCCGAAGCTGGTGGACTCCTACAGGGCTATACAAGCAACGCCTCGTCAGACTAAAAAAACTCTATCGCTCCTTTTCCCTACGTCGTATCCCTTCCCGTCACGTCCGGCTACAACCCAATCAGATTTTGATGAAGCCCTGGTCGAGATTTCAGCTGTGCTAGCTGCCATGTCGAACCTCCCGACGATTATCCATCTCGATTGGCCGAAGGACGACATCGCGGGCTTCCTATTCTCAGCTCTGCAGGTATACATTTCAATCCTTGACGGCGAGGCGTTCCCTAGCTCGTGGCTAAGCGTGCATATCTACCACCACAAGGCTACCATGCGCACCCTTGAGAGATTCTCTGGTATTTTGATGGACTCCTTCCTCCCGCATCCCGACGAAGCAGACCACTTCAATACCGATCTTTGGCGAGCCTTTTTCGACACTCTGCTGAAGCTAGTCGGTAGCGACGCGCTGGCTTTAGAGACCTTCCCGGAACAGAAACGCCGAGCAGTGTGGAAAATTGCTGGGGATGTGCGAGAACTAGGTGCAGACCTTCTGCAGCGCAGCTGGGAGGCCATCGGATGGGAAACAGGTCCTGAAGACAAGAAACAGTTCGGCCTTGAGAAAATGGGTGGTTTCCAAGTGCAATATGTCCCCGGTCTTGTTGCACCCATTGTCGAACTATGTCTCAGCGTCCACGAAGGCTTGCGAAGCGTTGCCATTGAGGTCTTGCAGACTATGATTGTGAGCGAATGGACTTTGAGCGAAGATCTCTCCTTGATCCAAGCTGAAATGATCGACTGTTTGGACCGTCTTTTCAAATCGAAACACCTCACCGAGGCGGTCTTGCAGAAGCATTTCATTCAAGAGCTCATCGATCTGTTCGAACCTCTGGCTCATGAACCCGACGAAGAGCTGCTCACCGCTGTTAAGAACCTCATCACCACAATCGACGAGCTATTGGATCTACTAGTTGCGGTGCACAGCACGGAGGCTGCTGACGAAGTATTCCATATCATGGATACGCTTCATCTTATGGAATTCCTGAAGGACATGCACAAGGAAGATATCTACATTCGCTACGTTCATCAGCTAGTCCAACTTCAGGCAGATGCGCAGAACTACACGGAAGCGGGCCTTGCCCTCCGACTGCATGCTGACCTCTACGAGTGGGACCCCACTGATATCGTTGACCCGCTAGTCGAACCCAACTTTCCGGCGCAGACATCGTTCGAGCGGAAGGAACAGCTATATTTCCAAATGATCGACTACTACGAGAACGGGCAATCGTGGGACAACGCGCTAGGCACGTATATGGAACTGGCGACTCAATACGAGCATAATGTGTTCGATTTCGCGAAATTGGCCAGGGCGCAGCATGCGATGGCCAAAATCTATGAGAGCATTGCAAAAGGCGACCGTCCAAATCCGCGCTACTTCCGGGTAGTGTACAAAGGCTTGGGCTTCCCTGTGGGTCTACGCGACAAGCACTTCATTTTCGAGGGCTCCCCCAATGACCGCCTGGCCACGTTCACGGACCGTATGCAGCAACAGCATCCTTCGGCCCAGATACTTACGGCCGGAACAGAGCAAGACGTTGAGGGCCAGTACCTCCAAATATTTCCCGTCAGCGCTCAGAAGGACCTAGCACATCCAATCTATCAACGTGCAAAGGTAGCGCAGTCAATTAGGGATTATTATCTTCTTTCCAGACCCTTGCACTTTACGACAGCGTCCCGACGCACCGCTTCGGATGGCCATACAAAGGAGATCACGGTTGAGAAGACTGTTTACACGACTGCCGAGGCCTTCCCTACCATTTTACGAAGAAGCGAGATCGTAGCCGTCGGGTCCGTCACGCTAACACCCCTTCAAACTGCGATCGAACGCACCACTCGCAAAACGGTGGAGCTCCTAGCTTTGGAAAAGAAGGTCGCAGAGGGAGAGGAATCGGCTTTTACCGCTCTTACTCAGGAATTGATGTTTGCTGTCGATACTACCCAGGAAACAAGCGTTGCCAATTATCATGACTTGTTGCCTAAGCCCCCTCGGGCTTCGATTGCATCTGCCGAAGATATGGAGACGCCCCGGGAGCCGAATCCGTTGGAAAACGCGTTGAAGGTCGCATTGACCGATTATGCTTTGATCATCCGACGTTGTTTAGGATTGTACACAAGGCCTGCTCAACAAGCCACCAAAGCAGACCTCACGCAGCGTATGCAAACCACACACATTTTGAATCTCCTAAGCTAACACCTAGACAGGACTCGAGATAGCATTCAACGATGAGCTGGCTAGCCTCATGCCCGTCATTCTGCCGCAGCCTATCCGCTCCCCAACCGGTTCCTGGCTCGCCGCGGCGACGTCCCCTTCGCGAGTAGCAAGCCCCGTGTCTAATCCCATCCCGCAAGTCAATGGTACCCGCGTGTCATCCCCCGTATCAGAAGCCAGGCCGGCAAGACAAGACAAGAAGAGACTAAGCCTTGCATTCTTCAGCAAGAGCGGTTCTACGGACGAGGCTCCCCCGGAGAAAGAACGCAAAGCAGAAAAGCCAACCAAGGAAGAGCATCCAGACGCGGCGTCCACTACCGCATCATCGCGCAGCCGAAGCAAGGACACCACTAAGAATCGACTAAGCCTAAGCTTCCTCGCGCCCACTTCTCCGACTCCGGAAGCTCTTCCTCACTTTCCTAGCCAGCAGAGCCTTAAACAAGCAAACAACCGCGGTCAAAGTATCGACAGTCGCCCAGAGACCAGCAAGAGCGGAAAGAGTGAGAAGTCCGATCACCATAGGAAAGGGAGTGTGAAGAAGAGGTTGAGTATCTTGAATATCGGGAAGAAGAGCAGCAAGAGCAGCGTTAGAGGACGCGTGGATGATACCCTGGCAGAAGAGTGACCTGTCGATACTTCTCTTTCCGACGTTTCTTTCTTTTCGAAGCGGTAACTGGCCGTTTAATTTTTGGTTATCTTGTTTGGATAGCGGTGGACCTGCGCTTCAGCGCCACAGCGTGTTTTATTTTGGATCTCGACGGATATATGTGTTGGAAACTGATGATAGGGAGGGTTCGTATTCGTTTACTTTTGTCTTGCGGTTTCGTGGATTCTTCTGGAGCTGTTCTTTAGCATGGAGCAGGCGGATCTAGATGGATGGATACGTCTGGGCTGCCGCAGCGCGATGCGAACCTTTTGTGTATGAAGTAGGATTACCATGGCTGCGTAGGTTGGCTTCTGGTCCTGTTTATACCCTGACCTCTTGATCGAGGCTCTTCCAAAATAGATGGAATTAAACTGTTTTTCTGCGCGTTGTGTAATTTAGCGATGGTATCGATTGGTGAATACTTATTGCCAAGACTATCATGTGACCTTATCGATTACGAACCCTTCTCACCGCCCGGCAAAATTGTTTTGTGCGCCGAACTTTTTGCTCGGCGCAGACCTCCACCACAGCAGTGCTCGACGAACTGCCCGCCATGTCGCTAGAGGAGAGACTGAGCAAGGTACGGGACTCGCCGAAGCTACAAAATCAGCAGCAGGTAAGTTCGTCGTCCCAATACTCTATTCATCGCGCGCTAAGTTTGCAGAATGCTGTGGTGCTCTCCGCAATCGAGGATACCCTCAAGCAGCAGAAGTCAGAATTCACACCGACCGCGTATTTTGCCGCGCTGCTCTCTCTTCTAGGACGTCAGGTTTCGAGCCAAGGCATAGCGAACAAAGAAACTGCGACGTCTATTATCTATTTACTCGATCTCGTTACGCCCCACGTCCCCGCGCCGCTGCTGCGATCGAAATTCTCAGAAATCCTCACGAGTCTTGCGCCGGCGCTCACACACCCCGATGCAGAAGCTCCGCTCCTCCGTTCGTCGATAGGATGTTTGGAATCGCTGCTTGTAGTACAAGATGCGCGGGCGTGGGAGCTCCCACATACCCAGATTAGCCCACGAAGGGCTGTCGCGGGGCTTTTACAGATCGCGGTGGACCACAGGCCTAAAGTCAGGAAGAGGGCGCAGGATGCGCTGGCGAAAGTGTTGAACAACCCGCCACCGAGCCCTTCACTCGATCATCCTGTTGCGGATATGTGCGCGGAGACGGCGCTGAAGATGTTGAAGGATATTGCAGAGGCTGCAGGCAAGACGAAGAAGCACAAAGGACAAAAGGATGAGCAAAGACGTGAACCGGACCTCATTCATGCTTTGCAGCTGATCAAGACAATTGCGACTTCATCCGGAGGTTGGCCGAGCAGGAAGATCGACGTCCTGTGCGAGCTCCTGCTAAATATCTCAAGGTCAAGCAGCGAGTACCTTACCATGGCTGCATTTGAGATCTTCGAGATTATATTCGCAGGTATGGCGGACGAGGTCTCCTCGGCAAAGCTCCCACGACTGCTTGAAGTCATTTCGGAGCTGCAGCCTTCGAAGAACGACACACAGCTGCTTCCTCCCTGGATAGCAGTCATCTCCAGAGGATATGAAGTCTCCGCGCATATTGAACCCGAGGATACCTTTATGAAACTTCCCGAACTCTTCACCACGATATCCAGCTACCTTGAATCCTCGTCGCATAATATCCGCGTTTCCGCCTCGGAATGCTTGATTTCCTTCCTAGTGAATCTTATTCCGGACAGTGTAATACTCGAACCATCGATCTATGATGAGAAGATTTTGGAGAAGGTGGCGAAGACGGCTCAGGATTTGCTGAGCGTCAAGTATCAGGCTGCTTGGATGGAGGTCTTCAGCATGCTTTGTGCTATGTTTGAAGCTCTCCGGTGGCGCTCGGATCCAATCCTCAAACCCGTCCTGAAGATCGTTGGAGAGCTGAGGAGTAATGAGTCTTTCGCCGGAAAGAAAGAGGCTGACACGGTGATCTCAAGAGCGATTGGTGCTATGGGCCCCGACGTGGTGCTTGAAGTGCTACCCTTGAACTTGCCTAAACCGCCGCCAGGCCAGACAGGCAGAGTATGGATGCTACCACTACTCCGCGATGCTGTTCACAACACTAAGCTGGCGCATTTCAGAGCGGAGATGGTACCGCTTAGCGAAACGCTCTTCCAGAAAGTTATCGACCACGGCGAGAGAGAGAAGACGATGGAGGTTAAAATTTTCGAGACAGTGGTTCAGCAGATATGGTCCATCCTACCAGGTTACTGCGACTTACCGCTCGATCTCACTGAGGCCTTCGACCAGAGCTTTGCGGAGATGCTCGCAAATATCTTGTATGGACAAGCAGATCTGCGGACGGATGTTTGTAGAGCGCTGCAGCATCTCGTCGATAGCAACAAAGCCATTGTTGATCTAGAAGGAGAAGAGGATCTCGTGGCACAGGCACGTATTTCGAAAGCCCAGGCGAAGAAGAACCTGGACTATCTAGCCGGGTTTGCGAGCAACATGCTTGCGGTCCTGTTCAACGTATACAGCCAGACTTTGCCACACTACAGAGGTACCATTCTCAGGACAATAAATGCTTATCTGAGCATTATTCCAGAGAAGGTGAGTACACATGAGGGGAAGGTATAGAATATAATTAGCTAATCATATTAATAGGAGCTCATGGAGACCTTCGAGCGAGTTGCGACTAATCTTGAGGCTGCATTACCGGAGTCGAAGCCCCAGAAGCAGGCCGACAGGGAGAAAGACAAGTCACAAAACAGGATGCCGCCAATGAGCCACACACTCATGGATCTTATCATCACGATAGCACTCTATCTTCCCCGAGAAAGCTATCCTTCGCTCTTTCGAATGGCCACCATAATGGTCAACAAAGATGATGATCCGCAGTTGCAGAAGAAGGCTTATAAACTTATTCCCCGACTGGCGGAGTCGGAGCTCGGAAAAACCGCCCTTCGAGAACGGAACGCTGAACTCCAGCACCTGATGCTTCAAAGTGCTGAGAAAGCTTCCAAACCCGCACGAAGAGATCGGCTGCTCGCTCTATCCCAAATCATTGAGTCTCTACCTCAGACAGATCTACACTTCATCCCCTCGATACTCTCGGAAGTGGTCATCTCTGCCAAAGAGGTGAACCAAAAGGCCAGAGAAGCCGCTTACGAGCTTCTCATTGCCATGGGGGAAAAGATGGCGCAAGGTGGCACTGTTGTCCAGTCCAAAGTACCCAATATGCCCGCAGATGCACCGTCTGTCGAGGCGTCTCTGGAGGAGTACTTCACTATGGTATCTGCCGGTCTTGCAGCCTCTACACCACATATGATTTCCGCCTCGATTACCGCTGTCACCCGGATACTGTTCGAGTTCCATACAAGGATATCCACAGAGACGATACAGAACCTCCTGGAGCTAATGGATATCTTCTTGCAGAATCCCAACCGCGAAATCGTGCAAAGCGTACTTGGCTTCGTCAAGGTGGAGGTGGTCTCGCTCCCTGAATCGCTCATCAAACCGCGTCTCAGTGCATTGCTTCCCAACCTCATGATCTGGAGTCACGAGCATAAAGCAGGCTTCAAATCCAAGGTGAAGCACATCGTCGAGCGCTTGGTGCGCAAATTCGGAGTTGAAGAAGTGGAACGCGCCTGTCCGATGGAGGACCGCAAGCTCATTACCAACATCAGAAAGACGAAGGAGCGCCGCAAGAAGAAGAAAGCACAAGCGGAGGACGACGATGAGGCTGACCAGGAGCGGCCGAAGGGGAGATTCGAAAGCGAGTACGACCAAGCCGTGTACGGTAGCGAAAGTGAGGAGAGTGAAGAGAACGACTCTGAAGATGAATTCGTCAAGGGTCAGAGCCAACAACGGCGCGGCAAAGCAAAGGGAGGAAAAACATACATCGTCGAAGACGAAGACGAGCCGCTCGATCTATTGTCTAAGCATGCGCTGGGCAACATCTCATCGACAAAACCACTCCGGCAACGGAAAGTGCCACAGACGAGAACGAAAGCTCGTACGAACGAAGATGGCAAGCTCATCATCGGCGACTCAGATTCCGGGGACAAGGGTGGGGTCCGTATAAAGAAAGGAGGTAGACACGTCGACGACGAAGACGCCCTCATGGACGTCGACAACGACGCTATTTCCCTTGAAGCAGGTATTAATGCGTATGTTGACGCTATCCGCGGCCGTGATGCAGCCCAGCGGGGCCAGAAAGGCAAGCTAAAGTTTAGCAATAAGAGGAGGGAAGATGAGGATGAAATGGACATTGATAGCGAAGATGACAAGGAGGCGAGGAAGGCGAAGGCTGGTTCCGGCATAGGCAGGGGCGATAAGGGTGGATTCAAGAGCCAGAGGAAGGGGCTAGGCATGCAGAAGGTGAGGGGTGGGAATCAGGGTGCTAACGGCACGAAGGTGCGGGTAGAGAAAACGAGGAGTCCGAAGCATAAGGGATTTGGATCTAAGGGCTTTGCTGGCCCTCGATAGATGGGTCGGTGTGGTAGGATGGGGGATTGATGAGGGGGTGTTTTCTTTTCAATGAAGACGAATAGATACCACAGTTCCTTTTCTTTCGGCCTTCCACATTGTCACCAGGAAACGCAGTCTCCGGCCTCTCTTCTTGGACTGAGTAGGGAACACATTTTCCCGTCAGAATCCAGATCTTGCTACGGTCAAGAGTCGTACCCGTCACTACCCCAGGGCGTCTCCCTCAAAGCCTCGGTCGAAGAATGTCCACGGTGTCGACATCCACCTCAAGCTGTGGCTTGCGGTAACCCAGTTACGAGCCTTTTTGCACCCGCCCATTTATGTTAATAGCCACAACGTGTTCTAACACAAGGCTTGTTCTTGTCTACCCCTTGCAGCATTCACATGCTTAAGCGAAGCCGCGGTTGCTTCTCCGCTTTACCCCTGCAACCCTTTGACATCATCGCAGATCAATAATGATTCTTAATGTCGAATCAGTACTCAGAGTACTGCATGCCATCCGACGTTGATATTGCTTTGGATAGTCACCAAACGAGGCTCGACAAGCACAATGGAGAAGCTCAAAACCGCCTTCGCCAACATCACCACTAAACTCCAACTGCAACAACAGCCACAACAATCGCAAAATGACCACCCCATCTCCCCAAACACCAATTCCTCAACACCCTCCACCGGCCGTCTTTCCTGGCCCCCAAAGCTAGCCTCCCCGCCGCGCGTCCTCGGCGAGGTAAAAGACACCTCCGGGCGTCCCTACCCGCGCGACTTCGGCCGCTCCATCCGGCTCGGCGGCCACACCTACTACATGTTCGGCGACACATTCTGCTTCGACTCCTCCGGCGCCTTCTGCGGCGTCACAAACAACAGCATCGCGCTGATCCCCTCGCTGCACAACCCCACAAAAAGCCAGTGGCTGACGCCCGACGCCAAGGTCCCCGAATTCGTCCCGTACTCAGACGAGGAGCGCGAGTTCTGCAGACGCCACGCAGCGAAGGGCGAGAACAAGCGCTTTGTCAACTGGGCGTTTGGCGGCGCGGTGGAGAGGCCGGGCAGCGCGGGCCGCGAGGCCTGGCTGTTCTACGACACGTGCGAGGTCCACGGCGCGGAGGCGGTGCGGCACTGCGGCGTCGGCGTCGCGAAGGCGCGGGTTACGGATGTGCAGAGCGGGCAGATTGAGTGCGGGCGCGTGGGCGCGTTCCCGCTGTTTGATCCTGAGGGGCCGGCGTGGGGCAATATTTCAAATATCGCGGCGCCGGACGGGTGGACGTATCTGCTTACGGGGCGCGAACTGGATAACTACATGGCGCGGATCCGCACCGATGCCGATTTTTCCAATCCGGCGAATTACCAATTCCTCAAGAAGGGCGGGCACTGGGTGTCCTCGTACCACGCGCCGTATGGCCCGTTCGGCGAGCTGGCGCACGATGTCCTGCACGGCCAGGGCCAGGGCGCCATTGTGTACTTGCCTGAGCATGGGCCGCGGGGGAGGCCGTATGTGTGGTTTGGGTGCGAGAAGTTTATGACGAGTAAGCTGTGGGTTGGGGCGGCGGCGAGGCCGGAAGGGCCGTGGGAGTTGCATAGTGTGGGCGAGATGCCGAAGATTAATGGGGCGCAGAGCAAGACGCGGTATTGTATTTATCCGCATCTTTGGGGAAGCAAGCCGGGGAGAGGGGAGATGCTTATTTCGTGGAGTGATGATGGGACGATGGGTGGGAAGGTTGCAGTGGGGGTGTTTACATTCGCTGTGGTGTAAAATAGGGGCTGAGAGAGATGTAGAAAAGGAAGCTAATTATCTGTCAACTATTTGTCTGGAAAGCTCGCGTCTGATTCGTGTCTTTGAAAGGTGCTGAATTTTGCAACATGAAGTTCAATCTAACAATATCTCTAGCGCCTTTGCAAGGTCTCCAGCTTCGCAGCGGCATCCCGCTCTTTTTTCCACTGCCTTTATCTCTTACTTGTCCATTATTGCATCATTGAGCGCCGCTGCCATCAATACCCTATCTCCTACCCGCCGAGCGTTGGGTTACGCTCATCCTCAGCCAAAACACCGGTTTCTTACGCACACTCTCCTCATCCGAAGGCGCATGAATAACTGGCTCGCCCTTCTCGATACCATCCAAGCGATCATAATAAATGCTATCGATCGCAATATCCGGTTCAGCGAGGAGGTACATATACCAGTAGTAGCCACCACAGAACAAGGCCCTATGCATCATCAGCCCGTATCCCGTCACACTTAAGCGCAGATATGAAGATTTAACTTAACCTCCAATGATGTTGCCGAGTCCGGCCGGGATGATACCTTTCCAGATATACAGCCCGACGCTGCAGCTAGGCGTATTGAGCCAGATGCCCATGGGAACGAAGGCCATGTTCGCGACTACGTGGTTGAGGCCTAGGGATACGAAGGCGAAGATGGGCCACCAAATGCCAGTGACCGTGGATGAGAGATCACGGCCTTGCATTCCGAGATAGCAGGCGAGACAGACAAGTCAGTTGCAGCCAATGCCGCGGAGGAAGATGTTGTGGAAGCTCGGCTTGACCTGCTTCGTGGTGACGAAGGAGTGCACCTCAGAGAGATAGGGCTCCGAGGTGAAACATGTCGCCGACTGAGGATAGTCAGGGATCACGTTTTCCGAATGCTAAGGTTGGCGAATTGGACAGGACTCACATCCGAGGATGAGGGCGACTACGAACAGCGAGCCGGCCAGGTTGCCCCAGAATGTAAGGAACCAGTGGAGCAGCATCTTCGGAAGGGAGAAACGGCGGTGCAGCACCGCAACAGTCGTGTACTACATCCCACTGTTAGCCGGAGCTTAGAGGGAGCCAAATTTGTACTTCTGACCATGAAAGACCCAGTATGGAGATCGGCTCCAGTCAGCAGGATCATGACCAAACCGTAAGGGAAAACCAATGAGCTGATTGTCCTGATCAATCCTGGCGCATTCTGCTGATACAAGGGCGCGGCGTTCGTGCTCAAGGCACTCGCTGCAGCGAACGCGAGGAGGCAGCCGGCAGACACGCCGCTGAGAAAGGCCTTGTCGGGTCGCATATTGCTCTTCTTGACTCCAGCACGAGAAACCAATTCGATGGTCCCTTGCGGAGTGTAGGAGTTGAAGCTGATTCTGGCCATAGTGAATTGGCAACGGGGCCTCGAAGAAATGGATCCAAAGCAAGAATTAAGATTGGGGATAAATAGCTTCGAGACGAGCGAGGATTCTTTGCGCCTGGCAGGTGTATTTTTGAAGGACAAAGGGGGGGGCACTTAAGCTTTCACGCGGCTTGGGCCGAGGACACCAGGAGTCTTATCTCAATCTCCTCGTGCGGATCCTATACCTAGTGAATGAAAATGCATCATCGCCGTCGAAGGCATGATTCTTGGTTGATCATCGGTATGTGGCTGCGCTATGGGAATTGTAAATCCCCACGCCTCAGTTCCATTCGCGGAGGAGAATCAACTGGAGCCAGACATCCGTTCTTGCTGCCGACAGGCACATCGCTTTGTACATCTTGGGCTAAGAGACGATGATGTAGGTACAGTTATGGTAAGCTCACGTCCTGGCTTGGCTGCCGTTTCGGGATTTGTATTGGGCCTCTTTCCGGGGGAATCGGACTGATAAGGTAACGCGGGCCTGCTGAGGTGCAATTGAAGTGCAGATGTATGACGCGTTTTGCTGTGCAAAATGTGGTAGGAAGTTCAGATAAGGAGAGACGCTGATGTGATCGGCAGATGGGAAGTCGGATTAAGGTTAGGCCTAAGCCGCGATCTACGAGAAGAAAGTGGAGGAGAGAGATAAGGTTAGCGGACCTAAAAACCTTTGGTAGTCCGCGGAGAAACGGACTCACTGATGATGAGTAGCGCTGGCAGACATCAGTGGCGCTTACCTAATATTCCCTCAAAAGGTTAGCTAGTTCGGTTTCGGCTGCGCGCCTGTTGACCCAGTCTCTCGCTGTTATGCCGGACGGCGACCTCTTGTCAGGATCCGCCCCGTTGTCCAACAGCCATCTCGCTTCCTCAACTCGTCCCCACCTAACAGCATAATGAAGCGGCGTTCCATACTGTCCCTGGCCACCTGCTCCTCGCCTCGCCGCATCATCTATCGCGTTGACGTCGAGTCCCAACCCGAGTAAATACTCCATCATGGGAATTCGGCTGCCGGCAGGGACTTCCGGTCGTACGCCGGCTGCGCGATGAAGCGGAATTGCGTTTGAGAGGATTGCACCGTGCGAAAGGAGGAGGGCGAATATCTCGGGCGTGCCAGAGGCTGCTGCTGCATTGAGAGCCATGCCTGAATTTGGGATCGGCCGAATTCGCCAAGAAACAGGCTCTTGTGGACTCAGTGGGCGACCCAGGTTGGGGTCTGCTCCTTGCGACAACAAGTATCGGATGAAGGGTTCGTCGTTGTCAGCGACAACCGAGCTGACTATGGTGAGCGTCGAACTACGAATGAGTGGAAGACTTACGGAAGGAGCACATAACCCCACGGACCCGGGTCATTTACATTGAACCCGAAGTCAACCAACAGTCTCAATGCATCAAGCGACTTCGACGCATGAGCTACGGTCTGAGCGTCCCACTTCGCTCCGAGCTCCAGCAGTTGTCGTGCCAATCCAAGATGGCCCGCACCAACGGCCCTATTGAGTCCTGTGGTTACCAACCCGCGGTCACGACCTGCTACTAGTTGCAAGGCGAGCGCGACATCGTTGCTCTCGCAAGCGTCCAGGAAAGGTCGCAGTGATGCGTCTTGTGGGTTCAATATTTGAGCGTATGTAGTGCTGGGCTCTAGGTCGGAGGGCGGAGGTGGTAGTGGCGGCATGTCGAGTTGAGCGGCGTTGAAGAAGTCGAGGTATCCGTGATGCGTAGCGACGTGTCCTGGAAGAAACACAGAGTATGAGGCACTTGCGATTCATATGTTTCGGAATGGAACCGCTCAGTTTCAGATGTGCCGCCGCCGCCTCTTTGCTCCGGACAGGTAAGCTCCTAATCACGTGCGCTTACTCTGCTCGGCTCTGATTGGGCATAGCTCTTGCGGCACGACTACAACAGCGAGCATAGCATCCATCGTTAGCGTGGGCATAGGTTGCACATGGTTGCAAGACATCACATCCATCTGCGTTGCCTCCATCCTACAGTATTAGGCCACTTGTTCAACTTCACCTTCCTGCAATCCAAGGCCACATTTACAACTTCTCTACCTGTATAAGTTACGATACTCCGCCCGAATCATGGACCTCAGAGCACTCACAGTCTACTTTCTTATTCGTCGAAACACTTGGATCTCAGTCAAATCGCAACGATGAGAGTCCTTAGTGCGCAGGCAAACTTGTTCATTCTCTTACAGACCTCTGTAGTCCTCATAACGGCAGTAACCGAAATTGGAACCGACATCACATCGGCTTTGGGCTCACCCTCTCAAATTCCACCTCCGTTTCCTATACTCTCGAACAACAACAGTGGCATATTGAGTGGGACAGGGGTTACTACGAGCTCAATATCGTCCACGCAGGAGCCGCCTCTATTTCCTATTCCATCAGGGAGTAGTACCATACTTTTTGGCACGGGAGTTACCTTGAGCACGGTATCACCATCGCAGACAATACTCATCGGAACGGGATCGGCTTCGCCCTCAGCCACCTCAGTAATCAAGCCTCCATCAGCTTCAGATACTCTCATCCCACCTTCAGACACTATCGCAGGGACGACCTCACCGCCGGTTTCGAGCCCAAGTGCGACGGATTCCACGGTGCTTAGCACCACTCCATCTCCCGCCGATTCTTCCGCCGCATCGGGGTCAATCTCAAGCGGAAGTGGTCCTGTCTCGATCTCGAACATTGAAACAATTACGGGAGTTCCATCAAGTACCGATGTGTTCTCTCTACTACCGGTAGTTACCGAGACTCCTTCCAATACAGTCGGATTGATACTTCCACCCGGAATCACCCTGCCCCCAACGCCAATTACGACGATCGCGCCCACCGGAACTGAAATCCAATCAAGCGCTTCGGACTTGTCAATTGGCATTGCCGGTATGTTCCCACTCATCCAGAACTGGATAGACAACCCTCAACCCTCCGAAATTGCCACGGTGATGGGCGAACTCGATAAGATACTTCCCAAAGCGTCCGAATTCTTGGGTAAGCTACCGAAGCCCACTGACGGAGTTGAGCCGTGTAAATCTGGATTACGGCGCCGAGACTTAGAAGAGCTGGAAGATCTGGAACTGCATAGGTTCCAAAAACGGACCTTCCTCGATGGCTTGTTCAAGACAGCTTTCTCTCTCGTAACTTGTGTCATTGACGGTACCAACAAAGTCAAGAGCGGCGTTATCAATGGAGCGACAGAGGTGGTGAAGAGCTTGAGCGAGGATTTGAAGCCGATGGTCGAGGCTCTCAACAAAGTTGACCCGACCGAAGAACCTAGACCGTCTGCCTCAATTTCGGACCAGCAAGGGTCTTCGCAATCAGAGTCCTCATCATCGTCTTCTTGTACCTTGAGAACAGTTAGCGATTGCAACATTGCTTGCACTGCAACTGCCATCACAACAGTGGGTGGAATTAGGAAGCGAGCAGAGGGTGACTCGTGCACCACCGTTTGCGGATCGCCAGTCACAAGATGCGACGCTACAGGAGTCACAACGGCATCTACTGTGACATCCACATCTTCGGCTTTTCAACGATGCTCCCCTGATTGCGCAGGTTGTAACGCCAACGGCCGCCCGCCACGCCCCCAGCGTTCCGATCTAGGCACCTACTCAACAGCCACCAACGGTGTTCTCTTCTTGCCAGCCCAAACTGTGACAGAACTACCTTCAGACGAAGCTGTTGCGGCGCGTGGAGTCACACCGAGAGAGACCGGTTCCCCAAGCAGCAACTACAAACGAGCCCTCACCAATCCCAACGACGACAGATTCCGGGGCAACGTCGGTGCATGGCTTCTAGTGCAAGTTACTTGTAGTCCAAATGACCTAAATCACGGCGCGGCCCCAGGCGTTTTTTCGACCGGTTTCACCTTCCCCCTCCTTGGCTATTGGGACACTTGGAACCTTGTCGATCTATATGGCTGCACATCCGTCATAGTAGTCTCTCGCAAGCGTGTTTTCATGACACACATCTGGGAGACACCTTCAATGGAAGACACCAACAATTTGCAGCAGCATATTCTCGGCCCTCTTCGTAACGGTGATGCAGGTATCCCACAGGGTCTTACCGCTTTCACCGGAGTGGGCGGTGATTTCGAGAATACGCCGCAAAACAAAGTACGCGCCTTCATCATCACGCCAAATCGGCGGCTTGTGGAAAACCCCGACTACGATGACTTGGAATTTGATTATGAGGTTAGAAAGATCAAGGAAGAACTGAACGACATTCTCGGACGCAGCGACACCGTTCACATTCCTTATATTGCTCGAGCGCCTGACCCCAACCGCAATACTCCCTTCGGAAAGGTTCTGGTACAGTACGATCCAGCTCAAGCCTGGCTTGGTCGAGAAGACGGCAGCTGTAACACGCAAGTCGCGCGGCTGGAGATTTGGTTTGAAGACAGCCCGCGGTATCGGTATCGTGATACATGGGAGGCGTTCCCCAACCAGTACCTCCTGGGGCCGGAGCCCATGGGTGCTGTTGGCGCAGCTCTAGCAAACGGCAAAATGAAGCGCTTGATAAGAGGCCGAGAAGTGACGGACGCGGATGAGGAGGAGTGGAAGGAGTATGCGGCTCTGATGAAGCGCCAAAATGATGGGGTCTGTTTTATGTCCAGCGCAACCCTTTCTGCATCTTCTACTTCTCCGCCGTCTTCCACCACCCAGGATCCAACCACATTGCAGACCTCGATCATTCCTTCGTCGAGCGCTTTGGAAACTCCTTCAGCCTCAGGAAGTCCTCCACCTTCCGAAACCCCTTCTCCCACCGAGCCTTCGAGCCCCTCTGATACCCCTTCTCCCACGCCAGCCCCGGAGCCCTCCACAGCAACCGAAGAGCCTCTACCACCAGCGACACAGACCCCAGAGCCACCCGCCCCAGAGCAACCAAAAGGGCCTCCCAAGAGCTTACAAGTAATCTACGAAACTTTAATCGACACGGGAGCGGGCGATGATTGGTTCTGGAACTTCTACGAAGGCGAACAGGGCGTAGCCGTAGACCCATGCAGCGACCCACTGTTGAGCGATGACAAGGCTCCCGAAAACCGAGGGTATGATGCACCATGGCCAAACGGCGAATGGAAACTGCGGTTTGCAGGCTACGCGGAGGACTGCACGTTCCAGGGTATTGGCACGAAAGGCCCAAGCGGAGATGTTGGCTGGCTCCACTGCCCCGAAAGGCCTGCTATTATGTGCCTTGAAGACCCGAAGAAAGCTGGAGGAAAGGACGCTTGGACGAACTGCGAAACCGGCGACTGGAGTAAGGACTTTCTCCCGGTCGCTTATTGTGATTGGTCGTAGATGAGGCATTTGTTGCTGGAGTTTTCATGCTATCTCGTTATAGATCTGTGATACCCTATTCTTTTTTGACCCTAGATTTAGCCTTTTCAAGTTCGTCTTAAACGCAGGTAGGAGCTTTTCTTGCTTTAGATAGCATGATCTATATAGCTTAGTGACTCAAAACGAGAGGAAATCAATCGATCCGACCTTCATGCACCCCAGCACCGACCAAGAGAGGCGATAGCACGCGAGATTGTTTTTGTATTTAGCGGACCTCGATAAGTGTTGCTCTAACTGTATTTGTACTCAGCTATAGGCGACTAGATGGACACATATTCAGCATAAATCCATCCACCGCCACCAGTCCAGGCATCACCGCACCACCACCACCCTCCCATCAACCCTTCCTCCCTCAGCCCCCTCTAAACAGCAACCTCCCTCCGCTCAACCTCCATTTTCTTCTCCGCCTCCGCCTCCGCAATCCCCGCATTCTTAAGCGCCTGCTCATGCGCCCTCTCCCCAGAAAGACAGTGATAGTTCGGGAACTCGCGCCGCGGTACCCTATTCTGGAACAGCTCGTCGATCTCCTCCAGCGAGCGGCCGCGCATCTCGGGCAGGAAGAAGTACAAGAACACAAAAGTGATGGCGTTGGATGCGGCCCAGATGTACGCAACCTGTGACGTAATACGTTAGCCGGGCGGGGCTTAGGAGAAAGGCATGTGGGTTTGAAAGGGGAGGACGTGACGACTTAGACTTACCTTAGCTCCCCAATTTAGTTCCTTAGAGTTAATGAAGTACGGCGTAGTGAAGCTTACTAACCACGCGCTAGTACATCCATCGATCAGTCTACAATCTCGCTGACCCCATTGCGTAGGAGACTTACAAAACATAGTTAATCCCCGTGCCCACACCGATCGTGACAACGCGCAGCCTGCTGCTCACCAGCTCGTTCGCGACCGGCCAGCTCATCGCGCCGCTGAAGCCATTGTACACGAAGTACCACATCAGCGCGCAAGCCAGGATAGCCTTGCCGGACTCTTTGGAGTTCTGCGATACACTCGCTGCAATGCCCATGCCTAGCATGAAGACCGCGGAGCCGCCGTGGCCGAGCAGCATGGAGAAGCGGCGGCCAATGGTGCGGTAGGAAAGCGACATGCCGAGGAAGACGCCCATGAGGCCCATGAAGGACTTGAGGATTGTGGCCATGAAGGGCTTGTCTACGCCCGCCATTTGGAAGAAGAATGTCTGTGATGGGAAGGAGCACGTCAGCTTTTACCTAGGTAGAACGTGGGGATCCTAGCATAACTTACTCCATATCCGATGATCAACCATATGCCCGAACTGGAATGGCTCAAAATAACCGCAAAGCAGATAATCGTCCTCCGCAAATCCGACCCCTTGAACATATCTGTGAATACACTCCCGCTCTTCATCTCCAGCTCCTCATGGATGCCCCTCTGCATCTCTAAAAACTCTTCCTCCAGCAAGTTCTCTTTACCCTGAAAGCTCTTACCCCTCAGCCTCTTCAGGGCGACCTTGGCCTCATCATCCCTGCCCTGCACTAGCAGCCATCTCGGGCTTTCAGGGATGAAGATGACGAGCAAGGACAGGCAGAAAGGGATGGCGAAGAGCGACGCGAGCGGGATCTGGTAGGCTAGCTTGGACGAGTATTCCTTGGAGAAGTTGTTCGCGGTGGCGCCGAGGATGGAGCCGATGCTGACCCAGATGCCAAAAAAGGAGACGATGGGGGCGCGGAGGTGGGGTGGCGAGACTTCGGCGGTGTAGACGTTGGCGAAGGTGATGAAGAAGCCGTTGGAGACGCCCTGAACGTGCCACATTAGCGCCGTTCAATTCATACTGTAAGATGAGCGATCGCGAATTAAAAAGGCTTACAATTAGGATACGACCAAAGTACAACCCCACCAGCTGATCCGTCCCAATCTGCAGCCCCGCCGCCGCAAAGCTCAGCAAACTCGCCAGCCAAATCGATGGCCTGCGACCAAACTGGCGGCCCCATAGATGCGTGCAGACGACTCCAATGATCGTTCCAATGTTTAGGAAGGAGCTGATGAGCTGCTGCGGCGTAGTCGCGATGTTCCAGCCGATCTTGGCCTTCTTGTCCTGGTACCCGTACACTTTGAGAAAGCCGACCATGGCCTGGAAGCCGCCGATGGTAGCGGTGTCGTAGCTGGTGGGCTTGTTAGTGATGGACTTGCTGGCTATTGAGGGGCTAAGGAAGAGTGACGTACCCATATTGGCAGTTCGCAAGGCTCATAGCCAGGCAGATGAGGATGCATTTCCAGTTATCCTTGATGCCGGTATCGCGGCTGCCCCTAGGCATCATCTTCATGATGGAGCCCTGTATGCAGATCTGAACTGAATACTGCAAAGTCGGATGAGAAGCAAGATACAAGTGATGTGAAGTCGAAGTAAGGATGCGCCTATGAAGCACACAAAACTTTCCACCTCAACCAATTTATGAACCCTGGCGTACCAGCACAGCTTATAACAGTCCCACATCCCCGGGATCAAGACACATAGCGCGGTGTGGGGAAACCCACCAGAAAGTGGAGGATCTGTAGTAGCCAAGCACTTGGCCGCCTGCACGCCCTCCTTAGCGAGCCTATGCTTGATCGCGTAGAGACTAGGGTGCTTATCCTGAAGAAGCACCCCTCCACCTCTTGTCCGAAAATCAGGCTATATGACTCGCAGAGCATATGGAAGACGTTGGCCAGAGCGATACAAAATATTAACTGCCGCTCGTGTATGTGGCTTGGCGACGGTGCCGAGCGCGAGCGTGGCTTGAAGGATCCAGTGTCAGTTGAACTACATCCCCGCTTCAGCGTGAGGAGAAACCGCTTGCTCACGGATAGACGAGGAGGAGAGGATGCAACGGAAGCGGTTGTTTCGAGTCCGGACGGAATGTTCACATTAGCTACTTGTGGGGGCGCTATTGTCCATGACAGTATGGACGCAACGTTGCAGAGGGAGCTTACTCGACGATGATGATAGCTGAACTCTGTCTTCGAACGTGAGAGTAGACATCTACTCGCGTGCAGACGGCTTCCTGCTCTGCCCCATCCTGAAATAACAAGCCAACAGAATGACGGCCAGAATCCCAACGATTACCAGAATAATGCACGTATACTTCGTTACCTTCCCGCACTTGGACTTCGCCCACGTCCGCTTCTTTTCCTTCAGCGTCTGAATCCCCTCATGAATCGTCGGCCTCGTATGTGAGTTCTCCTGACGCTCGGCGACTTGAACGTCGCGATGCCTCTCTTCCGCAGGGTCGAAGAGCTTGCCGCGTGGGTGGCTGTGCGAATAACGCATCGCGTAGAGGACCCTGCGGTCCTGTTCCTTGGGCTGGATATAGTGAAACGTATTTTGTGGGCGCATACTGGCAGCCGCTAGACCAGCTAGAAGCTTCTTCCTGCGCTCTCGGAGGATGCCAGCGAGCGCAAGGTCCTTGAGTTCGTCGAGTCGGTGCTGCAGAACCTCACCAGCGAGCGTCGTAAGTTCATGGTAGAGCGATTGGTCAATGTCATCGAGACTGATGTCGCGCTCCCGGAGCATCTCCGCGATCGCTCTCCATGAGGTTTGTGTAGCGGCGCCACCCTCCGCAACTAGAGCAGGGTTGGGTAGCTGCTCCCACCCCACCATCATTTCCAGGAACTCGTCGTAGTTTACGGCGGCAGGGTGAGGGCGTTCGTTGGGTGCAACGTCTTTATGAACGAGCAATCTGTCCTTATGAGTCGTAAAATCGCTTAGCGTACACTTTGCAGCATGGTGACGTTGGTCTTCTGGTGTCCGAAGTAGGATTAGGACCAGTAAGAGCGCTTTGTCCATGCTGCGCATCTTTTGCGGGTCCACGACAAGGTTGCCATCGTTGTCCATGCAGGCATCCGGAGGGAGAGGAATATTAGACAAGTGTTGAAGCGCACCGAGATAAGACGAAGGTCCAAGCAGGTATGGGACGGCTTCGCATAGACGGAAAAGGAGCCCTATGCCCTCGATTCGCGCACATGGCTTTGAATCCGTGGACTGTCCCGCAGACGATGATCGGGAACCTGTCCTTGTCTGTAGAGCTTTCGGGTTCTGCCTTCTGCTTGCATGTCCTGCGACACTTGTCGACGTTGAGTGCGCTAAGGAAGGGTTCGCGCTAAAGTAAGTCCGAAGCGAAATGCCTGGTACGGGCTTGTTAGCATCGTCTGGAGAGTTTCCATGGCTTGAACGATTGGGAATCCAAGCGCGTATCTGTTCGTTGCCCGGTTTTGTGGATTCTGTTCGTGTCATGCTGTACGGTGTGCCGCTAGCCTCTGCCTGCCCGCTGCGGATAGCCCAGTCCGTCGTCTCGGTCTGGGACAGAGAATCGCTGGGATGGATCGTCTTCGAAGTCGCGGCTCTCCTTGTTGCTCGGGTCCCCCACTCCAGTGCAAAACTTGATCATAATCTTTCGGCTCGTTCTGGCGTTGGTAGCTCGGGGCGGAGTTACCTTCCCACTGTTCCACTTTCTCGCGCGCGCTCGGCTCCGCTGACTCGGGATGCGAGGCCGCATCCTCACCCATTGTGTCTGTCCGGGGTCAGCCTCGCAGTACAAACATGAGCTCCAGGGGTAAACGAACCCACGGATGGAGGAAATATTTTGAAAGCGGACGACCAGCCAGTTTCGCGATAAAGACGACGGTCGGATGCTACGGTAGGCCTAGACCTGCAGTGCGATGCAACGGAGGTAGCGATAGAGAAACAATGAGCGAATCCTGAGCGGCCCGCGAGTGCGTGGTAGAAGAATGTTGAGAGATTATAGGCGCGCGATGTTCCCATGAGGTAGGGCGTGACAGCCAGAAGCAACTTCCTTTACAACCGCTGGGAACGGAAACCTCCCACCTGGGGTTCCTAAAAGGTCGGAGCGACTCAGGCGTGTTTGGGAATCGGGCCGTTGGCCTACCGATCTGAGTTCATCTCTCTTCCAAGAACTTTGCGTCCTCGACCGCAGCTCTCGCAATCTTCTTCAGGAAGATCTTGAAGTCAGCCTCCCGAAACCTTTCCCACCGGTCAAGTCCCTCGCCCGCCTCAATTGACAGGGTATCATAGCCCTGCTTGATGACATTGCTCACTTCACGCGGGCTAAGATTTTTACTCCGCATCTTGCCCTTTTCGTTGCCCTCAAGCAAGCTATGATAGTGTGAGGAAACGTTGATCAGGGTTTGGATGGAGTGCGAATTAGATAATCCAAAGGCGTCTCGGAATTTGACAAGGATGTCGCCCGTCTCGACAAGCTTGTAGAACAAGTCGTCGTATGAGGCTGGGTCAGGAAGAAAGTTTTCGCCGCTTGACAGGGCAAATGCCAGCAGGTTGACTAGGAGGTCCACCATTTCGGAGCACCCGCGGATAGATCGTATGTCGTTGACATACGTGGTCAAGAAACGGAAAAAGGAGAGCAGCGTTCGCCACACCTCTGACCAGTGGTACGCCATGCGAACCTTTGCCCTGCCTAGATACGACAGCATGCGCAGCAAGACACCTAAGCATAGGCTGGCAAGTCTTAGCTATCAGGGGCAGATATATGTGTCGCTTACTCACATGTAGAAATCAACATCCAATCTTCGTCGAAGGTTATGGTTGATCCCATCGATCATGAGGTCAATAATCACAGAACCGGGGGCACGCTCACCCTTAACAAGCGGTAGGTAAGGTGGCCGCTGCCGACACAATCGCACAGAAAGCTTGCCCTCGTCGCTGCATAGGCGCTTTACGAGAAGCTGGTCCTCCACGAGAATTTGCAGCACAAAGAGACTGAGGTAGGCGTACAGAGCAGACCTGCTCGAGCGATGTGCGTGCTGGAAGAGGTAGGAGGTTAGGGAGAGGAAAACGCTTAGCGGAGAAGCATCGCCCTTGTTTGGCGCTTGGGTAGACACTAGGTTGAAGCAGAAGACCTTATTGGCATTGGCGAAGTCGTAGGTGGAGAGAAGCTCTCCAATTTCTGGTCCCGGTCTGTCGCCAAATGGTGAGCGATAGGTATAGACAGGAAAGCTTGCTACGTACAGTGCTGCAAACAACGATTTGGTCTCTTCTGGGCCTGGAGTGGGTGTCGAAGGCCTTGATGCGGGCGCAAGAACACCTAGTCCGATATAATTCAGCGTTGACCCTAGCGTCCAGCCCTCAGGTATGTCGTCCTGAACTGCCACATAAGCGTCCCGCAGCCTTAGACAAGTGTCTCCAAAGCCAGTTATCATTTTCTGTATTATGGCGTCGTTCACGAAGTCGTCGAGCCGTAGCCTATACGGATTCTGGAACTCGAATTTGTTGTAGTTGACGAGCAGGCCGAGAAGGTAGAAGGCGGGCAGGATCTGCGCGCTGTCTTCGCAATCTTGAATGTACTGGAGGCCGTAAGTATCTGATCGGCAAGGGGGAAGAATGGCATACCTTCATGAGCGAAGGGAACAGATCCCGGTGGGTCAGATAGGATGGCAGTGCGGTGTGGAACCCGGCGGCGGTTATGGAGAGGGTGGTACGGACAGCCTTGAGTCGCAGCGGTACTGGGAGCATCAGCGCAATGCCCCGAAGCTCCCTTCTTTAGACATACTGCTTCTCCCATTTCGTATAACTGCGTCGAGCATCGCTACGAAGTCGGACATTACCGCATCGGCGTCGTGAAGGCCAGCGAGGACGGAGATGATGTCGGAGCTGGGGTTCGTGTATTTCTTGCTGAGGGCCGCATCTAGAAAGACTGTCAAGGTCTGGCATGTGAGCCAGCGTATAGACAGAACGGTGGGGGCATCGTACCTCGAGGGCGATCTCGTCAGAGGGCGCCGTGCCCTGTCTGGCGCGCTGGATTGCGCGAAGGAATAGCTGCTGCGAGCGCGTCTGCAGTTGTAGCATCTCGTCTGGGGACACGGAGCCCAGAACGCTCTTCAGCCCTGTATGGTCAGGTCTGTGCAAGAAGAACTCTTCCCAAAAGCCTTCCGAGAGCTCCTCATCCTCGTCGTCTTCCTGCACCATGCTGAGTAGGTGAATCTGGAGAGGGTACGACGCGACGGACCTTGAACAGTGTTTCGTACAGTTGAATGATCTTGGGCTGGAATGTTTCAGGTCGCGAGACCTGCGTGAGCGGCGAGGGCTCCATAGTCACGAACAGTAGGCTTGTGCGGCTTCTCAACTGGCAGGATGATGGTGTCGCGAGCTCGTTGTGCGCCGAAAATCGTGGCTCGGGCCGCTGAGCGTTCAACGCGGCGATGACATAACGTTCAGCCTCTCGCGTGCTACCGAACTCGGTATACCGAGAATCTGACGCGAGTATTCTTGAAACTAAGGAGTCTAAGCTCTGAGGCTTCCTCAAGCACGTTTTGCATTTCTTAGGTCGTCGCTGCCGGCTGCGATTGGAGGGCGGGGCAGCATCTTCGTCAAGGCTACGCTAGAGGCCACAACACTTTGCGACTAATACAAGCACGCCCCCATTTGTGCCATTACCACAATGGGCAAGCCCGTTGTCCTCCTGGGAATATCTGGCCCCTCCTCCTCCGGCAAAACAACCCTCTCCCGCCTCCTCCGCGACATCTTCCCTCGAAACCTCATCTTCGTCCTGCACCTCGACGACTTCTACCACACCGACGCCGACATCCCCATAAGAGACGGCATCCAAGACTGGGACTGCTTGGAATCGCTCAACCTACCTCAGTTGCACTCAGCACTCGCGTACATCAAACAGCACGGGCGATCACCACCGGACTTTGTCTCCAAAGAAGACGAGAATAGTGTGGGCGAGCATGGTGTCGACGAGAGGGAGATTGAGCGGTTGAAGAGGACTGTAAGGGAGACGGTGGAGAGGCAAGGATGGAGAGTGCCCATTTGCATAGTGGATGGGTTCCTGCTATTTTCGGAGGATATGAGGGAGATTAGGGAGCTGTTCGACGTGAGGTTGTTTTTGAGGACGAGCTATGAGACGACCAAGAGGCGCAGGGAGGCGAGGAGTGGCTATGTCACGCTCGAGGGGTTTTGGGAAGATCCGCCGGGGTATGTAGACAAGGTAGTGTGGCCGAACTACGTTCAGGACCACAGGTTCTTGTTTGAAGGTCAAAATGTGGAAGGAGAGCTGGACGAAAGGGTGTGTAGGAAAATTGGGATCGAGGGCATGCCGAAGGAGGCAGAAGAAAACATGGCGAAGTGTTTGGACTGGGCCGTGCGGGTATTGGAGGGGATTCTCGAACAAGGCCCAGGAAGCAGGGCGGACAGATAAAGAAACGGGATTAGGGGTTGAGGACCAGAAGCCTTGTATTGCTATACCCGCACCGATGCATGGAGATACCTGAGAATCATATGAAATGCCGGGAATTCCGTGCCATCGGACCCAAATGACCTGATCAAAGAGCCATCACCCGAGCACCATAGAGATAGAAACCCAGCTTAACTTACTTGTGCAAGGAACAATGGTACAAAGAGAGCTCCGAGAAGCAATGAGAAAGCACGCAATGACATCGGCTAGGTGCTGGACTTAACCTTGTCGATGTATGCCTGACCGGGGCTCTCGTAGATGGACGAGAAGAAGGCGGTGACCTGAGGTTCCTTGGCGAGCCATGTGGTCATCTGGCTAAGCTCTTCTCGAAGGCGGTTGACGGCTTGTGCGTCCATGTTGGTCTGCGCAATGAGCTCGGGCATGGAAACTGCAGAGAATTAGCATACTGCACACAGGAAGATAGGATCGCGGCGGCTAGCTGACCGAAGAGGCGGAGGAGATGCTCGCCACCGTAGATGTCGGCCAAAGTTTTGCCGGCGAGATCCGATGTCGCGTTCTCCATGTCAGTACAGATGTCGTAAAGCTGCTCACGCTCAAAGCGATACAGCAAGAGGCGCCCAAGGCTCTTATTGAAGTACTCCTTCAGGCCTTGGATGACCTCCTCGAGGATGTCAGTCTCGACGCTGTTGCGCATGCCTGGTGCCGCTGCGTATGCGAAGTACTCGTCCAAGATGACCCCAGCAGGCTTGCCGGATGGTAGTTGCACTAGTTGGAGGTTCTTGGTGATGTTCTCCCAGTCGTCGACCAAGAGGCTCTTCAGCCTGTCGGGCATGAAGATCCTAACCGCGCGGCGACTCTGGAAAGTCTCTTCCTGCGGGCAGAAAATTAGCAGCGGTGCCATTACAACTAATCCGGGAGTATGCAAGGCGCATCAAGATTGTTGAAATAACTTCGGGCAAGATACTCACCTTTTCAAGATCCTGATCCCGCATCCTCTTCTGGCCGCGGGGTCCGGCGGCGGAGACGGACATTTGTCGCTCTTCACTTCCTCGGGTCGAGCCTTGCGTCTTCTTCTTCGACGGAGGAGGCTGAGCCCTGGCAGCGCGTTGAGCGGCAAGCACCTCGTGCCTCAAGTTGTTGGCTAGCTCTCGATTCTCTTGAGTGAGCTTGCGGAGACGGTCCTCGGCAACCCAATCGTCCCAGCTGCGCAGCTTCAGCAAAGGTGGCGCGTCGTCGCCCGTCGTCGCAAGAAGTGCGCGGGCGAGATTGTATGAGCGTTGTGAGTGGGAAGTGGGGAGCACTGCTGAAGTGCAGATGGAGGAGCGGAAGACAGTGAGAGGGCAAACGTGACCGCGATTTATCGGCGACAGGCAACAGGCAAACAGAACAACAATCAGACGAGGAGTACTTACGTGTTCTTCCAGCCCTTGTAGTGGACTTTGTATTGGAAGCCACTCTTCCTGTCGTCGCCATCGCTAGGCTTGACCTCGATGACCTTGGCTTCATACAACAGCTCGTGATGGAAACATAGCGCCTTCTCGTCCTTTTTGAACTGAGGCTCAGGGACAGGGGCTGGAGCCATGGTGGTGGCGTGAGGTAAACGTGTAGAGGAAAAGCGGTGGGTGAGCAAGAAGGAAGTTTAGGCGTCGGGGGGGCCGACAGTTCACCTCCGGACCACGTATCGCGTGTTATCGCGCGCAAAATGAGGACAACAGGCTTATCCAAACGCTGCAAACGGTTCGATCTAATGCGTAGTTCTAGCAGTCGCAGATGGATCAGCCGGGCGAGGGTTCAGTATCTGATGTGTTCAAGAGGCTCTGAGTGTCCCAATGGGAGTTTTCTGAGCTCGGACCTGCACGCGACGACGCGACAGGCGCTCATCAGCCCTATGAATGCTCGCCCCCGTCAACACCCAACAACACTGGACTACCGATTGCGCGTGCCAACCCGAATCCCATTGCTCTGCGCGTCCGCCGCCGCCACCATGCCGTCGTATGAAGCGAAGCTGCTCACCGATTTCCTCATTGCGCCCGCGTCTTTGCGCGACTTCATGACGCTGCGCCAGTTCACCGACATCTTTCCTAAAGGCCACCGATCGAATCCCGCCATTAAGGAGCTATATCGAGAGCTATATACACTGCGAGAGAGGGACATCGAGGCTGTCCGCCAGGATATCGCAGACGAAGTCAAGAGATCGAAGCGGCTGAAGCGCGAGTATGCCAGAGAGAGGCGCCAGATGGACGACGCGAATGTAGCCGGCCTCAACCCAATTGCACTACAGATGGAGGAAGAGGTGCGTCACTATCTCTCGACTTCCCTAGCGTTCCCTTCGCTGACAATCGTGACAGCTCTCTAGCGACCGCCGCAAGAAACCGCACACGATACAAACTGTCCACCCGAGTATTGAAGAGGCATGCGAGAGCCTCAAGGCACAAATTACAGAGATGGAGGAGCAGAGCCACAACACTCTCGCAGAAATCCAGGAGGTCATCGGCGCGCTGAGTGATCTACGGCACGGCTGGTTCGCCCAGACAGCCAGCGGTGAAGATATCGGAGAAGAGGTGCTTGCTACCTTGAAGAGGTTGGAGGCCGTGTGCTTGGATCCAGCCAGCTGAAAGGCTTCAGAGCTCTCCAATTCTAGGTGGCATGTCTTGAGTCATGGTTCACCGATGGCTGCCCAATGGTAAAGCTCCCACTTTTTGTGTGGCTGTATATTTGACTTGAGGCTGATATTCCACAGATTATTTGTCGTTCTTACGGATATCCGTAGTAACCCATTGCTACCTCTCCACGCATCGGTGGCCTTCCCGGAGCTCAGACTGAAATTCGCGACGCTCCTGTCCAAACCGCTTGGCGAGAGCGAGGTCATTCTCATGCGAAAAGTTCAGTCCCGTGGCAGACTTTTTCCTGATAAGAAACACCAATAAGGGCACCTAGAAGGGTGCGACGGGGTTAGTAACCAAGTTCGCCTTGGAACACTACTAGGTCAGCAGCGCAGGAACATACCGACGTTGACTAGGCGCGATTTGGTCTACGCGCCCGAGGACGCATACATGTCCTTTGCGCCTAAGATTCGGGACCTGGTTCTTATTATCGGTCTTCAAACTTATGTAATCCTTCTCAAAGCGGTTGTTCCCGTCCCCTCATTCCACCAATGAGTGGGATTCCGGTCCGTATTCCGTCAATTCATCCAGCACGTCTTGGCACGAGACTTGCTCTTCCCTCCACTACTACGCACGCTCCGAGAACGACGATTTTCCAGTGCCAGCTGAATTCTTTGTCGCCAGCCTTTGCAGTACACCACGTTGAGGCCACTACTACCTTCCGCGTTCCAGGTCACTGCAGGTGACCGTGCGGTCTTTGCAGGCCTCTGTGATTGGTCAGATCGCCATGACAATTAATATATCTGAACAGCCTCAATATCGAGAGCATAGCGATCAGTCCTTAACCTCTGTTAGGAACGTCTGGCTATAGGTGTCCGTCTACACGTGGCCAGAAGGCCTGGACTACCCTTATATCATGGTGACCTTCTGGAAAAATAATGGAAACCATCCGTTGTTTTCGCAAAATCACCATGTACCTTCCGGGCATCCTTGCGTCGCTGGTATCGGTTGCCACCCTGACGACACTCGCGGCGGCTGACTTGAGGATTACCGCGGATCACCATTCGTTTGGTGGTGTCAATTTTCCTTCTCTTCAATTTCTAGAGCCCTCGTACAGGGATGAACTCATTCGAGCTGTCGTGAAGAGCAATGCTCGTGTTATTCGATTGTTCAGTAAGACCTGGAGAGCAAGGCTTCTTATTGATATTTGCGACTGACCGCATCACAGTTCGGGGGGACAATGACCATGGAGACGTATGCACAAGCACCTGTCAATCCTGGATCTTAAGCGCTGACATACCTCAGCCTGAGCCGGAACTAGGAACATTCGATCGCACTATGCTCGATCAAATCGACGATACCTTGGCAGCCATTCATCGAATCTCCAAAGGCATGTTGAAGCCATTGCGCATGCGCATCCTTTCTGACCCGCAATTCCAGGCCAAGTCAAAGTCATCATCGCACCACATGACGCACACGCGCTTCGTAGCTCGAACGACGTGCCATGCGATGCCTACTGCAAGAAGCTCGACGGTGCTTTTCTAGATTTCTACAGCAGCGAAGACTGTACGTTTGACTGCGCGAAATGATCTCGCTTAAGATGCTGATTCTAAACAGTCCGGAAGCTCTACAAGACCCGCCTGGAGGTCTTCTTCAAACATTATCCGTCCAAGAACTTCGACGGAAAGACATGGGCCCAGCTAAACGAAGTTATCTTGGTTGGTCACTACTTCATCCCCGTAACCATGCCCAAGCTGACTCCACGCAGGGGGTTGACCTCCAGAACGAGCCATGGTCCGGCATCTGGCCAATTGTCGCCGGAGAGTCCTGGATTTGTGACATAGCAACTCACCTCAAAGACACGCTGGGGCTTGGCGAGAGCAACATTGCTGTCATCACGGGCGGTATTTCCGGAGCTCAAACACCGGATGGCATCCAAAACTTCCCAGACTCCGCATTCGAATGTCCAGCTGTCGATGTCATTGGCATTCACGGTTACTTTGCTGAAGGAAACGGCTTAACAGCCGGGACTCCATGGGCGAATCTCTTCCTTCCTAGCAACACGCTGACCGCTCGCTCATTGGATAAAAAGCTCCTTCTGGTCGAAGAGTGGGCGTACGTGCATACCGATCGTGGCCACCACTACAAGAAGAAAGCCATTTTTGATCAAGGAAATGCTCTCAACTACCGCGGTATTCCTTGGGTATGTGGTCCAATTTCTTGCTCACACACCTTCTAACCCCGAATAGCTGTATTCGCACGCCTCGTTCCGCGACGAAGGCACAACCGCTAGAGTCAACCTTCTCCGCGGACAAAACTTCGCCGTTGGTGCCCTAACAGACGTTCTCAACCGCGCCTACAAAGCTCGCAACAACTTTGACTGGTCCAGGTATCTCCCGGCACCACCAACAGGCCTCACCAATCTCACCGTTCTCCCCCTCAACCCATACATCCCGCAGCAAAGCGAATGCGTCTTTGGCTGCGAAGGCCATCTCTGCGATGCACCTGATGGCTGCCAGCCCTCCCTCATCTGCAAAAACAGCGTCTGCCAAAGCGCCCCCGAGACGCAACCGGGCAAAATCGACGACGAATGCAACAGCAAACAAGTCTGCCAGGAGCACCTCACCTGCGCCGACGGCCTTTGCCAAGCATGCGAGAACCGGCCCACCATCCAACCCGAAGACTACCCGCGCCAGTTCACCGTCTACAACGACCCCGACGGCCAATGCGCCCTAGACAAAGACCGCCCCTTCCGCATGCGCCCCGTCTGCTCCCTCCCACCACCGCAAACCTCCCCTTCCCGCCGCGGCAACCCCTGCCAGAACGCCGCGCACTGCGACGCAAACGAGTACTGCGACTGGGGCTTCTGCCGCCTCTGCACAGAAGGCTGTCTCGGCATGACGTGCCGCAGCAGCAACAAGTGCAAGACGGGCTACTGCAACACGCACGGCCGCTGTGACTACCCCGGCAAGCCGAAGGTCCAGTTCGGGCCGGGCGCAAGAGCATCCACGAGGGATCGGAAGGGGCCGGGGTGGAATGCGGGCCCGCGGGGTATGGAGAGGGGCCCGAATAAGGTGCGCGATGAGGCGTTGAGGATTAATATTCCGAAGGAGAGTGTGAGAGCCACCGGTGGTCCTGCTGCTGCCGCGGCCGCGACGGGCATGTCGTGAGTGTGAATCGTGTAGATGGAAATCGTTAGCGCGTGTATCATATAGAACCCTCCCAAACAGCTCATAGGCGTCCATGGAAGCTATCTCGCGAATCTGAAGTTGCACACTTACTAGCGTTACCACACCCTCCAGGGCTGTGAGAGAGGCACGTCGCGTGGTTGCTTCAAATGCACGAACAGGTAAGCATTCGAGTCGCGTTCAACGGTCGTCTAGCATCTCGCCTCCCGGGCCTTAGCAGTCGTGCTATACACGCTTCCCTAGCAGTCCATTGGCCACGCTCCAAATAACCTTCACATACACACGCGACACAACCTTGGAAACGCACACGCAAACACTCCTTTGCAAATTTCCCACCCCCCCAGGGCTAACATACACTACCTACCTACCCAAGCCCGGTCGGTGAAGTCCTCCAAGGAGCAAAGCAGCAATTTCCCCAGATTACCGTAGGTATTCCTCGGAGCCGCGCACTCGCACGCGCAGCATCGACACCAAACCCTCTCCAAAAACCCCCAGCCACATAATTGGCCCTTCCAAAAATACCCTCCACTCATGCAGGACCACCTGCATCACACTGACGCTCTACCTCGCATTCCAACCACTCACAGCAGCCCGGCACTTTCCAAACGAACAGCACCAAGATCCAGAATCTCATCTGCAGACGCAGCCGCAAGCCGCAAGGCAGTGGCGACATGTGGCGGTGCTCTCGCTTGCTCGAAGCGACACGTTCCGACACGACACCGACGGAGCCGCACCAACCAGCACGCGTAGCAAGACCAGGATTGCAAAAATGCCATGGTGCGATTCGACAGATTGCGATGCTGACGTGTGGCTGGAGAGGGGCAAAGGCAGGAAAAGCGGCAGAATGCCATGTTGGAAGCGGGACCCTGATCGGCGGGGGATCGGCTGCAGAAGTTGCCGGATGGGGGCTGGAGGGCCGGTGGGCTGTGGTGGATTGTGGCCACAGGATCGTCGGTGGAGCGTGTGTGGTCCTGGGTCCTGGGCATGGCTGCTGTTAAAAGTGCGCGGTTGTGGCCACCCCGTTGCGAAGGGATTGCGAAATCACGCAGACATGGCTTCATAGCGCGAAAACGAATTCTTTGAAGCTTCACGCTCATACATTTGCTCGTTTCTTTGGTTTTTGGATACCATCACACTCGCTTCGAATTGGGGAGATATGCGTTCGTTAATTGGGCTGGTCGTTGTAGGGGGAGGTGTGTTTGGAGGAGTGGTTAGGAGTGCGGTGTTGAGAGCGCCGCCTCCAGAGCCGGTCGTTACGCCGGCGCCAGATGTCGAAGTGTTGGCGAAGAGACAGGATCCCGACGCGTGAGTCCTCCCCAACCTGCTACTCTCCTTCATGTATCCATTGTACTAACATTGCACAGTGTCTCTCTCGCCCAAGTGCTCCTCACCGCGATCCCGGCCTCTCTCCGCGAAATCGCCGCGACAAACATCCCCGCCGTGTCGAGCATTCTTTGGGAAGAGTTCCTCGATGATAACAAGCCGGAATGGTTCTTGGAGTTGCCAACGGACATCCAGAACTATTTGATACGCCGATTTGGGCCGAGGACTGCGTGGCCGACAGAAGCTCCAGCGAGTTCCGGAGTAGATGCGACGGCGAGTGGTTCTGCGCCTGCATCAGCGACCGATACGGATGTGCCGTGGCAGACGAGCCTTGCTGAGCCTTCAGGGACGAGTGGGGGTGCTTCGCAAACGGATACTGATGCGACGGAGAGTACTCAAACCCCAGAATCCACAGCCTCCAGCGATTTGTCAAGCTTGGCTACCTCCGCCGTGAGGATCTCGACTGCTTCTACTGGGAAGCCGACTTTGTTGCCGACCGGATCGCTCACAGATTCGCCCACCTCATCATCCACATCCGACCCCGACTCCCCACCAGCCAGCGATTCGGGTCTATCGAAAGGTCGAAAGATCGGGATTGGCGTCGGTGTACCACTCGCTATCCTCGGAGCCGCCGCCCTTGCTTTTGGTTGCTGTTTCTTCCTCCGCCGCCGTCGCAGGAAGAACGTCGATGGTTCTCTTCCACCTTCGTCTCCCGGCTTCATCCCTCGCTTCGCATTCCAGGACAGGTCGGCCGAGCACTTGGAGCACCGGACCCCGCTGAACCGCGACATTAACCACTCCACGCAGGATCTAGGTCACATGAACTGGGACGACGACGTAATCGAGCCGGCTGAACCTGCGCCGATGCACAATCCACCTCCGGTGATGACCATGCACGATCCGAAGCCGATAATGGCGCCCGCGCTGTTCCATACCCATAGTTCGAACCGTGCAAGGGGCAGGCGGACGAGCTATACGAGTTTGCACTCGGTAGCGGAGGTCACAGAACCAGATGAGGAGTCGCCTGTTCTAGGACGAGATGTATCACCACCGAAGCAGAGTCCCGGACGAAACCTCATCCCCACTCCACCGATACCCGCGGCGGCGCAGATAAAGCGGAAGCCGGTCGCCACGAGCCCGCCGATGCCGTCGAGCCCAGCAGCAGTGGAAGCGTCACGTACCCTCCTGCGACAGACGATGCCTGACCACAGCGGAAGCAGTTCGAGCGGACTGGCATTGACCAGCTCGAGCGGCTTCAACAGCAGTTCGTCTGGGCTCGGACTCCAAACTGACGCCGCATCCCCTGTCTCGCCAGTCTCGAACCGTGCGCCAAGCAATCCGTTCAACTACGATGCGTACGTCGAAGACTATGGCCCGGAATATCACCACGGATATGTTGACGTCGAAGATGGTCTATATGGAGGCCACACCAGCTTATCACGATATCCCGAACCACGAAGGAAGAGCTCGAAGACGGAATGGCCGCTCCGAAATATCGTTGGATCGCATCATCGGCGGAAGTCAAGCCCGCTGTGGGATCGCATATATGAGGAATGAGGAATGATGGATGTATTTAAGCGTGTTGATACCTCGGACACCGTTTTACGATTTAATTTCCTTTGTCGTACACGATACCACACAGCATTGGGAACTTGGCGTTCATGAACGTTGACGATACACATTCCTTGTAAGTATTTTTGGGTTCGAGACGATACACAGCGCCTGATGCGCATATTTGTTAGTATTAGGCATGAATGATGGAGGGTTGGTGTCGCCTACACCTCAACGGCATAGCCGACCAGATAGGCAGGTCGAGAAGAAATACGAATAATACGCACTTCACAAGCTTCATTCCGTCTTCAGCACACCGCTCAGGATGCTTCCCAGGAAGCCGCGCACCCGCTTGGGGCTTTCTTGCGCCGTCGTCAGCACGATAGCGGCGCTTAGGGCGAATGCTAGCTGCTCTTTCCATCGATGCTCCGGAAGGTATCGGCGAGGGAACCAGGTTGCTGCAGCCCTCGGGAGGACAAAGAAAAGGATCTCCAGGCGTTTGCGCGACGTCTCAATGAGGATGCTAGAGCCGCAAAGCAGACAGCCGCCCAAGACACAGAGCCCACCATCCCACATCTGAGGGGTCACAGTCTTGGACGAGAATAGCTTCGGGCCGAGGCGCGTTCGGGAAAGACACACGCCATAATAGAAGAAGGCGATGAAGGCTCCAAGGAAGGCAGAGCTTCTTGCCATGTCCTCGACGGCCTTCAATAGGTCAGTTCGGGTCAGTCCGGCAAGCCTCTTGCCGGGCCGGGCATTTCGTTTCATGTTCCTTGCCAAGACTATGACCTGCAACGGAGCATACATCTTGGCCGCGAATGTCCAACCCTTCAGAAAGCGCACGAGGGCATGCTTCTCACAGCTCTTGCCATAGCCCATGTGAACGAGCTCGCACGGAATGGGGATAGTCTTTGCGGGGTCCCCGAGATCTTCCGGGAGGCCGTAATCGTGGCACATGGAACCGAGGAGCGGCGCCATTCCCGTATCCTTCCCGTAGATCCACGTACCATACCGAATGTGCCGAAGCGCGAGCAGAAGGCGGTGATCAAGCTCCGCTGCTGCGGAGATCCAGGTGTTGTAGCTGTGGGGAAGTCTGCTGGGGCTGTAGAACCAAGCATGCATTATGGATGCTGCAGAGAAGAAGAACAACAGCGGGGTTGCTGATTTAGAGGCCTTTTGTATGCGTGATGAGGGCTTTAAAGGCAGACGATCCCACGCTCCGCTGATGATAATGTCTAGGGCTCGGATAACGGCGAAAATTGTGAGGTCTATCGTCTTTCCTGCAAGGTCGGCCCTTGACAGAGATCTCGCGTTAAGCGTGGCATTGTCGATTTCTTTCGAATTGATTTCGGGTGGTTCATCAAATGGGCCCGGCTTGATGACTTCGAGGTGGCTCAGGGGCTGCACTGGCTGGCTCTTGGTTGATGGGACCTTTGATGGTGTGCTGTTGAGCAAACTGAAGGATACGGATGCCGATACTAGCGCGGCTATGAATCTTGCGAATAGACCAGCGAGTCTGGCTTGATTGGGTCCTATAGCAGATCGGAAGAAAAGAAGTGTCCTGACTATCAAGAGCTTGAAAGGCACTTGGAGCAGAGTCGATCCGCCCACAAGGGTCGCGCAGAAGGTGGGAAAGCGGTGGAATGACAGAGCCTGTCGAAAGATGCGGTTGAACTATTCATCAAAGGTCAGCTAAGCATACTCTCAACGATCGGACGCATATTCCGGCGATGAGAGCAGATGCATCAGGGGTTCAGGCGTCCGTTGAGACACGTAGATTTGCTCTTGGAGAATGAAGCCAACTGGCTACAACATAGTACATGCTTCCTTCAAGGGATGCATGCGAGCGATGTTCCAAAGTCCGGCAATGTTGCTAGTAGCCTACATCTTCTCCACAAACGAAGGAATGAGGCACTTTTCTATGGCTGCCGCAGTAGATATAAAACGAGTCTATACCTCGCCGAACGATGAAGGAAGCTCCAAGTGAACAATCACTCACTCGGATACATGCTGCTCGAAGGCTCAACTTTCTCTTGCCCAATAAGAGAAGAACTTTGATCAATCGTGGGCTAGTACTCGAGATCAAACCGAGAACGTATGCAACAGCGAGTCTATAGGCAATACGTTAGCATTGGATGTCTCTCTCCATGGGCGCCTCCAGGGTAGGGCGAAGGTCACTTACGGTCTAGCAAGCTGCAGGTGCGCCACTCCTCTGCGGTGTTTCGTCATGCTGCATGAAGCAATATATGGCTGGAAAGAACCTTCAGGGATACGAGAACTTGCACCAAGTCATCTGATGAGGGAAGCAAGGCGTTAGCGTCGTCTGGAACTCATGCCGAGGTTGAGCAGATCTGCTTGCAAAGGCGTTTGGAGGGGAAGCTTCGGCGGGTTCGGTGCGGATTGGAGGCTGAAGGGAATCAAGGTTCAAGGATGGACGGCGGGCCTGTCAGCGGCGCACGGAGGAGTTCCCTTTCTCGACGTGGCGGTAATGCTGAGCGAAAGGGGAGGGCGGCCGTGCCGAGCCTGGGCCAAACGCTGCAATCCGGCGAGGCCAACAGCTGCGCGCGCCAGGCCAACTGGGTGCAACGAATCGTGGTTTCGAGGGCAGCAAAGGCGCGTGAGCTGGGTGAGGTTGAAATAGAATTTGTGGAGTGAAGGTTGACGCGGTATGGGGTAGGGGCTTGGCAGTGACGCCACAGCCCTGGCCGGAAGCGGCTAGCGTGCGCTCGGCACGTGTCGGCCTGGCCGGGGGCGGTCAAAGGCCTTTGGATTGGCATGTGATGGCGGCAGCTCTTCTCAACAGGAACGACCTCAGCGTGTGGGCATGCGCGACTTCCTCAGCTCCCTCGCCGCTGCCTCTACGAGAACTCGACCCCGCCGCTCCACTGCGACGCCTCTGTTTACAGCACGCCGCCCCCCGCCCGCCCTCGGTCCCGTCCCAACGTCGCCCGCGCCGCCCGACAGCTCCACCGCATCCCCCAGCCCGCCTGTACGCGCTCCGTGTGCGCATCATCGCGCGATTGCCAACAGCCCAGACCGCCGCCCTCCCGCTGCCTCTACGCGCCCCGCTATCGCTATCGCCAGCAGTACTGTGGAAGCCCGGTCCTGTGCCGGACGATGCGGAGAGCGAGGCGTTGTCTGCTGAGGAACCACCACGACAGCGCCTTCACATTCTGACAAGCTGGAGACTCTCGGGCTACAGTCGCTCGCGGGGTTGGTGGGAGCTTCGGCCAAGCGCCTCTCGCGTTCAGCCATGGAGGACAAGGACCCGTCGCCGTTTGGCTGTGCGTGTCTCTTCCCACCGTGTTGTGCTCCTCTGACTGTGTCCAGATACCTTTTCCGGCGACTTCTTCGGCGGTTCTCCAACGGGCCTCGACAATGGCGGGCCCTCGCTTCTGAGTGAGATGGAGAGCCAGTCGCTCACAGACTTCTTTTCGCACACGGATCCCTGGCTGTCCGGCCCAGCAGCCTTCCCCCCCGCCACCGAAACGAAAGAGTCACTCGACAACTTCAACAACAGCTGGGGCTTCGTCCCTCCCCCCACGATACACCGCGTCTCCACCACCATACCAGATCAAGCCCACCTCCATAACTTCCACCCCGAGCACAGTTACGCCCCGATTCCACACTCGACTAGCCATCTCTCGAGCACGGCAGACGATCTGCAAGCCGCATCGACGTTGTTCTCCAACGCGCAGGCACCGCAGCAGCATCTTGGAAGGGCATACAGCTATCATGACGTGCCCTCGTCAAGCGCGAACCCAAGCAGTCTGCCCACGACTGGCTTTCACAGTCTGCCCATGATACCCACATCGCACGGCTTGATGAACGAGCAACTTGCGGCCTTGCTGCCGAACCACGATGAAGACGGCTCGATAGACGCCCAGCTCGCCGCTCAGTTTGTATCTAGTGACGCACAACATCGCCATAATGCGAATTTGCGAGAACTCGGAATCCAGCGGGCGCCGCTTAAAAGGTCGTACACGTACGGGACGGACAGTGCATTTGACGAGTCAGGTTTCAAAGTGTCCTCGCCCACAGAAACCGAGGAGCACGTAACCCGGCGACTACTCTCAGATCTAGCTCACGCGCAGTCGCTCGCCGAGCAGGCTGCCATCGCACGCGACGAAGCGAAATCCGGGAAGACAAGCAGCCAGAATGACTTTCCCGCCGGCCTGGTTGACATACCGAGTGACGAGGACGGACAATCTGAAGAGGTGACCTCTGATGAGGAGGAAGACGACGATAGGCCAGCCAAGAAGAGGCGGAAGAGCAAGATCGCTTCGGCTACCAAAAACGGGAGGGCGAGCGGCGGCAAGAGCGTCTCAGGTGCAAAATCCGGCAAGAACCGCAAAGCATCCATGGACGATCAGCCTGGCAAGAAGAAAAGGGGTTCAACGGCCGCCCAGAAGCCTCAGCGGGAGAACCTCACTGAGGAACAAAAGCGCAGCAACCATATTCTTTCAGAGCAAAAGCGGCGAAATCTCATCAAGCGCGGGTTTGACGACCTACACGAACTCGTTCCAGAACTCAAGAATGGTAGCTTGAGTAAGAGCAATGTGTTGATGGAGGCGGCCAATTTTCTGGAAGCCTTGATCGTCGACAACAAGAAATATATCCAAATGAGTGGAGGAGAGGATGGCTGAGCGGATCTGCCGGGAGGATGCAGTCACGTATCAGACTCTCAGTTGCCATGAAAACCCACGGTCTTCGGCGAATTGTCCAGTTGTGAGGGTGGACACTACCTTCAAGGTTGCTTCAGGTCTATCCGGCAACCAACACTGCCTCTCTTGCCTAGGCCGAGTCGGCTAGAGCCGGAACCGCGCTAGCCCGAGGATACCTCAATGAAGGTTCTTCGACAGGCCAACATCAAGCCTTCGGGTATATTAGTTATGGGAAGTACGGTGTACAGGGTATTCTACATGGTTGATGAGTTCGATGCGTGGGGTTTTGAAGTGGAGACAGATGGAGACAGATGTTAGCGGGCTAAGGTGAGTGTTGGTATTGTTATGTTTCCGAGCTCCCAGTGTGCAATGCTAGATACCCAAGAACAAAAATGCAGATTCAAGCCTGGTGCGCATCCATTCACGTGAACCGGTTCTGGCCCGTGCGCCCTCGCGACGTGTCAACCCTCCCAACCTCAACACCTCAAGCTCCGCAGCTTTCAAACAGCGTAGTATTTCTCAGCACTGCAGGTGGCAATACCGCTAGGTATAGTATGTATTCCCGGAACGGAACATCTACCCTGTTCGGCTACCATTCACAGTGCCGAGTATTACAGATCTATGCTTGCGGAATCGCGGCTCTATCCACTTCCTCCCCTCGCCTTTCACATCTCATCTAGGACGTATATTGCGGACAAACGAGTCCCATGATATCCAAAAGCTTATTCCCAGGTACCCCCAGCTTCCCATCGGCGTGCTTGTGGGGAGACTAACCTGGGGTCGGCTAAACGGCTTCAAGTCTTAATCTACCTCAATCTTCCTCTTCTCTGCGCCACGCTTCCAATTCTGTCTCTCTCAGATTCGAGAAGCAATCAATTCCTCATCTTTCAGATTGCCCGCCGGACACTAGGCGACAAATCGGTGCGGGGGACGGCAGGCGCCTGGGACTGGACCAGTCCAATGTGGGGAGATGCGCACTCTATTCGCACCTAGAGATAGTATGGAGTCGGCCATTCACAGACACGCGATCTCTAAAAGGAAAGAGAAATAGTAGCAGACGCAAAAAGAGATTCCTTTCAGCCGCCCAGCCGATCCGTCCCACAATGCCGCTGTATAAAAGAACAGCTCCCGATCCCTCCACGTTCCCAAGCCCAGGTACCATCAAGGCCAAGCCTAAGATCTTCGTTCCTCATCCAGAATGCGCGTCCTCTCTCTTCTCGCGAGCTGCCTCTCGGTAGTCTCGGCCGCCTCGCTGGCAAAGCGCGCCCCGACTCCAGGCTCCCTCAGCCAGGTCACCTCCTTCGGCAAGGCGCCCACAAACGCCGGCTTCTACATCTACGTCCCCAAGCAGCTCGCAGCCTCCCCGGGCATCGTCGTTGCGATCCACTACTGCACCGGCTCCGCGTCGGCATACTTCAATGGCAGCCCGTACAAGACGCTCGCCGAGCAGTACGGCTTCATTGGCATCTACCCGAGCTCGCCGCACTCCGGCACGTGCTGGGACGTCAGCAGCAAGGCGACGCTTACCCATGAGGGAGGCGGAGACTCGAACACCATTGCGCAGATGGTCCGGTGGACTATCGATCAGTACAAGGCGGATACCAGCAAGGTTTTCGTGACCGGCTCTTCCTCTGGTGCTATGATGACGGTTAGTTTCCCCTGACCACATGCTAGGGTCTCCGTGCGGTGCTAATTCAGCGCAGAACGTCATGGCCGCCACCTACCCCGACCTCTTCAAAGCCGGCATTGCGTACTCGGGCGTGCCAGCAGGCTGCTTCATGTCGGCGGCCGGCGGCGTCGACGCCTGGAACAACAGCTGCGCGAACGGGCAATCGACGGCGACGCCGCAGAAATGGGCCCAAGTCGTGCTCGACATGTGCGTTGCCCTTCCCCTCTCTTCCCATTCAATCTCCATCCATATCTCATATCCTAACTTCCACCCCAGGTACCCCGGCTACAACGGCACGCGGCCTAAGATGCAGATCTACCACGGCTCGTCCGACGGCACGCTGCGCCCGCAGAACTACCAGGAGACGATGAAGCAGTGGGCCGGCGTGTTCGGCTACAACTACGACAAGCCCGAGAGCACGAAGTCGAATGATCCGCAGAGCGGGTATACGCGCACCGTGTATGGACCCATGGTGGAGGGGATTTATGCGCAGGGCGTCGGGCATACGGTGCCGATTCGGGGCGCGGATGATATGAAGTACTTTGGTTTTGCGTAGGGTGGGAGGAAAGGGGGAGAGACATTGAGAAAGGGGTGCGGTTGGTGATGTTGTACACTGTATATAGTGAATGAAAGACGTGAAACTTGACTGGGTGAGAATTCCTCTAGAGTGCTGGGCGTGTAGCCAAGTCCTTCCCTTCTGCGCGAGTCGTTTTCCCCAGCATCACAGATGTCGATTGTGAAGAGTGACAAGGGAGTGGTGGATACCCGATATATCCGGATTCTTTTGTAGGTCCTGATAGTGTCTTCAGTACCGAAGACGTTGTGGTGAAGCCAGGCGAAGACGCCAATTTTGATAGACGTCATTCGGTGTGGGGTCCAAGAAGCGAGGTTGGTCGTGTTAGAAGAGAGAAAGTGTCTCATGGTAACATTCGCCTACAATGCCTTAACTAACACAAAAGTTAGATCTAGACGATCACTGCTTGGGCGCTTGAAGTTGTGCGGAGGACTCCAGCTGCAGCCATGCACGGACCAATGCTGACCCCGCCCAAGGCTGCGGTTGCCTAAGAACACCACTCTCTTCGGCCTTCCATCTGATCTCTAGCACTGATAAATATCTCTTATTCCGTACTGGCGTTATCTTCATTGCGTCCATAGACACTGGAATTCCCCCTGTTTTCCTTACACTTCTAAGGCTGCGACTACTTGTATTCGTCCCGATCGTTATCAACGACTTCCACCCATAGTTGCATATAATTCGCCTCTTAGCAATCCTGTTTCTTCTGCAGAGCTCGTCTGGCATCGCTATTAACATCTCTCCCAAGACTCACTCTTGAATACTTCCATCTCGACCCTCATCGACGGATCCATGCCAGGAGTCAGTTCATCATCACCACATGACTCCAATAAGGAACTGGCGGAAGTCATAACCAACCTGGCAACCGCCATACGAGGCTTTCGGATCGACTTAGACACGGGCCGACGAAACACATGTCTTCTCCCGGCTGAACCCGCAGGACGGTCGCAGAACGACGGGCTGGTGGTATTGAAACCCGCTTCCGTGCAAGAGGAAACTAGAACCCAGCTTGCAGACCTTGAGGCGCGGCTTAGCGGCTTTGAAAAACAGCTTTGTGAGCGAGGACAGTGGCATCAACCGAATGCTACAAGGACAGAACAAGATACAACCTCGAAGAGCAGTCGCGAAACGCACGACCCAGCCCCAGCGATTTATGACCTTGAAGACCTGGAACACGCCGTATCCCTCATCGAGAAAGCCATTTCCCCACCCAAAACGACCCCAACCGCGTACCACTCCTTCGCCCACCTCAAATGGGAATGGGACGCCGCCTGGAACGAATTCTACGCCGCTCTCCCCTCTGGTAACTACATCTTCCTCGCGCTGTGGAGGTTTAGCTCGCTCATGAACGAGTGGTATCACTGCGGTCAGTCGCACAGAAGCGACCTGCAGCCCGAGGAAGTGAGCGAGTTGCTGGGCTGCTGGGACGATTGGGAGTGGGATGATGTGTGGAAACAGTGGTATCTTGCTATGCCGGGGGAGGAGGGAGAAGTGTGCCGCGTGTATGCGGATACGTGGACGCGGGGCGAGTGGGGTGGGTGGACGTTCGTGGATCAGAGGGTCGCTGTGGAAGAGCCGGTATGAGGGAGTGTGGCGTACTTGGCGGGAAGAGGCTGGATATTGGAGGGTCTGGATAGCGTTGTCATGTCCCTATGCCGCCCGGAAGGAAAGAGGTGGACGCATGGGCACGAGGGGTTTTAGGTGACTAGGGTCCATGTTGGAGATGACAGAAAGATGGACGCGCATACCCAGGAGGTAGCCACACCTTTCGGCTACTTTCGACTCCTTTCGACTCTTGACGAACCGGGCGCCCTCTATTGACAAGCGGGACAAGCACCCTCAGAAATCTCGGGAGGAGATCAAAACCCAGGGCGCCCACGCGCCATCACGAGGCCCTGCGTCTACATGAAACACATACCAGCAACGCCCCACGCCCAATTCGAGCACACGAGCGCCGCCATTGACGCGGCAAATTGCGCAATTTACCCACGGGATCCCGTGCTGTACCGCCGCCTCACCGACGGGAGAGCCAGCCATACTGTTCAGAAACCGTCACAGCAGTGTAGAAAACAAAGAGCATCAAAAACTAGAAGGCAGGACTTCGAACACAGAAACTTCCAGATGGGGTATATACACAACATCGTGGACCTCTCATTACTAACCCCCAAGCTCAATACATACAGCAAATACCACAAATCAAGTGGCCCACAAAGTCAGCCGCCGAATCCCCCAAGACCTCAAAATCCTCCATCCCGCCGCAGGAGACTTCAGACCCCAGGCATTGCTGCTTCAATCCACTACCTACTCAGCAGCTTCCCACTTACAAGAAGAAAGCCGCCAGCGCACCAACACCAGCAACAAACCCACCGACCTTGGCGTGGCTAGCCGCGCCCGTGAACTCCGGCGGCGCAGTCGTGTACGAGCCGGTCGGCGCAGCAGTGCCGGACGGGACGGGCGTGACCGGGTACCCAGTGCCGGACGGCACGACAGAGGGGTACGGCGCGTTGCTGGTTGGGTACGGCGGGAGCGAAGGAGCAGCGCTGCCGGGCGCGGAGGGCGTGTGCACGCCGCCGGCGGGGACGGTCACGGTCTCGGTGACGGTGACGATGGTGGAGGAGCAGACCTCGTCTATGGCATTCGTTAGCGATGAGAAAAGGGGAACGACAAGGAGGGGAGAAGGTGCGTACCGTAGGTGCCAGCAGCGACGGCGGCGATGAGGGTAGCGACAATGGCGAAGAACTTCATTGTGACGGTTGGTTGTTGGGAGGTTGAAAAGATGGTGTGGTATTAAGAGTGAATGTAGAGCGTTGGCTGGATAGCTTGGAATGAAAAGTCTCAAAAGAGTGTGGGTGAGGTCGTTAAGTCTCGAAAAGAGTGGCTACAGTAAGAGGTACTGTGGGAATTATTGTAGATGTTTCGATCGTGGAGGATGAAGGAGGGAAGAAAGAAGCCAGATGTGAGGCGAGGACGAGGCTGTTTATATGTAAACCCGTGGCTACGGGATGAGGAGGAGCACAGAGCACCTACTGTTAGATGAAGAGCCGCTGCTTCATTTGCTGCATTCACATTTGTTGATCCCGAGCGGAATAATCGAGATTGCACAACGAACGGGACAGAGAGCAGCGAGCCCGAACGAACCCACATGCCCCGTTCACCATCCAACGATACCGGAAATTATCCCTTCAAGGTGATCTTCCCGTTCGTACGCGCTCTACCCTCGTACGCCGCACCTAACATCCCCATTGGCCACGTCAGCCTCACCGTCAGTCCAACAAACAAGCTCCCCAGTACTCACACTGCGCGCCTTGTGCTCACTTGTGCAAGTCACCGCAGGGTCCACGAAATAGATTAACTTGCCAAACGTTCTTACAAGGTGTGCTCAGGCCCGTGCAATTTGATAGGCGGCAGACCCGCTAAAGAACGCGAATTGTGCTGGGTCCCTGCGTCTCAATCCCCTGGCGCTAAACTCGGCAAGGCATAGCCGCACGTGACGATCGCGCTGTTTCGAAACAAATGGAGCAATTGGGCCGCGCATCGGTGGAGACGCAGGGCGGCCGTTTGGTTGTGAGAGGTGACCGCTCGGCGGCACACGTCATGGTTTGAGGGAGATTTGCCGTGGTTAGGCGGCTTGCGAGATTGCGAAATCTCGCTGCGTGGACCCTTGTGCATCGGTGAGGCAAGCCCTTGTCACAGGACACAGCCTCTTGCTGCTCTCCCCAAGGTGTGTCATTTCGCAATCCAAGAGTCTGTGATGCATATCCACAGTCAGCGCCGCGGACATTTCTCACGATCGGGCGGGAGGGAGTGGTGACACAACGGGTCCGTATTCGCTAATCTAAGGGCCGAAGCCACAAGACGGGGTATTGGTAAGAGATCCGAGTTAGAAGACAGCTGGGCCATGGCATCAAATCCGGTCATAACGCGGGACAGGCGTGCTGGCTGCTTTTCCCGTACGATTGATGCAAAGCAAGAGCCTAAATTGACACCTCCAAACGCCAAAGAGTGCACCGGTGCATCCCGCTCTTTAAGTGCATCCCAGGAGAAGTCCTCACTTCACACGACTCATAATCGTCTCCACGGCGCCCGGTTGGATACTGACCTCCGCAGCCTTTGCCTTCACCGCGTTCAACATGCTCCGCTCAAAGTCGTCTCTAGCTCGGAGGACCGCTTCTACCCATCCAATGTGTACGTCCCAATAGGCGTATTTGAACTTCTCGTACACGAATGGGACATTCGCCTTGTCCGCCGTAAGAAGCGAAAGGAATGACTGGACGACCCGCCACTGATCCTTGATCTCAACACCAACGTCATACCGACTGAAGAACTCGAAAACGGTAAGGAGATCATCCTTGATCTTGTCTGCGAAGGGATCGGAGCGCTTAAACTTCGCACCCTTGTTGCGAACAGCTGAGAGGTAGTGTATCAGTAGTTCATCCGAAAGCTGAATAACGAGCAGGTCCCGTAGTGATTGGTGCACTGCTGGTATGTAGTCGTTTAGGTAGTCGGAGAAAGTGGTGGTAATAGAAGACATGGTCTTCTGGCTGTACCAATTCGCCGTGAAAAGGTCCGTGAGAATGGGGCGGAAGTCGGTATAGAAGATGATTTGGCACCAGATCTGGACGCATTTGGTTGCCAGATCGACATAGGCGCTTTTCAGGGTATCGAGCTGCGTGGTCATGGTAGGAATATACGTCTGAGACATGAGCGGGGTGACATCGCGTTCAAAAGAGCCAAGGAATGAAGTTTGGCCATCCGCATCAGACTCGTCAATGCATATGATCTGGTCGTTGGCGATGGAGATGAGCCAGTCTTGGAAGGGTGAGGCGCCTTCTGGAGAAGAGCCGGGGGCGGCATATCTTGCTCTCTCAGTCTCTATCATAGTTTCCCACATACGTTGGCGGGATGCGAGAGCCCGGAACATGGATTCTACGACCCCTTCGGCGACGTCTGTACGATCGCTGCTTGCGGCGACGGAGATTTGCTGGGCCAACATGGTCCACATGTCACCCAGCGTATTTGTTTGAAAGTAACCGTCGGCGTTCTGGGTGAGCGCGCTCTCGTCTCGGTCGGCAAACTGTCTCCTGTCTGTGGCGGCCATGTTGTCCATCCATTGCACGACAGCGTCAATTATGATCTGTCGGTAGGTGCGAACAAGCTCTGGCACGCGGTTGTCGACCACATGCGGCTGTAATTCTTCTTCGGCGACCTGCAGTTTCTGCATTTTCGCGTAGTACTTATCAACCCAGTTGATGATGGCGAGCAAGTACGGAGGGCCTAAGCCTTGGTCGTCGGCGAGTGTAACTAGCCAATCGTGCATGTGTTTGTGGTAAATGTCGCAATAAGTCTTGAATATCTTCCACTTCTTCGGCATGAGGGCTTGCATGCCAAGCTTGACCGTGTTCAAGTTATTGAAGTACCACTTGAAGCTTTTCTCCAATTTGTCTGGATCTTCGATGAACTTCTCGTTGGTCTCCTCGAAGCTGGCTTTGCAGACAAATTCAATGGACTTGATAAACTTTTCCTTGTATCCGCGCAACTCGGTGGACCCGGTGGCGATCGATTTGAAGCGCGAAGCCAGGTCCTTGTACTCGCGCTGTGCATCCTGGAGCGCTCTGGCCTTGCGGTCCGACTTCTCCTCTTCCTCAATGACCAGCGCCAGGCGAACCACCATGCCGTCATTGCCCGCCTGCACCAACTCAATTAGATTTATGCACGCCTCTCCAATGTGCTTGTCGAACCACTCGATGACATCGTCCAGGCGGGAAAAGAGGTCCTGGACCGTGACCCCTGCTTCAAGGGCGAGATTGTCGATGAGCTCGGTGGACGCATCCTCAGAGCTCTTGATCTGCCGTATTGCCTTGTCCCGCACCTCGCGCAGCTGTGTGAGGCCATAGTGGATCTCCAGCAGATTCGGCTGATTGGCAGGGTCCTCGTCGTCCTGGCCCAGCAGGTACTCGAGATCCTCCAGCCGCCGCTGGAAGTTGTCGATGTCGTGTTTCATCGTCTCGACCTGCTCGAAGTTCTTGTGCGTCTGGGCGACGAGGTTGATGTGGGGAAAGTCCTGGATCATGTTCTGGGCCTCGGCGCACAGCTTGTCTATCTTCATCATCTCCTCCTTGATGAGGTTGACGGCGCGCTGGCCGTCGGTGATGCTGTTCATGCCCGCCTGCGTCACCTCGAGCTGCTCGCGCAGGCCATGACGCAGCTGGGCATCGACGGCCGTCTTCTTGCGCGTGAACTCGGCCTTGAGCGCGGGGATCTTGTCCAGGTCCTCGGGGTGCCGGAGCAGCTCGGCGAGCTTGACCGTGGCCGACTCGACATCGTTCATGGTGCTGCGGCAGAGGTCGATTGGGAGGGTTTGCCCATAATCGAGCGTGGGGCGTCGTGGGGCGGGTGATGGCTGAGTGAATGCGTGGCCGTCTGTAACAGCTGCGGTCGGGGAAGTCGTGCGGGGCTTGGCACCGGAGGAGCGCCAGACACTTTTTGTCCCCGCAGCCCGCCACTTTGAAGACTCACTTCACCACGTACAACCCACCGGGCAGGCAATATGGCAGACGAAGAGCTGAACCTCTACGACGAGATCGAGATCGAGGACTGCTTCTACGACGAAACACTCCAGATATACCACCACCCATGTCCCTGCGGTGACCGTTTCGAGATCTCCATCGCCGACATGCGAGATGGAGAAGACATTGCGCGCTGCCCTAGTTGTAGTCTCATGATCAGGATAATATTTGATGCAGTAAGCGCCCTCAGACCACATCCTAGCCACAGTAGACATACTAACTGTTTCAGTCGGACCTCCCTCCAGAAAAGAAGGACGATGCGCCGCAAGCCGTCGCCATCGCTGCCTAGATTCACGCACATAAGAATTCTACGGGATCCAAAGCAGAGCGGCGGAATATGGCATCCTACATATCCTGGGTCGGGAGCACATCGAAGAGTCCTTTCGCGCTATGCTGTAAACGAAGGATTTGGCATTTTTGGCCCTGCATATCATGGCGTTGCATTTGGGAGGCGTTGGTCCGTCCGGGGGTCGAGGGAGGTAGAAAGGAACGCTGGGCGGTTAGCGCAGCGATGTTCTAGGATATAGGGAAATGCGTTGTTTGCGCTGGAAACCACTATTGCAAGAGTGCGCTCCTATTGTTGTTGTACGATACAGCCGCCGCCAGGCCTTCGTGCGGCTCTCTGTCGGATAAAACAATGCTCAATCGGGCCCAGGGTGCAAGCCTCCTCGAGACGTGCCACATACCAATGACCAGATGATCAGCTTGGGGCGTCGTCGTCCCTCCCAAGATGCACACCCAGTTCCTTTCTGACCAGCTCCGTCAAAGAGGTGCCGTCTCGTAGGTATATCCAGTCTCCGTTGCCACCCCCTTCCTTGTGGTGCATCGACTCGCCCGACACTACCCAGTCAAATCGCTTCGGCCCCGATACGGGCGAACTCCACCAAATCTGTTTATTCGGTGGCTGCTTGTTGAGCACGTATGTGTGGCCTCTGGACGGGATCTTGACTTCGAGGACGCCAGCCTACGTATGGTATTAGCGACGGCTCGTGCAATGCCTTCAGAAACCAGAACATACCGAATACTCCACCTCCAGGTCTGGCGTCTTGTCCTGTTGCTCCTCCAGCCTGTTCAATAGCTCCTCTAGATATGCGTCGGCGCGCTCGTGGAATTCAGAGGTCGGGACGTCCGTTGGAACCGTGGGCTGGTCCGCACTTTCGCTCTGCTTGGGCGGCGGGTTTTCCGACTCAGGCATGATGCCACGGAGCGCCTTTGAACTGTGGAAGCCTCGCGTGGGCTTGATGGAGGTGCCATTCGAACCACAGGTAGCTGTCGCAACCGAAGCTCTCGGGACGATGCAATTGGCGGGGGCTTGGGCGCGGATTGGGCTGCGAATAGCCCGCCGGAGTGCGATTCGCGATAGCGACTTCATTGCTGTCGATGTTGGGATGTCTGGCTGTTTTGGCTGAGATGCGGACAGCAATGATGTCGCTCCAGTGGAGGAGCTTGTTCCACGCTTGGGAAGAAGCTCGGGCCCGGTGAGATCAGATCTACCTGACCTCCCCGCAATCTGTTGGACGACCGCGAAACTGCGATACACGCCCGCCCGCCATGATAAACGCCGTGCTCGTCTTCAATAACGCGGGCCAGCCGCGGCTGACCAAGTTCTACACTCAGTTGGCATGTCTCTACTCCAGACTTCGTACTCCATGCTAATCTATATCCAGGAAACCAGCGTGCAGCAGCGCCTGATATCAGAGATCTTCACCCTCGTCTCCAACCGCCCAAACTCAGCATGTAATTTCTTGCCGTATGCCTTACCGTCCAATTCTTACTACGCACCTGACGTTGAGCAGCCTACCTCCCCTCCTCGCCAACAGTAGCAAATCCTCCACCCCCACCACCCCGCACAACGACACGCCCTCGCTCGTAACTTACCGCCACTATGCAACCCTCTACTTCATCATAATATCAACGTCCACCGAATCGCCTCTCGCTCTCCTCGACCTCATCCAAGTCTTCGTCCAGGCGCTCGACGGCCTCTTCGAAAATGTGTGCGAACTGGACCTTATCTTCAATTTCGAAACACTACATGCGACGCTCGGAGAGCTAATCGTCGGAGGCGTAGTGGTAGAGACGCAGCTTGATAAGGTGATCGAGGGTGTCAAGGCACAAGGGACGGTGGCGAAGAGGCCAGTTAACGAGGGCAAGAGCGGCATGAGTTTTGGAGGGTTTGGGAGGGGCGATGGAGTTTGGGCTGGGAGGTGAAGGAGAAGGCAAATGGGTACAATACAAGTCGGCACTTGGTGTCCTGCCTGCTGCGGGAATTCCACTTGTGACCGTAAAGAAATCTCAAGAATCAGAGCCGGGACGGTCGAGTCTGCCGAGCAAAGTGCTCAAACTACTAGGAGGCCGGGGCACGGCTAAGGTTCGTTATCGACGAGACCGCTTCCAATGTCCCATGGCCCTTTGGCAGGTAGAGAGTAAGGCACAGCTTCGGCTATATGCTGCTGTATCCAAATGACAAGGAGGCGCTGGAGATATCTCCTTGGCTGGGATTGTTCACGGTCGTATCGTGCTTACCTCTGGGAATCCAAGCAACTGCTACCTCCGCTCCTTACCGCACTGTAATCAGCAATCCACAAGCGTTACAACACCGTGGCTTACACCAACCGTCGCGTTGACATTGCTGCCCGCCGTACTACTTTGCACCGCACACACAGCTTATTATTTTTTCCGCTGCACGCAGGCCCATTCTACTTTTCGGCAGCATTGCTCGATCCCGATAATTTTCGTTACGAAGAGAATTAATCCGCTGCTTTCTTCCCAGCCTTTCTTGACCCTCATACCGCATCATGTCACGACGCCCCAGGGACCTGGACGACGATGTCGGGCAAACCGTCAAGAGGCTCTGCTTGTATGTCGTTTACCTAGCGAATATGCAGCACTGCTAATGATTCACAGAGCAAAAGATCGAGCCATCGAACGCATTAAGCGGTTCACAAGAGCACAACTCAGAAATCCGGAACCGCGCTGACCCAAGTCTAGCCTGCGTAGCCTTGAAGATCAAATAGTGCGCTTACAGCAAGAGGCTTCCTTCGAGGCTGCCGACCTCAGGCGCTTTTGCGTTGGGTGAGCTATGTTCCTATCTCAATTACGGAATGACGCTCAAACCATCCCACTGCCCTCTCCTACTCTACTATGCGCTAACTTCCAACAGTGACGTCAATCGCGCGATCACCGAGCATTCCCGAGCGGAAATATTTCGACTACTCCAGCGGATCAAGTCGAAGCTACCCCTGGAATTACTGTACATTGTCTTTAAGCATATGTGGAACAGCGAGGAGCTTGGCGAGTTCTCGGATGTGGATCGCTTCATTCGCGCAAGGTGTCCTCCTAGGGTTGAGGGTCCCTGCCAGTGCTCACGGGACGTGGTCATTCCCTATTATCTGGATCCACTCTACATGGGCCTGGAGGATGCCACCAACTGCGCGAAGATTCTATGTGAAAATATCAACGTCCATCTGAAAAGAGCCGATAACGTTCAGCACCTGATACACGGCGATCTATTTCACACTGGCTTTAAGTTTTCGAGCAGTATTCGCGCCTTGACGCTGAAGTTCAGCGTTGATCGGTGCCTTCGAAAGGACTACCAGATTGGTGAACGGACAACAGCCTGGATGAGAGCCAGTCAAGTCAAGACTATGCTCGAGCTTGAGGAGCCGGAACGCCTGAGTCGCTGGCTGCGTACCTATTATGAGGAGGACCTTAATGGCGAAGTGACCGTTGATATCGCTCTACAGCGCTTATCAGCGAGATTTTGAACGCCTACTCGATCCCAAACAGCACGACCCGCTTCTATTTGGCGAGAACATCTTGGCGCAAATTTCGAAGGTCTTCAGCTGCGCTACGTCATTGGTCGTATTTCGTAGGTTAGGGCCGGTAGAGATTGTTCAAGGCATTCGGGAGAGGGAAGACAGTGTTGCTCTACGCTACTCTTGGATCGACGCCGTGCTGTACAACACCCTCACATGTCTCCTGGACATAGAGAAGAAGGGGAAATTCGTACTCGAGATCGAAATTACGCAGCGCTTCATCAGGCTGAACAGTCTGGAGAGGTTCTTCCGAAAGGTCCAACCCATCATATCGGAGTTCGTCAATCACGAGGCGCTAGTAGCTCTCTATTACCGTTACGACGAGCGCAGGACCCCGAACCCCTCCCCGAACCCCTCCCCCCCCGAATGCCCCCCAGAAAGATCCTATATTCCGGTATCTTTTTCCCGAGACACACCTCGACAAGAGTACGCGGTTTTGGGTGCATCACATAAGGGGCCAATTAGAAGCAGTAAGCTGTATCCGCGTCCCCGCACGCTGTGTCTTTTTAGGGACGCACGTAGCTAATACCCTGAATTATAGTGCCCCGGCATCCCCGACGAGCACCGGCATTATAGACAGTCTCTTCCATACCACTTCGACGAGACCGCAAGCTTTGATATTTAGGAAGAGTGCTACGGCGATACGGAATCCGATAGTGGCAGGGATCCGAGCGATGCTACTCGTACTCCAGTCCCGCCGCGACTCTGAGGTGGGAGTTGGAACAAGGGGTGGGCAAGTCAAGAAGAAGGCAACGGGGAATACATTGCTTGCTGGATGGAACGGATATTCTTATGGGGCAATGGCTGAAGAGGTTGCATACGAACAGTGTCACTTGCACTCAGGGACTCAGCGAGTACGCAATCGAAAGCTTTCATTTTTGATTATACATTAGGTGCACGAATTGGGCATCACGCCGCCTGTGCGCATGCCAGAGCCAGTTTCCTGGGGTATATTACGTTGAAAAGCACTTTTCGGCCGTTTCTTTCGTTCGTTCCTCCTCTTCATTCCCCGCCTTCCTCCTCCTTCATCCCCTCTCTCTCGCATCCCCCGTCGAATTCTCCTCCCTTCTCGTCCCCAAACGTCGACCTGTCGACTCTCAAGCGTCAAATTGCTTATCCGATCCTGGTAACCCCCTGGCCGTAGTAGCTCGTGTACGCGGCGTTGACGCTGCGGTGGTGCTCCGCGGCTGCGTGCTTGATGCTGCGCCAGATGTCCTTGACGGAGTGGTGCGTGTGCTTGTGGTGCTCGAGCTCGTGCACGGGGGACGGCATGCTGCGGACTGGTGTGCTGGTGCCCGAGGATGAAGGGGTGGCGGTTGAGCCGGTTGCGGAGGCCATGATAGTGGAGTGGTGGAGACCGGCTTCCATTGCGCTGCTTTTGGAGGTAATTTGTAGCTTTTGGGTGGTGGGGCGCGTGTATGCGTAGAAAGTGAAGATGTGGTGGTTTGATTGAGGCTCTGGTAGTGATCCTTGGGACTTGAGGCTTGATGGGGAGACTTCTTTGCTGAGAGACGTAGGATTATATAGTCGGGACGGGTTCAAGAAATTTTCATCTCCTTACCTCCTCGAACATTCTCGCGCCGCATCACGAACCATGGAATCACTTTCGCTGAGACTCACACGTGCATCGTGACATAAGGTTGCCTTGCGCAGGTGTGGCGCGACGCTGAGGCGGGTACTCGCCCACAGCCCGCAAAGCCGACGGAAGCCGCACCCGCCGTTACAAAACGCTTACCTCAAACCCCGTTCGTAACTTTTTATCCTGTTTCGTCCAATAGTCACTCAGATTTTGTTTCTGGGTGTAGTCTATGCTCCCGAACGGGCGGGATGGGAAATCAAATTCGCGATCACGCCGCCCACCGACGTTTTACTCTTTCATTGGCTCCACAGCAACTGGAAAACTCTGAGAAAAGCTCGATCACCAGAGCGGAGGGAATGGATGCGGTTGACACATGGATATCCGTTAAGGGTATCTGGTTTGTCATAGTTGAGAAGGGAGGAAATTGGAGTCTTGAGATGCGGTTTGGGAGGGATGCAGTGGAGCGTTGCATTGCTTCGGCTGGTCCGAATGGGTGCGTGAGGCTGCGTGATCGGGTGCTTGGAGCTTGGTGTGCAGTGATTGAGCTAGTACTGTGTGTACTCGCTCTAGCCATTTTATCACGGCCTTACACAACTACCTCGACGAATACCTAAGTATGCTCCGAGGACCGGTCACGCGCGGGATAGCCTCACGTGCGGTGGATCTCAGCTGGCGCAGCCGACTCCAGAGCTCAGCCCCGCATCAGCCAGAGGTGCAGCCTAGTCTCGCAACCTTTGTTATTGTTCTCCCTTTCTTACTCCCCTAATGACCCTCTTTATCCTCTCAGACCCGGTCCGATGAGATGGCGGAAGCGCTAGCCGTAGTTGGTATCGTCGCCAGCATAGTGCAGCTCGTTGACTCCGGGTCGCGGGTTCTCAGCCGCCTTGAAGAATATCGTTCCAGCCTAGGCGACATCCCTGAATCGTTCCGACACGTTAAGACGGAGCTTCCTGTGCTGCTAGATGCGCTTAAACAGAAAAAGGCCGAGATCGATGCTGGACAGATAACCAACGACTCCAAAAAGGCCCTCGCCCCTGCGGTCGAAGCATGTGGGAAGCAGATCAAGGCCCTGAACGATGTCATTGCGAAAGCGCTGCCGAAGCCTGGGGACTCCTGGGCTAAGAGGAAGACGAAGGCGCTTGGAAGCCTTCGGTATGACGCAAAGGTCGAAAAGATAACGACGGTGATCCGGGGCTACATCCAGACGCTGACATTCCACGCTGCCTCTTCATCGAGGCCTTCTGCATCGACACCCTTGGCAGGTACGAGCCCCTAAATCTTGGATAGTGGTGGCTCTAACAATCTGTCCACAGGCCCACCCGTCCCGTCTTCCACAGTTCCGTTCCGACGCGACCCACACTTCGTAGACCGCGATATACTTGCAGAAATAGGTCGCAAGAGCCAGCAGCCAGCAGCTAGAGTAGCTTTGGTTGGCCTTGGTGGAGTGGGGTACGACCCGAAGCTCCCGCCCCCCAAAAGTATGAACTGACAGACTCGAAGAAAATCACAGCTCGCCGTCGAGTACTCGTACCAGGTGCGAGAAAAGTCGCCCACTACCTGGGTCTTCTGGATGCATGCAGGTACCACGGCACGATTTACAGAAGGCTATCGGCAGATCGCCGAACGAGCTAGAATTGCTGGCCGGAATCAACCGAATGTTGACGTCTTGAAACTTGTCTATGACTGGCTGTGCGATGAGTCGAATGGTCGCTGGGTGATAATCATCGACAACGCAGATGATTTTGCTGTCTTCGCGCCTCGGCAAGACCATTCTCAAGACACAACACCAGGGTTATTGGACTTGCTACCACAGTCACCAAATGGTGATATTCTCATCACCTCACGAAGCCGAGACGTCGCTTTCCGGTTGACGGGGAACTTCGACGATATCATCAAAGTCGATCCGATGGACCGAGTGCATGCTCTGGCATTACTCCGAACGAAGCTTGGGGGTACCTCTAAACAGGACGATCCGGCAGAAGCACAACTAGTTGAGGCGCTTGACTTCATGCCCCTTGCTATCTCTCAAGCCGCCGCTTATATCCAGAGAGCGCCTCGAGTTACAGTGTCGAGGTATTTACAGGATCTCCACAAAGGGGATCAAGATAGAGCACGATTGCTGCAGACGGATGCCGGAGACACTCGCAGGGACGGCACAGCGTCAAACTCCATCATTGCTACTTGGCAGATCTCTTTCGAACATATCCGTAAAGCGAAGCCCTCGGCGTCGCGGCTCTTAGCGCTCATGAGTCTTTTCGATCGGCAGGGAATCCCGGAATCCCTCGTTGATGGCCATTATCAAGAGGACGGAGATGCCTGCGCCGACTTTGAGGACGACCTCACCGAATTGATGAGTTTCTCCCTGGTCGCTATAGGCAAGGATGGTGACCAATTTGAGATGCATCGACTCGTACAGTTCTCAACCAGGAAATGGCTTGAGCTGCAGGGCGAGCTGGAAGGTTGGAAGAAAAAGTACGTAATCCTTTTGGACAACTATCTTCCTTATGGCAAATACGAGAACTGGGAGACCTGTCAAAAGCTATATCCACACGCTCAAGCAGCAGTAGCGTGTCGGCCAACCGATGACAGCGCGCTAGTAACATGGGCTTCCGTCCTTTTCAAAGCTTCGTGGTACGCAAGCGAAATGGGGTACTACCAGGCCGCGCAGGAGATGATCCAAGACTCTTTGCAGGCAAGGCAGATCGCTCTAGGAGTGGAGCACGAAGACACACTTGATAATCTCACCATTCTCGGCATAGTGTTCGATAGAGAGGGTAGTTACGACCAGGCTGAAGCAATACATCGCCGAGCACTAGAAGGATTTGAGAAGGTGTTTGGACCGGAACACCAAAGCACGCTTACGAGTCTTAATAACCTTGGAGTAGTGTTAGAAAGGCAAGGAAGATACAAAGAGGCGGAAGCGGTGCATCGGCGCGCTTTGGAGGGACATGAAAATGTGCTTGGTCTAGAGCACGAAGACACGCTTCACAGTCTTAATAACCTTGGAGTTGTGTTGAAGAAACAAGGAAAATACGAAGAGGCGGAAGCGTTGCATCGGCGCGCACTTGAGGGCCGTGAGAAAGTTCTTGGACCGGAACACATAAGCACGCTTGAGAGCCTCAACAACCTGGGGCTAGTATTGTTGGAGGAAGGCAAGTTTTCAGAGGCTGAAGTGATGCTTCGACGAGCTCTAGAAGGAAGTGAGAAGATCCCTGGGACGGAGCACCCTGACACACTTATTACCGTTGGCAATCTTGGGTTGCTTTACAAGAGACAGGGCAAGTATAAAGAGGCGGAGGTGATGGAGCGACGAGCGCTCGCCGGAAGAGAAAAGGTGCTGGGCAAGGAGCACCCAGATACATTGCTTAGCATGAACAATCTCGCGTGTACGTTGGATGAATTAGGGCATAATGAAGAGGCCGAGGTGATGAAGCGACGAGTGCTAGCTGGAAAAGAAAAGGTGCTGGGGAAGGAGCACCCAGATACCTTGACCAGCATGAACAATCTCGCGT